AGTTGATATGTCCAACCTGCTAGGAGTAGTACATTACAGCGTAAAATGTGTCATTTCCTGTTACCAGCAGGTGGCGCTATGACTTTGAGTGAATATTGGCATGGGGATGTGTTCAGGGCAGGACTCTTAAAATATATTGCAAATTTGGTGCAGATGTGAGCATGTAGACTAAAGTTATAACAACTTCCTGTTTCATGGCGAATCATCGTTTTTTTGACAGCACGCCACGGGCAAACTGGTAGTAACTGTTTGTACAACTGTAGGAGGGTCAGATCTGTAACATTATGCAGCACTAATGTTATACCAGGGTGACGTTAAATGAAAATAAATAAATACATAAACCTGGACCGAGAGAAATATGTTAGCAACAGTAGTTGATTACATGCACTTTAATATTGTGCATTTATTAGTTATGTTTTTAAGTGCATTGTTTGGTGCAGTACAGTTGGTAGGCTAATATATGTTAACCTAAGAAATGATTGGGCGTGCAGAGTTGTTACTGTCAGTGCTATATTTTTAATATTAATATTTAACGTGGTTTCCACTGTAATGTACTAAGTTGTTTCCCCTTTCTACCAGCAGGTGGCAGTATTTAAATGAAGGCCTGGTTTGTGTCTTTATTAAATGTTTTGAATCCAGATTACTGATATAGTTGTATTTATTGTTGTTCATTTAATTTGGTTTTTCATATTTATGTTTGCAGCCTAGTTGTCTTCATCATTCACCCTCAGCCCAGAGTTAAACCTGCATGACCTTCTGTTCTAACCCTGCTGTCAGCGTCTTAGCAGCTCTGACAACAAAGTCACATCAGAAATGTCCTAACGTAGGCCATCTGGCCAAAAAAATGATTTACCAGTGTGCTTTATACTGTGTGAATCTTTCTTCTCCATACACATTCCAGTGTTTAACATACACCACTTCCATTGTGTCATGCAAGTGAAGAGAATCCATGCAAGTTTTTCCATACAACATTTATAGCACATACATACTTTTATAACTTATGGCTGCAGAACATTAACTTGCCATAAGGTGAAAACATTGAGGTCCTCAAAAGAAAGAACCTTTAAAATATGGCCTCACAGACCTGACTGTCGTCCTGAGAAGACATTCTCAGCGTCGACAGCCTTTTTTTTTTTTATAATTTAATTATGTTTTTGGACTTTCTACAGGCCTGCTGCTCTTGAGAACCTCATAAATGTTGCCTTATGGCTTCACAGTCAGTGTTCTGCAGCCATAGCTCATACATTTATGTTAGAGAGGTGGTGTTATGCTCAGGTTCAAAATCTTATTTAGTGGTTGTACCAGAACAGGTTTACATGGTTTAATTTTCAAAAAACACCATATTTTTCTCATCATACTGCACATTGCTGCAGCTCCTCTTTTCACCCTGTGTGTTGTACGCTCCGCACTTGAGCTACAGATTGATGCATCTTACTTGTACAAAATCTTTGCTGGGAGTTGCATATGCGCAGTTCCCAGGTAAGGACTACTAGCCAATCAGAAGCAGAGAAGGGCGGGTCGTAAGAAACAAGGTAGTGTGATCCAAATGAAAGCCTCTTCAGACTGCGACTGTAAGCAGATGGTATAAGTTACTCTTGAGTCCACAACATCATTGTTCCGCATCTTACCATGAACCATTACAAAAATCACCATATTTCAACTCAATTTTATATAAAAATTGGCCAAACAATTTGAACGTTTGCTTAGTAGCTTTCACATCAGGTGTAACGTTAGCATTATAGTTATAACTTTAGCTGTGTTAGCCAACGTTTACAACAACTCCGCACTTGAACAGTCTGTAAAGTTACATTGCCGTGTTTTATTTTAAATATAACTCACAACCAGTAAATCATACTTACAGGTTGTGATTGTGAATTTCCAGGCCCAAACAGAGTCGGAGTTGCATCGTCTTTTAGGACTAAACGTTGAACTGTTGCCGGTGTTCTGACGATCTATGCTGCCTTGCCGAAAAATGCTACCATAGCGCAAATCGATAGACTCGACTCTACTCGGCCCTGCTCCGTTTTCCATTGCAGACAGTACCCAGAGATAGTATGTAGCTGGTCGTCATAGTGACGCCACACTCAACTGCCCCGACGTAATGTTCAGTGCGACAGATAAGCTGGATGAAAACCTTCCAGCTGTCTTTTTCTCTGCCGTTGTTGCTGCAGCGGTCTGTGTGATGGCGGGAGCAGAGGGCTCTGTGAGCGGGCGGCTGGCCGGCCTCACACGCTCCTCCTGCGGGTTGGTACAGGCTTCCCCCCGCAGCCACTCGCGGAGCTCCTCAACTCTGAAAATATTCAAGCACATTTTTGTTCTGCCATCACTTCTCGTAAAACTGTCAATATTCGAAATCTACACAGCTGATTTCTCACCTTCTCAGAAGTGGATTTAGTGATGAAATTACATACGAAAACTGTAAAATATAAAACTTTCTGTTGCTGTTCTGGTGCAGCAATGATGATGCAGTGAATTGTGAATATTCTCTCTGACCAATGAGCAGTCTGTTGTGTTTTCACGTTACATTTTAGTATCCCTCAGCTTGCTTGGAAGCTCAATGGAAGTGAGGTGATATAACAAAAAAAGTACCTGGAAGCAGGTACAGGTGCAACATTTCTACAATGGAAAACCAAACAAAGGCGAGTCGAGCCAAAGGGCCTCCGCTCAGACTAGCTTGGTTTGAGGGCGTGCCTGACCCCGCTAGCCGCTTGGCAAGCTTTATGATGCGTTTTCATTGTGATGTCACAATGAAAGGAAGTGAAGGGCTGGACTACAAATGAGCTGTTTTCAAGCGGTTCAGAGCAGAGTTTTCTGTGGGAGATGGGAACTCCCTTTGGGCTGGACTTTGGGCTTTTTCACTTTGCAAACCTGTTACATGCACAAAAAATGTATAACTCAATAAAGGAGAGGGGAAAAGCCAACAAGCATAATACCACCTCTTTAAAACATAATATTACATTATGTTTATTATTGCCATGGAAGTATGCTATACAGTGGTGCTTGAAGTTTCTGAACCTTTTTAGAATTTTCTGAATTTACTGGCTTCCTGTCTCACTCAGGATTGAGTACAAGGTGTCCTTCCTTACTCACCATCCATGGTGAAGCCCCCCCTCCCTACCTCAAGGAACTCCTCACCAAACAAACCTCCACACGTACCCTCCAATCTGCCTCAGCATTCTGTGTACCTACATTAATGACGCTTGGTGCTCAACCGCAGCCAAAGATGGGCAATGTTTATTAGATGTAGAATTCTGATGTGTTTTGTTGCTGGCGATTTTAATCAAACAGATCTCAGAACGATATTGCGTAAATTCCACCAGCATGTCCACATCCCCACCAGAGGAACAAACATGCTGGACCACGTCTATACCAATATTCCTGGCAGCTACAAAGCCCTCCCCCGTCCCCATTTTGGTTTATGAGACCATATTTCTCTGCTTCTTCAGCCCACTTACACCCAGGTGATTAAAAGGAAAAGCCAACAATTAACAGTGAAAGTGTGGACAGATGAATCTACAGCAGCTCTACAGGACTGTTTTGGGAGCACAGATTAGAGTATGTTCAGAGAGGCCGCCACCCAGGAGAGAAACATTAAGCTTGAGGAATATACATCAGTGACATCATACATCAGCAAATGTTTTAATGATTTGTTGATCACTAAAACGATAAAAATCATTCCCCAATCAGAAGGCCTGGATGAATGGAGAGGTGAAGGCTCTAGCTTTTCGGTTGGGTGATAAAGAAGCTTACCGCACCGCCAGAGCGAGAATGAAAGCTGGCATCAAGGAGGTGAAGCGGAGACATCAGCAGAGACTGGAGAGAGACCTCAACACCAACAACACCAAAGATATGTGGCAGGCCATCAAAAACATCACAGGCTACAAAAGCAGGAGCGCCCCCATCACGTGTGAGGCCACATTACCAGATAAACTTAACACCCTTTTTATGGTCGCTTTGATCTCCTCAACAAGGAGTCAGCTGTAAAGTCTACTCCACCTCCAGAGGACCGGCCACTGTCAGTATCCACAGCAGATGTGAGAAGAGGCCTCACACTGTACACCAAGACTGCAACCCCAAACATGGAGAGAACTCTGCTGTGAAGTTTGTGGACGACGACACCACCATTATCGGCAGGATTTCAAACAACAATGAGACTTCATATCAGGAGGAAATTCTTCCAGAGTAGTGCTCAGAGAACAACCTACTGCTCAGCGTCAGCAAAACTAAGGAGCTGATCATGGATTTCAGGAAAAAAGGAGATAAAGACACACACACTCCTGTCTACATCAGTGGAGCTGAGGTGAAGCAGGTGAACAGTTTCAGGTTCCTGGGAATCAGCATCACAGAGAACCTGACATCTCACATCTCTATGCTCGAGAAGAAAGCTCAGAAATGAATGTTTCTTGAGGAAGCTTAAGAAGGCCAAATTCCTGTGCCAAGTTCTTGTCAGTAAAAAGAGCTTTTACAGAGGAGCAATAGAAAGTATCCTGACTGGAAACATCACAGCTTCCCCCAAGCTATCAGACTTTTTAAACTCAAAGTCATTGTCAGCACTGCTCCGTTGATTATAGTTTATTTCTGTTTACCATTTTTTAAAAATTGCTTCTATATTAATGTATATTGTCTGCTATGTAACAGATGGGAGTGACAAAACTCAATTTCACTATATGACTGTTAAATCACAGTCTAACGTGTGCGTGTGACGATATTTGAGGAGTTTATTCGGCCTTTTGCAAAATACCCACCCAGTTTGCTGCTTCCCATTTGGTGCTGGACATATGCACAAAATATTTTTTACAGTGTTGTTTTTGTTGGTAATCTTAGTTGGTACATTCACAACATGGTTTTTCTACACGTGTGAATGCTGGACTTCATTCAGACATCAAAATATTCCGCTCAATTAACTCATGAGCTATTACTTTTCTCATTCATACCTTTCATTCTTCTCATTCAAATAAATGGATGGAATATTAAAAATGTCCACATTTTTACAATTTTTCTAAACTTTTTCAACTTTAATCTACTCAGTCATCTTAAACATTTTTCATACATTGATATCATTCAATTTTAAAATCCCATTAAGAATTTATTTTAATATATCTCATTTTAATATATAACTTTTTCAACTTTATTTAGCTGACGGTTCATCTAAAGCGACTTACAATTTTGTGTGTATGTGTAAATATTTTTTTGTTTTGACTAATAATTAATGTTCAATTTTATTTATATAGCGCCAAATCACAACAACAGTTATATAAGAGCAGGTCTAGACCATACTCTGTTATTTACAGAAACCCAACAATGTTAACACCTTCAGCTGTTTACTTACTACTTTATAGGTGAATGCAACTTTGCTAGTATTACAGCATAGCTCTGTATTTAAGCATTATTAGGTAATGATCAGCTTCTAACTCAGTGTTACATTTCAGCTTCCAGGTTGTTAAGCAAGGCAATGCATTTGGAGACTTTTGTCTTCTGAGACTTCTCGGGCATTTAATTTCAGACTTCTGAATTGTTCTGAAAATTAATTTCACCTTTCAGCACATATTTTCTGCATGTGGTGTTCAGTGTAACTTTAGCATTGTTTTCAAAACTACCATATGTGTCTCTTTCAACAACAAAGAAATTCAAATAGCTTTAAATAAAACCTACAGTCAACATAAAAGTATAAAAAGACATTTAAATACAATTACAAGAGTTAAATAGAAAATAATGAAACAGGACAGTAAAAGTTACAGTGCAGTGTAAGATATTAATCAAAGCTTTGAATTTGATTTAATAAAAGGCAGCGGCAACCAGAAAAGTCTTCAGCCTTGATTGAGAAGAACTGATAGTTGCAGCAGATCTGCAGATTTGAGGGAGTTTGTTCCAGATATATGGTGCATTCATTAAAAGTGAAAGCTTCTTCTCCATGTTTAGTTTTGAGTCTGGGGACAGAAAGCAGACCTGCCCCAGATGACCTGAGAGGTCTACATGGTTCATAATGAAGATCAGAAAAAACATTCAGTGCTTTATAAAAACAGCAGTATTTTGAAATCAATTCTTTGACAGACACGAAGCCAGTGTAAAGACCTCAGAACTGGATTAATGTGATCCACTTTTTTAGTCTTAGTGAGGACTCGAGCAGCAGGGTTCTGAATCAGCTGCGGCTGTCTGGTTGTTTTGGGGGGGGCGTAACGACACCATTACAGTGGTCAAGTCGATTAAAGATAAACATGGACAAGTTTTTCCAGATCCTGCAGAGAGACAAGTCCTTTAATCCTTGATATATTCTACAGGTGATAGTAGGCTGACTTTGTAAATGTCTTGATGTGGCTGTTGAAATTCAGGTCTGAGTCCATGACTACACCAAAAGTTCTGGCTTGTTTTTTTTGTTTGTTTTTTTTAAATGGCCAATTCAAGCTGAGCGCTAACTTTTAATCATTTCTCCTTGGCTCTAAAAACAAAGACTTCAGTTTTATTGTTTACTTTTTATAGCAGCTAAAGACCTAGATATTTTTTCACTAGTTGGGAGACGAGAGTTAATATTGGATTTACGTTCTTCAGTTGTACAAGAACACAACTTCAATAGGATGATAAATGTGTTGTGTATTATCTTAATGTTTTAAGTTACAGGACAAAGCTATGTATTGTATTCTAAGGCACTCTTGTTTAAAGCACTCTTTTGGCAACTCTTTCTATTTATGCTTTAAGACAGACACAGAAACGGCAGAGAATCTGGTCAATAAAAAATAAAAAAACGCGTTTTCGTTCGGCTGCGTTGATAATAAACTGACCTAAACACAATAAGTGGGCGTAGTCAACGTGACGTCACCCGTTGGTTTGTGGACTGCTGTTTTGAAGCCTCGAGTTTGGCGCGTGGCCGTGTGTGGAGCTAGCTAGTTTAGCTAGGTGCTTCTGTAATTCACATTAACTGTCATTTTAACAGAGCTGACAACGTTATCTAGCGAACAGTGTTGAAACTAAATGTACTCACGAGAGAAAGTGAACAACCAACTCCTAATAAACTTTTTCAATGTCGCTGGATAAATTTACACAGTGCCGTGGGTAGGAGTCACTCTAGCCTGATTGACAGGTTGCCATGGTAACAACTTGTCAGTCACAGATAATCCTGCCCTGAATCATACTCTGATTTATGGTCTATTTTCCTCTAAATGGGACCGTCATTTACTAGATGAACATCATCTTGTATTGAAGAAGACTTGAAACTAGAGATTGAGACCATAAACTCATTAGCGAAGTGTTTACTGAGGTAATCAGCTGAGAAGTAGTGTCATTTAACTAACTGAGCCAGACTTCTTTTTGCAACCAGAAGAGTAGCCTCCTGTTGGCCGTTCGATAGAATGCAGGTTTAAGGGACTTCCGTGTTTGCATCAGTTTGCTGACCGGAAGCTTCCTGCTTGCCTAAACATCATGAATGACTTAAGGGGCCCCCTACCCGGCTGGGGCCCTGGGTCGGCCGCACCCACGCCACTCCGCTACCTCCGCTTATGCAGTCAATGATGATATGAGCATGCATTCCTGGCTGCCTTTTTGAAGATAAGAGTACAGCTGCAAGTGGGAGTAGGACAGTGTAGCATCATCATGGGTGTAAAAAATGTAAACTGTGCAGGAGAAAGTGAACGTGATGAGCATTTGTTGCCAGGAAAAACAGTTCCAGTGTATTCAGATTCAGTGTTGGAAAGTCCCTGAAGCTCTCCTGCATTAACCCCCTGATTATATGAAATGTAACAGATAATATTGAGTGATTGGAGTGTTAAGTGTTTTATTTAGAGTAACTATGTGACCAGAAAATGCAATCTCCCTTTTAGATGAGCTAGTCGTAGAAAGAGGTGGAGACCATGAGAAGATGCCCGCCTAGAATAGGAGGAAACTGAGGACTATATTAAACAGGCTCCTCCTCAGTACATCCTGCTAAAAGATGGACTCTGGTTTTTGTCTTGCAATGATGAATGACAGGATCACTGTAATCTGATCACTGAGTAAAGGTATTGACTACTAATGATCTTTTGATGTAAGGTTTTAATTACTGATTTTAAGGTTTTAACTTTTAAGACTACTATATTCTGTGTGAACTTTGAATGAACTTATAACCTTTCAATGTCTCTCCATGAGCAGAGAAGTTGTTCAGGCAGAACATGCAAAACGTAGCTTCGCCTGACTGTGAACATGCAAATAGACCTACAATGCTAAGCAAAACTTAGCTAGCGGACGGGAGGTACTGTCGGCTGCAAGGGAGATAAGGGGTAATGTGAATTTAAGGGTGCTTTCACACTTGTAGTTCGATTCATTTGGTGCGGACCAAGTGGGGGGAAAAAAAGATACTGTTGCATTTTAGTTCAAACTCCGGTGACTGACAGAAGTTTGTGCAGCACTTTAATGCTTTTGATCTGTATAGCAAAGAACTCACAAAGTGATAATTTATTATAAGCATGATTAGTAATGCTAGACAGCAGATCGACCGCATAGCCTATTATGAATAATAACATAAAAACAGGACATGTCCAGTAATAATTTGGGGTTTATTCGCCTATAGTATACTGTGGTATCGCTGTCACACGTTTTATGACTTATACAGATCAATTATAAGATCGCTGAATGCATTTCGCAGTCAGACGATGGATGGATGGAAATATGGTGGGGTCTAAGATGAATATAAGGAGACGTTCGCTGACCACCAGATCAGTTCCATCCTGAGACCTGCAGGGATGTTTCTCGAGTTTACTTGTCCTAAATTGGAATAAACTGTTTTGCACAGTCTCTTGATCGTCTCCAGAGAAGTTTTTGACAACAAAGTTATTGACTATAGAAGAAAGTATTTTTAACTGAGGGTTAATAAGTTGGTGAGTGTAGGGACAGGCCTTCAACTGGCCCAGCCTGGCCTTATCTCTGACCCAACATTAGCCACAAGTTTATTTTAGGCATAAGCGTTTGTTTGATAGCTTTTCTGCCCATTAGTGGTATAAAATCCCTTAATGCTGCATGTGAATATAAATGTCTGTGTAAAGTCTAAAGCCAAGGTCTTTGTCTCTTAGCTTTTCTCAATCAGCCTGATGGATATCACTGGTATTAATACAAGCATAAAGTAACTGTGGCCAACCTACTTCCTGATCCTCTTTTAGCTTCCAGTTTGGGGTCTCCACTTTCTGGCGCTTTACCAGCCAAGAGCTGGATTCCGCCATGCGCAGCTGCGTCGCGTTCTGGCTGTAACACAGTTTTGTTTCGCATTCTATGCAGCCTCATATCCCACTGGAGCGTTCTGCCTGCTCAGCATTGTTGAATTTTTCCTTTTTGTGCTTGTATTGCGTGACTCAGATTTGTACCGTACTCTGCACAGCTTCATACCCCACAGTGTTTTAATTGATTGTTGTTGATATACAGTCAGGAGTCTGCACAGGGTGTTTTTTGGTAGTTTACCAGTGGGTTTATCAGAGCTAATCTGATGAATACAGCTGCTGCTAGAAACAGAAAGACTGATCCAAACAGTAAATGTAAAACAAGGAGCTAATGCTGCATGTTAGCTACCACGTTGTTTTTGTTTTGAAAGGCTAACGAATTACATCTGCACTATTGTGTTCACTGTCGCTTTACCTGGTCCCTGCTTTTAAAATATTCACTGTGTCGTGGCATGTAATGTAAGGTGTAAAGTGTATGTGTGGGAAACACTGACTCAACCGTTGTTTTTTTACAAGCCAGGTCTTCACAGGCTCTGTGTTTCCCTCCATGTTGTTAGAGACTTTGTGAGTAGACGGCTGCTTGCAGAAGCACAAGGAGGGGCGGGGCTTCGCGGTGAGGGGGAGAGAGAGGAGCAAACGCTGGCAGGACTTTACGAAACATATTAATTAACTCAACATCAAACTATATTGGTATAAACGGTATTGTCTAATTTTATCTCTTTTTGAAATCATATCGTATGTACTTTATACCCAGCCCTACCAGAAACATCTTCACATTACAGTGAATCATTTGAAACATTGATAATAAAAAACATTGATTTGGTTTTCCTCCCAGAGAGAACCTGGATTAAGTAAACGGACAACTTTTATTTCTTATTTGGATACAGATAAACTGAGTAAAAAGCTGAACCATGATAAGCCAAAAGGTTATTGTGGTTTGTAAACTGATAGCTCCAGTTTTAGTGGTTCTACTGGTCCAGGTCCAGAATCTGTGGCGGTTCTTCAGGTTCTGCTGGCTCCATCCCCTGACCGGCATCCTGTAAGGAGGAGAGAATGTGATCAAACCAGAAAACCAACAACAAAAGTGTGTGCAGGGCTGTCAACATACTTCTGGTCATAAAGTGAATATTTATGGCTGTTTCCAGAGCCACCCCCTCAGGGTGTTCAAGGATTGTAATGGGGAGGATAAAGCAAAAAGAGAAAAAGCATCATGTACAGAATTAAAGGGAAATATGATGCTGTAATAATTTCAACTGTCATACCGGACAGGAAGAAATTAAAGAGGAACAAAATTTACAGTTTTATGTAAAAATGTATTCCAATGTTTATCTGAAGCTAAAAGACAGACAGTTCTTTGTTGAGCAGCGGAGGAGGGACAGCAACAATAGAAGCATCTCTCTTTTTGTTTCTGACGCTTTCATTTTAGTGGACAAGGTGAAAGCTGAAACTGAGAATCTGCTACCTGGATCTTTTGAACAGTGCTCTTTGCTCATGATAAGTAGCTTAGCAAATCTGTGCACTTTGCCAACCTCTCTGTCTGAAGAGTTACTCACTGGTGCCCAAATAATGTTTCACATTCTGACACTCTGCTGCATATGCAAGAGTAAATTAAAGTGCTGTCATAAAGGAAGAGGGCAGTACTGCATCAATAGCCATGATGAAGAAAGGATCCCATTTCGAAAGGCCTTGATTCCAATTCTTAGGATCAGCTCTGCACATATCTACTAGTAATAACTACTAATAACATGAGAATGTGAACAAATGGATGCGTCTTTTCCAAAGTTCACTCAACCTATTTTGAGTGCGAGCATTTCACACTCATACGCCCTTAAAAATAGTCCGTGCGAACAGACTCTAATCTTCTACCACACCGGCCCGCCCAATACCAGTCATTCAAAACATAGTTGGACTGAGCTCTGTGGCCGCTCGAACAACTCCGTTACTCAAAAACAAGAGCAAGATGTGCCGCCTGCAGCTGAATCAGTAAGACAGAAGACAGCAGGGAAAATATAAACAGCATTTGGTTAACGTTAGCTGGCTATTTGGCTACATCTGTGCCTTTTTTCTTTTATTGAAACACTTTTAATAAAGCCGATGCGCTCGTCAATGTTACTTGGCAACAGATCAATCACAGCCTGAATGGAGTGGGACATTTAAAAAAAAAAAGTTTGACGTGCTACAGCAAACTTGAACTTCCAAATGTTGAACTCATAGTTCTGCATAAATAGTTATTATTATTATTATTATTATCGACAAGTGTGTAGCCTACTTAAAATTAAAGAGACTAACCACCATGTAGAGCATTTGTCTTGCACAAAGTTAATGAATAAAAATAGATTTAGCCAGAGGCAGGATGCCAGTGTGCCAGTATGTGCATCTTCTAGCTGCCTCCCCTTGAGAGCAACATGTTCACCTCTTTCTATTTTACATCTGTTTTACTAAAGTTATTGTTATAAAAACTTACACAACCCTTTTAACAGTGTGTTTTAGACTTAAACGGTTACAGATCAAAGTGGCGTGGCAATCAAAATTATGCTGAAAAGGTCTTAAAAGATATTGAATTTTACTTCAGGAATCCTGTGTATATACTCTGCTGTCCATACTTGATCCTCAGTGGTTTTTTTATTTTAAGAAACGGTGAGTAGCTCAGACTCTACTGCTAGAGTTTAAATATTCAGTCAGACTCTGGTTGGTCGACTCACCCCAAATGGCTCGGAGAAGACTCTGGAGCCGCTGTACAGAGGGTTCGGGATGGACACCAGGGTGGGCTTCGACCTGCCGCCTGCAGCACCGTCCCCGTCCTCATTCTGTCAGAGGAAACAACGGGAATGACTGTCAGCTGTTACCAAGGTGAAGGTAAACTACCTGAATCACATTTGAGATATTAACAGATGTCATTTATATCACACACAAACTCTCAGGCTTCACTGAACCAAAGAGTTTAAGAAAAATAATGTTATTAGGGCTGCAGCTAACGATGATTTTAGTATTTGAAGCTTCGATTATTTCGACGAGTCATCAATGTGGCGTTTAAGAAGTACATTTGTTTGCCGGCGGCGGCACCCCCATCAGTATTATTATAAAGATAAGTTATAAAGACAAAGAATATGGGTTAAAGGATGGATTAGCACACGCAGGTAGCAGGGATTGTCTGAGCTACAGAGAGAGCTGGAGGGGAATAAAAAGGTGCAGCTCCCCAACACCCGGTTAACTCTAACTGAGGTTACAACTCATGGCCCAAAAAGGAGAAAAACAAACGCACATGTGGACATTCTCAGCTGAGGTCTGCGGCTTACTTTGGCTAGCCTTCAACTCGACAATCAATCATGATTTCAGTTAAATGCTAAAGTTGCTGTTATCTTGTCTGTGGTCCGCTGGCAGAACACCGGGTGCTTTCTGGTCAGGTGCCGTCGTGCGTGCTGAGGCGACATAAGTTTCGTTTTACAGTGGACAGACGGTAACATTAGTTGTTTTCTTTAGCTTGAAATAATCCCATACTTCTTGTATGTCCCTTGCTATTTTAATCGATGAATCGTTTCAGCCCTAAATGTTCTACAGATTTTCGTCAACCCCCCTGTTCTCTGCATTTAATGTGTCCTAACCAAGCGAGAAGCTTCCCGTCTGAGACATGAATCCAATGCGAAGTCCCTTAAACCTGCATTCTATTGAACGACCAGCAGGGGGCAACTCTGGTTGCAAAAAGAAGTCCAGTTACATTAGAAAAAATGCCAAAATGACCCTGCTTCTCACCTGAATAATTAGCTCAGTAAACACTTTTCTGAAGAGTTTATGGTCTCAATCACTAGTCTGAGGTCTTCTTTAATACAACATGATGCTCATTTAGTAAATTATGGTCCCATTTAGAGGAAAATAGACCAGAAAGCAGAGTATGCTTCAAGGCAGGATTATCGTTACCATGGCGACCTGTCAATCAGGCTAGAGTGACTCCTACCCACGGCACTGTGTAAATTTAACCAGCGATGTTGAAAAGAGTTGAGTTCACTTTCTCTGGTGAGTAAGCCTGTTTTGCATTAGAAAAAATAATCATCCGGTTAAAATCACGGGTGGTGATGGAACAGTGGATAAGACACATGCCTTTGGTGTGAGAGACCCAGGTTCGAATCCACTGTGAGACACCAAGGTGTCCCTGAGCAAGACACTTAATCTCCAGAGACGTGTGACCTGACATGTATAGCAATTGTAAGTTGCTTTGGATAAAAGCATCAGCTAACTGAATAAATGTAAAATGACAGTTTGAACATGAATTAAAGATGCACGTCTTGTGCCGTTGGCGGCGCTGGCTGGGTCAAGATGACTACGTCAACTTCTTTTCTACAGTCTATGGTCGTAACAATGGAGGGTCCTGATCTGATGGGCAGGAATTTTCTACGATTGACATTTGTAAGGTACCTAATGAAACATCATGCAGTGATTAAGCTTCTGATATGTGAAAGAAGTGAGTTACCAATTAAGCACTGATTTGCTGGTATGCAGGTTTTGAGTCACACTATCCCGATTGACCTAAAGCATACCCTGCTTTATCTTCTATCCTCTAAATGAAACCATAATTTACTAAATGAACATCATGCTGTGTTGAAGAAGACTTGAAACTAATGATTGAGACCATAAACTCCTGAGGAAAGTGTTTACTGAGGTAATAAATCATGTGGGGGAAAAAAAAAGGTAATTTATTATTTCTAATGGATTTGTATGTACATGCCTACCATATAGTGTATATATATAATTATAAATATGGAAGACATGCAATTCAAAATCTAATTTCCAGCAACTTTAATGCATCAAGTCATTAAAAATGGTGTTGAAAAACATGTCATGTAACTAAGACAACTAGAGACCACTAAATTTGGTCCAGTTTTAACCTGCAAGGTAAATGAGTGCTTACTGGAACAATATCCGCTCACACCAGTTCTGTGTGTGTGTGTGTGTGTGTGTGTGTCTCACTCTGAAGTAGTGGAACCGGAAGGCGTCTGTCTTGGTTTTGAACACGTAGTAGCCGAGTGCAGCCAACACACACACCAGCAACACAGACACCAAGATGGCCGAAACTGTGCCACTTGAGTGGGTGTGGCCACGGGATGCATCATGGGAGCTCTGGAGACGGGTATGACAAACACAAACAAGAATTTATACATGATAACATCACATTAAACCTGTTAATCCTCACCACTGGATGTACCTCACACACACACACGCTAGGGAAACATGACTCCGTGCCGGGTCGTCACCACCAGCTTTATTTTTAATTCAACCAATTAAAATGAATAATTAATGTTAACCATCCAATCAGAAGACAAACAGGACTGATCCTCCTGATCCTGGTCACACGTTTATGACCGACTCTGGCAGCCATTTTGTTTTTCATCACAGGAGGAAGAACTTGTATGTTTACAGGTTATGCAGAAAGTCCACTAAGTTTGGCTGCGCCACGGTTTTGTTCAGTCCTCTGCCTAGCGTCAAATTCCACTGGAAGCATCTCAGACTCGTTTCAGGCGCGGAGCACGTTGTTGGCTTGTTGTGAATTTGTCCTTTTTGTGGTTCTACTACCTTCACAGCTCTCTGCTACCTGGTTGTCTGCACGTGTGCATATCCCACAGGGAGCATTTCAGAATCAGAGCGTTTTGCCTGCCTGACTTTTCTAACATGTTTAGATTTTGTTAATTTGATTATTAGTGCTTGCTTTTTGTGCTTCTACTATGATTAATTAGGCTACGTGATTAAATTGGTTCATATGACTGTATTGTTTATTTACGATCGGGAGTTTGCACATGCAGTTTTATTTTGAAAATTGACCGGATTCTCTCTGCCGTTCTGTGTATGACTTCTTGCCCGTTTCGATCTGCTCTGTTCTGCTTGATGCGTCTTCCGTTAAAAATAGACTCACTACGTAGTCTCTGCGGAGCGGAGAGCCGCTTCAGGGAAGCACTGCGGGCCCTGTCTGGTGGACAAAAAATGATTGGAATGGCCGCAATGTGCTCCAGCAGCAGTAACATGACGCAGGCGGACTCAGTGTGACGTTCGATGTTTAAGTTCTCAATTTACACAAACATTTGAGTTTGTTACTTTACCAGAAATACAAATGTGCTTTTGCTAAGAAATCATAAATGTATATCTCCTTGGTGTTTGTTTTGACACGTGTACTTATTTTTACTAAAAGAAGACAATTTATTTTTTCCATTAGTGTTCCTCAGTGGTAAATTGTCTCTAGCTGTGGAAATCAAGTTCTTACAGATCTTGCTTGGTGTGCCTTTTCTCTTTATGCTTGCTCACACACACACCCCCCCACCCCCACCCCCACCCACCCCGGGACCCACAGCTGCAGCCTAAACTCCAGCTGTGCTCTACACCATTTTGGTGAGGACAGAAACAGTGTATCTGCCATGTTAGGGGGCTGGGTTTGCCTGCCATTTTGTATCATTGTGTGACAAGCCACCTAGGTGCTCACATCCGCCATTTTCCTCGATCTTGTCTCTCTCACACACACATTCGCTGATTGTTGTATGTTTTTATTTTTGCTTAGAATAGATGATAGTGATTTACTGGCTGAAGTTGTTGATCATTGATCTTGTATTTTTAAAGAGCAGTTGGCTGTGGTTATTTGTGTATTGTGTAGTAATAACAGCTGGTTTTGACAGTCAGAGCTGGGATTCACGTTTCATTGTGTAAAATAGTATTTAATTAAAGCTGCAAGCAGCGTTGGGCAGGCCCTCGCACGTGTAACGCGTCAAGGCGTGAGGCGGCCGCGTTGCATATTCTGGAGCTCTGCCGGTGCTGCTGTGAATTTGCTACGCGCTTCGGACGCTGCACGAAGGTGTTATACGTCACTTCCTGTGTCCCCTTTGTGGCGCTACATAGTACTTGGCGCTATGAATATAAATGAATATTGGTGTGTACATGTGTTTGGGGTGGGACAGTAATCAAGCACGTAAAGTTTTGTTCAGATGTGAAAATATACGCTGAAGTTACAACAACTTCCTGTGTCATGGCGAAGAGTTGATCTTTGACGCCACACCACAGACACGCCCATTGATGAATACTCACAGATAGCACAACTTTTCATCGTCAATGCCTTTAGAAGGTACAACAGAAATTTGAAATCGATCCGACTAAATCCCTAGGAGTTTGTTAAAGTACGGAGTGTATAAATCATCCAAAAATATCTGTAAAATTCAAAATGGCCAACGTCCTGTTGAGGATATGGATTCTTGAGGCTTTTTTGTGCGTTGTGATATGATACATGTCCCCAGAAAATTTCGTGCATGTAGGTTGAACGTGGACGAGGGGCTAATTTTTTCAAATTTTCTAGGTGGCACTATGGAGTCATTTTGCCACGCCCATGCGCGAAACCCACAAAATACGACATTTTTCACCACTTCTGACATGTGCAAAATTTGGTGAGTTTGAGTATGTTTAGGCCCCCAACATTGAGCTTACTTTGCAGAAAAAATAAAAAATAAATAATCTCTTCAATTTCACGGTTCGTGCTCGGGCCCTAATTATTGGCATTAATAGGTGAGCAAAACCCCCTTTAAGACTATTTTTACGTGTAGGGTAGTGCACCATGTTCATTAACCTTTTATAAATAAGTTGTAATATGAATAACCTTATTAATATTTCTAAATTATATCTGATATTGTGCTAATTCCCAATTCTGCCCCTAACCAACACAGCTTTTAATGTGAGATTTAATGTATAAGAAATCATAATCTAAAGTCGGATCTTTCATAGGTTAGGTCAGTGTTTTAATCAGCTTTTAAACTGGCTTAATGAAATAAACCTCCCTGGTGTCATCAGGCTCCTTTTTAACAAAAAAACTCTGGGAATTTTGAGTTATTTGAATGTTTTCACACTGACCTGGTGTTTTTGTGACACTGGAGTCTTCTGACATTGTTGTTGTTGTTGTTTTTCTGACTCAAGGCTGCGTGCGGGTTTAGACTGCAGTAAACGGTCGGTGGTTTTGCGAGTGTTGTTGAGAACTCTGTGACCTTGTGTAGATGTGTGATAACCTGAGGACGCTCATAGGAGACCATAAAACAGCAGCACTCGGCCTGTTTGTTGTTAATCCTCCAGGCTCCACGCCTGCTCTACTCTGACACTTGGGAATATGCTCAAAATACTAATAAATATCTTTAATAAAGATTCAGGAGATATTTGGAAATTGTTTGTCCTGCAGTTAATTCTTCCACCCTCATCTTTCTGTAGCCTGTAGACACATTTATATTAATTTAATACCAAAAAGCTCAGTAAAGCGCAGTCTGGGTCGGAACATTTTTACATAATATGTTTCCAAATAATAAAAATTTGTCTTTAAATAACAAAATTTTGCTCTCAAATTATTTAACCTGACCCCCTCTATTTTGTACATCCATAAGCATGGAGTTTCTACTTTGAAGTAGAGTTTGGATCAATTGCATTTAATGTGTTTTTCTATAAAACGGATTTCAGGGAAAATATGTTTAAAGAGTAACCAAAAAACCTTTAACATTTATTACTCGTCACTCAGAATAAATTCAAGTAATAATTTATAGTTACTTATCAAATATGCCATGTACTTTTCCACAGTTTAAACAGTGTGTTTACACTGTCACATTACAGCAGGACACCACCACGATATAATGTGACTGCTTCACTGTAATAATGTGGTCAAACTAAACGGTTGATTAAATGTGTTTCATTACAGTGTAGTTTCAGGCTGCTGACGTTTTCATCAGCTACTTCATCCAAATACTGAGACGTGTTCAGACAGAACACGGATGCGATTGGATCCAAAGCAAACGCAAAGAGGCAACTCACAAATTTTGTAGGCGAGGAAATTAAAGATTAAAACTTCACTGTTAAAACTCAAAACCTTAAGATTCAAATAAACAGACTCTGTCCACAGTCAGTCTGTGGAGGGGAGGATGAATGAACGGTCATTTGGGGGAATAGAATAATTGTTATTTCGCCAGAGGCTTCGGATTAATCTGTTATGATCTAGTCTTCGTCATCTTTTGTGTCCCACATCATGAATATTGATCAGAGTTGTGATGTTATCAGGGTGGAAATTTGGCTGATTGAATCTTCATTTTCTGAAAACTGTGCCAAGAAACTAAATGCAGCCATCTGCTCCCTGCCCACAACCGTAGCTGTTTCCTGGCAACAACAGACACAATGCTCTATTAGGAAGCAGACCGGAGAGGGATGGACGCCATGGTGCCTCCTGGTGGCTGCGGCCAAAACTGCAGCAGGGTTCCATACACATTTTCACGTAATTGTTAGCGAGCTTAGGACGTAAAAATAACTGTTTGATGAATTAGGTTTGTTTACCCCGATAAAAATTTCTGTAATAATCTCAAAGACTTTCAAATCTGTCATCAAATAAGGTAACACAATGACACAATGGTGATCGAGCCTGATGAATTGCAATATTTATATATTTGCAGTATTATAAACTGAGTTTTGTTAGTGACATTACGAACATCTCCTACTGCTGCAGCTTCACACTGAAAGCATTTAACTTTTCAAAAACACCAGGTGACTTTTATGAAGTAGTCACAGGAAATGAAAGGCACCAAATCAAACATCACGACCACACGATCAGAGCGACGCTGACAAAGCTAAGGTTTGGCTGTAACATCACAGGTCAGCTGGGGATGTTACAGTGGAAACAAATAAACTGAATAAAGCAGCTGATCAAGTGGAAAACTACATGAAAAGCGGAATAAATATTCCCATTACACTGCTACGTATCAGTGAAGTCCAAGAATAGTAAGTATATTTCCAACTTTCCATCTGCATGTTTTTACATGTTGAATTTAAAACCCTGAATGGAAACACTGTAAATGTACAAATATTTTTGACATCACAAAAACGAGGTGGAGAAAATTGGAATATTGATGAAGCGAAAGCATGCCAAAGGCATTCAAAACAGATTTTATTTTTATATCCTGCACAAATACTGGAAGTTATTTTGAACATTTCAAATTAACATTTGAAACACCTGTTTGTAGTTTAACTTATCTGAATTCTTTTTTAACTTCTCGCTTAATTTTACTTTTTCTTATCTCTCCTTTGTCGATAGGTGGAGGCATTTACATTTAGCCTCAACTTGTTAATTGTCTTTTATTCTCTTCTATTCATGATTTTGTTCCTGCAATTTTTTTTAACTGTTAAATGCAAAACAACAAATATGCTAAGCTAACCTACCCTTTATAAATAAAGGTAAAATTACTACATGTAATGTAGTTCTGAGATACAGTTTTAAATTGGCCAGTTTTAAATATTTTGCCTGTATGTCCACAGGTTTTCAACACACATTAAATATCTGTACATGAGTGTTTGTGTTTATATCTATAAATGAGACATTTATCAAAAAGTTCCAAGTAAGTTTTGGAACTACAGTTCCCGTCATGCTCTGGGTGTAAACAGAAAGTGTAATGTCCGTCTGTTAGCTGTGAGCTACACCTGTTTGATTTATCCTATATACCTCCTACATATTGGTGAATCTACACAATTAAACATGCTGCATTAGTTACTAACAGTTTCTGTTTTCACCGTAACCATTAAAACTCTGAAACACAATGACTGAGGCAAAATCTAAATCTTCTTTTCTATGATTTCTGAGAGTTGTCTTTGATTCCAGTGTGTAAGGTTTTACGGCGTACACCAGCGACACTGTTCAGTTGTTGCCCTACTTGTCAGCAACTCTGGGTTAAACCATCTTCACTCACAGGTAGGTGTGGTGCGGTCAGCGGGGCCTCGAGGACATGGATGATGCCATTTACAGCAGGAATGTCCCAATCCAACAGCAGCTGCTTGTTCACCAGCTTATAGCTCTGACGGGAGATAATTAAAAAGATTAACAAAGACACAAAATCAAGAAATCTGTTTAATAAACATCTAATCTTTACTTAAATTTTTGGATTCATGGATGTGGGAGGTGCGTGTATGTGTGCGCCTGTTCCTGTACCTCGTTTTTGCCTTCAGTAACAGTCAGGTTGAACCCAAGCCTGGATATGATGAAATCCTGATGTCTCAGATCCTTGAACGATCGTCTGCCGTTATTAGCTGAGATGTGATACTCCAGATCTCTACCAGACAGAGTCTAAACACAAAGCAGAACAGAAAGTTTTCATTGACAGCTTCGCCTGTTGGAACCTGCTGGTATTCTGATTGAACTAGTTCAGTTCTAAAGGTTAAAGACCTAATTAGGAACTATTAAGTAAAGGTTAATATGTATGTGTGTGTGTGTGTGTTTATGTTCAAGAAGTAGAAAATGGGAGGTGGTGTGGGGGAAATGGAGTTGGGAAGTATAGAGATTAAATGCTTTGAACTTAAGAAGAAAAAAAGGAGGGGGAATTAACAAGAAGAAGAAAAAGGAAAAGCAGAAAAAAATATGAATGATTATATTCAAAATAATAAATTAATTGAATAAAACGTCTCTTCCTGCCTCCCTCCTCCGTCCCTCTGATTATTGTGATAATTTTCTACAATAATAATGTAACAAATGTTCAATAAATGTTTCATTTAATTAATTTGTCTTAAGATATTTTGTTCAGGAAAAGGGACTGAAAAAAGATTTTACTTAACTGTACTTTATCATTATAATAGTTTTAAATGTTCTATCTCAGATATGTCAAGTGATCCACTGTTTGGCATCAAGTGTTGTTCATGTTGTGAGCATAAAGAAAAGTTTAAAACCAAAGTTAACCATCTGGTTTCTTCAACTTTCACTCAGGAACACAAATAATCCTTTAAACTTGAAAGAAATAATGATTTGACATTTCAACTTAATAGGCCTACTGTAACTATTCCTCAATATGTATTGATTAAATGTCAAATATACTTCATGTATTAGTAACAGTTAACAATTAAATGCTCAAAACAGTAATTAGAATTAACTGTTACCATATGTATAAATATATTTACTTTTTTGTTAAGTAAAAAGTGAATTTGTTATAATATATTTACTTCTTTGTGAAATTTAAAAAAAGAAAGATGGCGCCGCTGTAGTTGCAGCATGTTGCAGGAGCTCTGGTAAACATTGTTTTTTTTCTGTATTTCCTTGTGTTTTGTCCCGTTTGTATAAAGGGGAATCAGGCTGAGGGAAGCCAAGACAAAGCTCATGAGTTTAATTTGCTTTTCAACATCATCTCTGCCTCCACAGCTGCTGCCTCCTCACACCTCTTCTGTGATTAGGATGAGTCCTGTTATCTGCAGAAATTCTCAGATGTGGGATGTGTGATTAGTGGATAAGACCCTGAGTACAGGTGGTCGATCGCTTTGGCTATTTTCAGACTGCAGGCCTTAATGCTCAATTCCGATTTTTTTCCCCCCCAGATCCAGTTTTTTTGTTTGACAGTTCATATTTCTGCTTAAATGTGGCCCATATCAGACTTCAGTGTGAACTGTCCGTGGCCTGAAAGTGACCCGCATGCGTAGAATAATAACACGTCACACGCAGCACGCTGTCATGCAGAAGTGAACAGAGCCACAGAGGTTAGCTCCGATTAGCTCATACGTGCTAACCCTCCCAATTTTCATGCGAGACTCACGTTTTTCCATTGTCCTCTCAGGGGTCACATTTCTCCCAAATTACTTTGGGACTTTGAACTTTCTGTCCTTTTCATTACGGTTTCCGGCGCTGTACAACGGATCTGCCCCATAACTCACTACCCCTCTCTCTCTCTCATAGTGTGGGTGGGAATAACCTCCTCATCTTAAATGTGGCCAAGATGGTTGTGAACACCATTTACACATGGGTATTCATCTTGACAACAGTCTGGAAGTGTAACACTGAGGCTGTCTACAGGACGGAACAGAGCAGACTCTACTTCTTGAGAAAGCTTCAGTCCTTTAATGTGTGCAGCAAGATGTTGCACGTTTTTTACCAGTCTGTTGCTGCAAGTTTAGTTTTCTTTGGAGCCATCTGTTGAGGCAGCAGCATCAGAGCCAGTGACACTAAGAAGCTGAACATGCTGATTAAGAGGGCTGGCTGGCTGGGACCGCCCCGGAGCCTCTTGAGTTGGTTGTGGACAGAAGGATGTTGCACAAACTGCTCAAAATTATGGATAACACTTGCACCTCTGCACGAACTACTGGTCGGACAACAAAGTCCGAAAGAGAGGAAACTCATTTGCACAGATATCGTCGAAGAGACATATCTCATATCTTCAAGCCTTTATGAATATTATATTTTTTAACCTACCTCATGTACGTTTTGTTTAAGTTGGGTATGTCTTGTAACTGTGATTTTATTGTATGTAAATGTCTGTGAAGGTTCTCAGTCATCCAGGTCATAGTTATCCAACGAAGGTTGAGGTCAAGGGCAACTGGACTTGGAAGAACATACTAGAAGACGTTTCAACAGTCGTCATGGTCATGGCCAAGTCTGAACAACCATCGTTGGCATCTACACCTGAGGCCAAGAGGAAATGCTTGTTTATTTTTCTGGGAAGTTATTAAAGGACCGCATTGTAAGTGGGGGATAAGTGGTGGCGTAGACCTCCTTCTCTGTTCAACGACAGCTTCTCGATCTGGGTGTAGATGGCTTCCCTGACACCTCTTTCAAACCATCCATCTTCTGTCTAAAATGTGCACCAGGTGATCCTTAAACGACTGTCCTTTATCCTTCAGATGTAAATAAACTGCTGAGTCTTGACCTGAGGAGTTGGCCCTTCTGTGTTGAGCCATGCGTTTGTGTAGTGGTTGTTTTAGTCTCCCCAATGTACAGTTCTGTGCCTTCCTCACTACATTGGATCGCATACACTAGATTGCTTTTCTTGTGTTTGGGTGTGCGGTCTTTAGGGTGTACCAGCATCTGTCTGTGTGTTCTTGGGTTTAAAAAACAGTTTGTTGAAAATCCTCCTGAGTTTCTCTGATACTCCAGACACGTATGGAATCACAATGTTGTTGTGTTTGACCTTCTTTTACTCATCCCCTGTAGTGTTGGTCTTCTTTCTGGATTTTGTCGCTGTTTTCACAAAGGTCCATTTAGGGTATCCACAGGCTATAAGTGCCCCCTTCACTTGCCACTAGCTGAGTTTCCCTACCACTCAGTCACAACGAAACGTCGTCTTATATCTTCCACCAAGTCCAGTTGCCCTTGACCTCAACCTTCATTGGATATTGTATGTAAAGCAGCAGTTTTTTAAATCCTAAATGTCTAATTCTTTATTTCTAAAATGCTTTTTTATTGCCTTTGACTATGACATGCATGATAAAAATAAGTAGATGTATTGTAACTGTTAGTTAAAGGGTAACACATTAGTAGCTAACCATTAATATAATACACAGATTGGCAAGTAAAACGGTGACATAAAATACTTATGTTTCGGTTACTGGTTTTATATTAACTTGACATTACTTTAAAAGGGTAATTAGTTTTGGCATTTAGTAATTATTAAAAGATCGGGGCTGTGCCTCACCTGGTTTTGGGCGAAGCCAGAGTTGTGAGGAACAAACAGGGTGACGTCAGACTTCCCGTGAGACAGAAAGTCAACGAGCTGTCTGCCCTCAGTGGTCGAGCCGCTATAGTCCAACAACAACTAGAGAGAGAGAGAGAGAGAGAGAGCGAGAGAGGTTATTTAGATTTCTTGTCAAAACTAATCCACCCAATTATTCTGTGATGCATGCTTTTAAATCCTATTACCGTAACACCACATGAACACATCACATTTATTTATGCATACCTTAAAACAGCTGTTCCAATGTGATTCAGGTCCACAAAGGTTGATTAGACTGTGTGGACCTGAGTCCTACACTATGAAATTTAATATACCCAGGATATCTTTTCTGTATCTAAGCAGTCACATAGCGTTGGTCATCAACTCTGTAAGTCAACCCAGGGTTTCCCAATCCAGCTATGAGTGTGTTCACATAATAGAGTAGGTATTAGCAGCATATGACCAATCGCAAACATGGACAAGTGTACTGTCAGCAGAGCTTCATATTTTACAAACGGAAAGCAAACTTTTATAGAATACGAGGAAGTTAAAGACACAGTTCAGGCTAAAAGGAACACAGCTGGAGGGACACAGCTGGAAAAAAACCTCAGACCTTGTGAATGTGTGTGAATAACAGACTTATCACTGCCCCGTCATTACAGCATAGTAGATCTGACTGTAATTACATTTGTGTGTGACATTAAATTAATGTGTAGCTTGTAACATATGTACGGTGTGGATGACAAGTTTAGGCTGTGAAACTGGCTTGGGGGCAAATAAAAAATAAATATAAAAACAAATTTCAAAAACAAAGTGTTAAGTACTAACTGTCAGATCTTGTAAGAAGAAGTACAAGGCTTTAGTGCTTCAATCAGCCTCTGCTATAGCATGATATCGGTATAAGTTATAAAAGCACAATTAAATGACTTTGACATTGCTTGCAGCCAACAGGGGAAAACATTTAATGACGAAGACAGGAAGGTGCCCTCCTACACAGGAGGAGGCTACACTCCTGCTGCTCCTGCTCGTAAAAAAAAAAAAACAAAATTGTGAAAGCCAAAGGGCTTTGCCGGTCTCTGAACACTCTCGCAGATCCTGCACAAACGGTCAGGAACCGTCTCAGAGAAGCTCATCTGCATGCTCGTCGTCCTCATCGGGGTCTCGACCTGACTGCAACTTTGCACAGCCATTGAAGAGGAGTGGACCAACGTCCCGCAGGCCACAATCAACAACCTGATCAACTCTATGCGAAGATGTGTTTCACTGCGTGAGGTAAATGGAGGTCACACCAGATACTGACTGGTTTCTGGACCCCCCCCCCCCTCCCAGTACAGTGAAACTGCACATTTTCAAGTGGCCTTTTATTGTGGCCAGCCTAAGGCACACCTGTGTAATACCCATGCTGTCTGATCAGCATCTTGATATGCCACACCTTTTGAGGTGGATGATTATTTTGGCAAAGGAGAAGTGCTCACTAAGACACATTTTGACAGATTTGTGAAATATATTTGAGAAAAATAGGCCTTTTGTGTACACAGAGAAAGTCTTAGATCTTTGAGTTCAGCTCATGATGAATAGGGGCAAAAACATAAGTGTTGTGTTTATAATTTTGTTCAGTGTAGCACTGCTATTTAAATAGCTGTATAACTGCTGTATAACTAAGTCTCAAATTTTCTTCCAGTTCTCAGTCCTTCAGGATGTATGTTATATTGTAAAACTGGTCAGATATTTGAATAAATGACCACAAGCAGCAGATGTCAAATCGATACAATACAACACGCCCCACTTCCGATACAGACGGGAAGTTTAAAGCCAAAACAATAGTACAATAATAGAAACGGAGCACTTCCTGTTTCTGAAACGCATACAGTCAATATGTTACGGACATGCACTTTATAGCAGACAGCAAGAATTTAAACTGAACTGAAACTAACTAACAGGGAGCCAGAAAAGAGGAGCCTGACTGGTTTAATGTTGAGGAGAAACCAGCAGGAATCAACCACCTGTTGAAAATGCAGCTTTCTACTATGTTTAGATTGTGGCTTTAACATTTCCTCCATAACAACAAGACATCTGTTCTTTCTCAGAGTTTTAGAGCTCCACATTTTAATCTCTTTTATAAGTCAGACCTTGAAATGAATCCTCCTACAGCTTTTTCTTTTTTGAGAGTGAGGGGGGGGCAGTTAAGTCAACACTACCTGTCAGCTGACAGCAGCTGCCTTTTCTTTTCATTAACTTTTCCTTTAAGTTTTCCGAAGCTCAGTTATCTTCAGGAGGTGTTTCTATCTTTCACAAAGGTTTGATTACCAAGTGTAAAAATACCTGCTGTCTTTTCCGTTTGTTGATTCTGTTTGTGTTTGCACTGTTACTGTTTTGTTGTGCAAGACTAAACCGTAAACCAGTTTGAAATAACACAGGAGACGACAAACTGTTCCTCTGTGTTTAGTTCTGAGATGTCTCTTTGTCTGAGGATGGAGAGGAAATTACTCCTTTTTTTTTTTTTTTTTTACAGCTAAATGGTCCAACTGTCACACTCACCTTGTAAAAGATAGAGAAGTTACTGTACGTTGCGAGGACACTGGTCAGGACGCCATTACAGAAGTCTCCGTTTCCAACGTAATCAGCAGGACACACACATGAAACATCTGCACGCGCGCACACACACACACACGTGTATACACACACACACACACACACACACATTAGTTATATTAAGGTTGTCTGCTGTTTATTTTTTGCACAGAATCATATTTGTGTCATTCTCACGTTTGGAGGTCTAATGTAGTGTCTCAGCTCTATCTCTTGATTTGTCTTCCGGTAAATTTTACCAGAAGTTGGGGTTGTATTGTCGTACTCTGCAGCTGTGTAGTGAGCAACTCTCTCTCAATCAGGCTTTAATATTCTGGAGAATTTGTACTACAGTGGAATAAATGCTGACTGATACTAGTCAATTAGTCAATGGGCAGAAACACCATCCAAGGAGGTTTAAATCTCTCATCCAAGAGGCTTCTTCATTTCTGACCTGAAGCTCTTGATTTAAACCTCCTTGGACAACTATGCCAGACAACTTGAGTAACCACCTCAATGTTAAATCATTTAAGTAATTTATCAAGCCAAAACACCAACAATTCAAATGTGAGAATTTCACAAATTTATTTGTTTTATGATTTAATTCTGATTAAATTTTCTAGTTTTTAGTTTCTATTTTCTAATAATAATAATCACCTCGGTACTCTATTCCCTGTCGTCAAACTGGTGTCAGTCTTTCTCGAAGGCTGTATTCATGCCCGGTCCGGCCACATTCCCCGGGAGGCTGCTGAGCCCGGTTTTGATCAGAAGTCAGCCAATAGGACCACTAGCTGCACGGCTAACTGAGCTAACCAGCTAACAGCAGCTACAGTAAGCAACAGTTAGTGGTTGCTTTAACAACAAGTAAAAATATCTGCCAATCGGAAAACTGAGAGCCAAGGCAAAGAAGCCGGAGGGCATCAGAGGGAAAACCAGAATATATTTTCTCAGTAAAATCAGTGAATAAAGTTAGAGTTGTTTTTGTACTGTAACTGTGAGGCCTGGCCCTCTCAGCGATGTTTTCAAACCTATATCTTTTCCCATTTGTGGTCTGATAAACAGCAAATCCATCAAATCCAGTGCTGTTGTTCAAGGAGGTCGTGTGGGAGTGACTGCCTTGAAAGTGACCAATCATAAGAGGTTACTGCCTCCAAATTGTCAAAAGTCACACGAGCAGAACTCAACTTTGAGAGCAGAGTTAACCTGTTCAGATCATGCATGCCCTCCAGTGCTCGCTAAGAAGAAACTCTAATACGTGGTAGCTGTTTTGTTCTGATGCTTCCTACGTTTTATCGCTCGCAGCTTCCTGTACAACTCTCGATTGTGGAATTTGTGAGTGAGGACTTATATTGTGCTAGTGGCAGTCAATATATGTCTGTGTGAAATTATATAATTTAATTGTGAGCATGTTTTATCGCGATCGTGACATGACATAAATCTGACACCATAGTCTGAACACCGTGCTGCGGTAGTACCTTTGACCCTGTAGCAGTAGGCATCGTACTTGCTGCTCTGGTCCACAGGTTCTTTGTAGATAACCAGGCCCACGTGGTTGTCTCCACACTTGACCGAGGGGAAGCGAGTCGGGTATCCCACCTTCCCCCCCTCCATCCAGCCGGCCACGCACAGATGCATCCCCAGCTGTCAGGACCGGAGAAGGAGGATGACAGCAGCATAAATGATTGATCACAAGTACCAGCATGCACTGTTGTGACCTGGACTGGTAAAAGATGAAAACGATACTTCACAATTGACTTGAAGAAGTTGTTATAATGTGGCAAGAGAGGCAGAGACGTTTAGTATTAAGTCCTGTTTGTTATTTAACAGGATATCTCAAAAGATCTAAAGGTAAAGCTTGATTTAAGCTTCTGCATTAAGGACTCACACCACACCAACTGTGGCTATATGCGAAGGCTATGAGGTTAAGCTGTAGCCGACATGAGCCTGATCAAAAATGTAGCTATATGTCAGGGCTACAGAGACCACGTGGGGATTGGAAACTGTGTGGCTGCTTGTATTTTCACAAGATCATAAGATCAATACTCATGCAGTAAAGAGTTAATGGTTCAATAAACTGTTCATCAGGAAAAAAATGCTCAGGTATTTCCCAAAACACTAGTTTTTAGCAAATGTTATGGAAACTGGAAGAATTAAAACATTTGAGGTGGCGCTTGCTGCTCTCACTTTATCTACCAAAACCAATGATCTTCATCTGCTTAAACATTGTTTCCTTTAAATATACAGTGTGTGTGTGTGTGAGTGAAGTGTATTGATCTGTGTGGTGTCTCTATGGAAACCCCTTCTGTAGGTGAGGTTACCTGCTGTGCGTCTCCCAGCTGTTTAAAGTTGGCCAGCGTGGCGTCCTCAGCCTTGCAGGCGGCGGCAGCCTGACTGAAGTTCATCTTGTACTTCCCCTCCAGAGAGCGCAGGTGGAAAACTCCGGCTGTGTTGGCTGAACCACAATAACCATGTTACCTTTACCTCAGATTACCGAGCCTTAACGAGCTGAGTACTTTTGCTTGCTAACGTTCGACTTTACAAACCTAGAATAAACAATGTTCTTCATAGCGTTACCATGGTAACATGAACGCCATAAAAAGGTCAGTGGCAATGGAATCAACAGTTACCATGGCAACTGCAATGAGGTAGGACTGTGGCGCCAACATGGCTCCTGCTCAGCAGAGGCAACACATGCAGCTACTGGATCGATGGCAACACCAGATTATTGGTGTGACTGGATGGATATTATGGCTGTCTTGCACCATCAACTTTTACTGATGTGTTGCCTAGGGTGACCATCCGTCCTCTTTTGGGACTTAAAAAATGCGCCTGGCCGTGATTTCTAAATCACCCAAAATGTCCGGGATTCGGATTTTGTTTTCTACAGTCAGCATTCATTGAGTGCGTTTTTGCATTTTTTCTTTAGGTCCCGCCTTCTCAGCTGCCACCATTGGTCTGTCATCCAGGCCTACACGTCCTTCACGTCAGCATTGCTCAAATTGCACCTCATTTTCCTCAGCACCACAGCCAAGAGAAAGAGCAACAGCTTGCTTTTCAACAGTGGCACATGGCGCCTGAACAGCTTAAAAATGCCCGAATGCAGTGACTGAAGTGGGCCGCAACTCACCGGTACGCAGCACTGGCACTTCCACATTTTACTCTTTGGCATACTGGGACTTTTTCCTGTGTACCAGCACTTCTCACAAGCTTCTGGTAACGTTACTTTTGTCTGCCCTCTCCTCCAGGGGAGACGGAGTAGGGAGAAGATTGTATGCACAGCCTAGACGGGGCGGGACATTAAAAAAAGGTTGGCGCGCTACAGAAACTTTGGAAATGTTGAACTCATTCTGCATGAATGGTTATGAATGACAATTTTGCACTTAGCATTAACAAATTAGAGACGAGCAACCATGTAGAGCATTTTTTGCACAAGGATTTAATGAATGAGAGCAACTTAATGAAACTGCTGTAACTGGAATTAATATTATACTAGTGGTAAGCAATTTATGATATTATCTGGAATTATAATACACTAATTACCCCTAATCAATCTTAACAAGAGAGAAAACGGTTTTATCTGGAAATCAGTTGAATTGATGAATATCAATAAGCTGTTGAAATATTACAAATAGGCCACTATAAACAATCTGTAGACAAACATAAGCCAAATAAAGTGTAACCTATAAATATATTCGAATTATACTAACGTTCAACTTTTTATTTAATATTGTATTATACTAATACACTGATTTATACTAGTTACTCCTCCAGGTGGATAGTGCCTCTGCAGTACACGTTAGGCGCGTTCAAGATGACTGTGGCTGACTTTCGCCGACTTGACAGTCTAACGTGAGCTGCATGCGCCTGCAGGGGCAAGGAATAAAAACGGCGCCGTCAAGTCAGACACAATCTACCTGCTTGAGCTTACTGTGAGCTGAGAATGACTGATCTCCACTGAGACCAGGCAAAAGTGTGGTTCCAATTTTGTGTGGCTGGAGAAAAGCAAGTGCGGTCGCTGAACTCGGCACCTGCAGGCGCCTTGCTCCCACAAGGTTTTAAGGTCATGTGACATGGTGACGTTTTGCAGCGCTGGCGAAAGTCTGAGACAATTTCTAACCAGCATGCCTTATGTTACGTTCAGCATGCATCACGTTAAGTCAGCGCTGCACAGTCAAACGCACCTATTGCCACGGTGCCACCAATTACTTGAATCTCCCCCAGCCCCAACCTTCCTCCCACTGTGGGTGTCCGTCAGTGGCCTCCTGCCCCCACTGTCCTCTTTTTTGAAAACCAAAATATGGTCACCCTAGTGTTGCCATGGTAACAAAAGTCACTACAGATGTGTTACCATGGTAATGCAGGTCCTTGCAGACAGCCGCAGGGTCACATCCTCCGTTGTCTTCCAGGCAGCGGTCAACAGGGGGCACCAACTTCTCCAGACACTGGACTCCATTACCCAGATACCCCGGCAAGCACGCACACTCACGCTCGTTCTGGAGGATCGATCAGGTTGAAGCAGGATATCGGGTTATGTGTTTAGATGTGGTTAGATCCTGTTCCTCTCCACTGTCTAACTAGTTTTCTGAGGCAGTGGTAAATATAATAAGAAACCTGCTGAGGTTCATTTAGTAGTTCAACTTGTCGCCACAAGTTGGGACAGAAAGAGAAATACATTTTTGTTTGTTGAGTTTGCCACCACCACTGACAGTATCTCTGTTCTGGATGTTGTCGACTAAAAACTGTTTTTTTTTTTTTTTTAAAACACAACATCTCTTAATTCTTAATCCCTATCATACAGTAAAAAATACAGGTTTTTACTCACTGGACCAGTGAACTTGCAGGAGGCAAAGTCACTGCAGCCACCGTTTGGCTCTTCAACACACCTGGATTACAAACAAGCAGAAAAACAGAAGGCTGATGTCACATCTCTAACCGTGAAGGTGTTACATTGAGATAAAATTCAAACAGGAATTTACTTCAGAGAAAATGAAAGCCCACGCCCACCTGTTAATGGGCTCGCAGGAGTAGCCATCTCCTTGGTAATTGCTGTGACAGGTGCAGTTGACGAGCAGCCCCGTCTGGTTACAGTCTGCGTTCTGGTGACAGCCACCGTTATACTCAGAGCAGAGATCTGGAGCTGCAGAGCGTTGAATAAGACTGTCATCTGAACTGCTCGCATGGTGGATTCATGCCAGAACAAATGATGTGTGAATGTGTCTCATCTACATATTTACATATTACTCATTGTTATGCAGTATTTTGAGAGCATACAGCAATACAGGATTTTCTATATATATATAATATATTCATCATGAGCTGAACTCAAAGATCTAAGACTTTCTCTATGTACACAAAAAGCCCTATTTCTCTCACAAATTGTTCACAAATCTGACAAGATCTATGTTAGCGAGCACTTCTCCTTTACCGAAATAATACATCCACCTCCAAGGTGTGGCATATCAAGATGATGATCACACAGCATGGGTATTACACAGGTGTGCCTCAGGCTGGCCACAATGAAAGTCTTGGTGTTCTCATGGTGAATGGGGGCAAAAACAAAAGTGTTGCGTTTGTGATTTTGTTCAGTATATTTTTGAATTTTATTGTTTTGTCTCCACACTAGAACACTGGATTTGAAATGAAATTTTGGCCATAAAGCTGAAGTGTTGATTTTCAACTTTGAGGGGTTTTATATCGAGATTGGGTGAACACTGTTTGTTGTATAGCCCTGCAGAGTTCCCAGTTTTTGGACAATAAAAAAACACAATGACACCTGAAGTAAGCTACTCCCCCATCCTTATCACCTTCTACTGCAGCAGCATTGAGCGTGTAGTGAACCGACAGTGTGGATTTGTGCATTTTATATTAAATAATTTGGAGACTCAACTCCTCTTTTCTCTCCCAGAGAGAAGGAGGAGGGGGGCTGAGATCAACTTTCAACAGACGGCTGAAGAGACTCAAAGGAAAAGGTGTAAGGTTTCTCTCCCTAAGTGCTGTCTCTAGGCAGTTGATCGTAAAACTGGCCACCTTTGGCAACAGCCGAGATAAGCCTCTCGGTGCCTGAATTGTTAAAATGACAAAGAAACTAACCAGAGATTACAAACAGCCTATCAGAACTCTTATTAAAGAAAGGGGCAGGAAACCCTAAACTGCAACACACATGTAACCATGGCAACTGACCTTCCTCTGCTTTTGATTACCTCTCATCAAAGGGATACTCCTCGTCACAACCAGGTGTGACAAAATCCAGGACACCAAGGACAGCCCTGAACTTTATGTAAACAAAGACTGCAGTCTCCAAAGACTCAAAGCATTACCTGTTTAATTAAATAATCTTTTAGTTACTTGATTATGTTTGCCTCTATTTGAGTAGTTACGTTACCATGTTGTTGCTATCTGTGGTTGATATTATTGCTGAAAAAGAATCTAAATAAGTTACTTTTGCAGTGTTTTAATTTTCAGCAAGGTTAAGGACACTCTTTCAGTTTATGTGTAAACAATGCTTGTTCACAATGCTTTCTGACAACACCTGTCATACTATTCTCTACTCTATTAATTGCCAGCTTAAATTTAAGGCTAAATAACTAAATTTCCCAGTTCCTAGGCATAGATTGTTTTTGGATTAATTTAAGCTATCGTCATGTTACCTGAGTTCCCCCAAGTGGACGAAATAAGTATTACATGCCATCATTCTGAAATGCTAACCTTTTAAGGTCTAATTACTGACAATTGTTTTCCTGTTACCAAATGCTTGAACTTAGAACGGTACAACCATTTGACCGTTGAGGTTTGATTGTGGGAAGATATTATAATTATTATATATATATTATTCTTTTCCTTTTATAGAAATATTAAAAGTTTAGAAAGACAGTCCCTCGGGAAACTGGAAACGAAGGACTGCCCTCTGACAACAAAAGAGCGACACACAACGTTGTTCACTCTTTTCCCCTTGCTCTCTGCCACCCTCCTCTGCTGGCTTGGTCCAGGCTCTTCAACGGCGCTTCGGCACGCGCCCGGCGTGCCCCTCTCCTGGCAACGCCCTAAGAATTCGACCAGCACAACAAAGTCTTAGTTTCGCTTGAAGCTACACACGCGAAGTGCCGCGACTTCAGTTTCCCTCAGTTCCAGCAACTTTACTTGTTTTATTTTCTTTCTTTTGTTTTGTTAAAGTTATCAGTCCATTAAGTTACACTAGTCTAATTCAAGAACGACCAAGTTCCCCTTTTTAAGTTTTTTCGTCGAGCTAACTTCACCGAGGTCAGACCAAGCCACGTGGTTTCGCCAGCGACAACAAAGGACACCTGAAGAACAGCCGAGTTGCCAGACGGAGTACGGCCAACCCTTGAGGGTTTTTCTTCAGACACGGAGAACCCCGGAGAATTCCCTAGCAAAAAGCCAGGAATCGGGCAGCTAGCGCGGGACCCGTGCAACAGGCCAAGGCAGGCCGCCGACCTACCGTAAGGCAAAACAAGGCATTCTGTGACCAGTGATGTCCAATAGTTGTTAATCCATTATATTCAGTCCTTAAACCCCTCGACAAGTTTAACCGAGTTATCATCTAATTGCATTCATTAGTTGCCGTATGAGTCAAATGCTTCCCACAACAGGAACTCCTTCTCATTGTTTAGCCATTGTTTATTTCTCTGATGTATTGATCCACCTTTTTATATCACCTTAGTTAGTTAATAAATTCACTGTAATCAAGGAATTGTGTGTGTTGCCTATTTCTAAGCCAAGAGAATTTACCCTTTAGATATGAGACTGACTGATTGATTTAAGATAACTGAGCGATTATTAACTAACTGATCACTGGTGAATAATTTTATAATTATTAAAAGCTACCTAGAGGTCCGGAGACTCTAGGTTAATAACAACTCCGGTGGTGCCCCTGCGAAACGAGAGCTTTTTATGGATTAATATTTTCTGAATATTAAAATTCATAATTGGGTATTAATTCTCATAAATTTATTAAAATTCATACGTAGTTTAGACATGGCATGCGCATCCTGACCAGCTGCATCCTTACCAGGTGTGGAAACCCAACAAAACGAATGACTGACTGAAGCCGTTTTGCTGCAAACGATGCCGTCCTTCAGATGAGTTCCTGACTCACTGTGGTCACCACCTAATCATCCCCCAGTATAATTACTTTAGTTTTTTATAAATTGTGTCGTTTAACTGTAATGGATCTCATCCTTATAGCTTTCCTTTTCTTTCGTCTAATGCTTAGAAATTACGAACTGTATAGCTGTTTATTGACATTTATAGAAAAGTATTGGTATTGTGGAAGGATATGTGATTAAAACACGCGCACTTTAAGACATTACTTTTAGAGGTGCTCCGATCAGGATTTTTAGGACCGATTTGCTGAAAGCAGTATCAGCCAATACCGATCTATTTGAAGCATTTTATTTATTATATATTTTTAGACTTGAAAATAAGGGAAATTTAAAAAAGTAAAAGTACAATGTACATTCCACATTATACTGTTAGTATACTGTTAATATTACTTATAATTACTACATTCATTTTAATTTCATATGGTTTACCACTAGCATAGGCCTAATATTATTTCAGTGAGTTGTTTTCATCTATTAAATCCTTGTGCAAGAAGCACAGTCTACATCTTTCACATGGACCTACTGCCACCGGCTTTACCAGAGGAGAGAGTAGTAAACCGCAAATGGTTTCAGACCGCATAGTGAAACCATTTTGTCCAGCGAGTATTGCATGATCTGATCGGCCTTTTTAGAGACCACCGATTAAACTAGTTAAAGCCATTATTGGCCAATTAAGATTGGTGACCGATCTATCAGAGCACCCTTAATTACTTTGGATTAAAGTTAAAACCTCGAGGGACAAGGGCCAAGCCCCAGGAGAGGGACAAACAAAAACACAGAGGACCCGTGGTCTGACCCTCTTCTCTTCGCTCTTTAATTCGTGACTTTCAGACCCCTGCATTCAAGGGCTGGCCCTGAGTAGCCTACCTCCATGACTTTCAAATTTTATTTTATTTTCGAGCCCCAACAAGGATGAAAATTTCCACAGACTATTTCATTCATCTCAGCAATGTTAATTATATTCATGAGGTCTCGCGAACATTCATTGAATTTGGGGGGCTTTCACACCTACCTCGTTTGGTCCGGCCTTTCGGACTTTTCAGTTTGGTCCGAACCAAAATTGCAGGTGTGAAACCTCCCATGGATCATGGTCTGGACAAAAAGACGAAATTTGGTTCTTCTTTTTGGTGTGAAAGCATTTTACGGATGGTTTGGACTTTCAGACTATTTACAGGAAGTTTGGCGAGTGACGTGTAAACTGGAAACAAACAAATGCACAGAGAAAGATATTAAAATAAGGACACAATTATAAATCGCCCGTGACAGATCATCATTTCAAACAGACAACCACTATAGAAGCACACTGCCACATACAACTTTAGTTTCTCCTCAAACGGAGGTGCAGAAGAATTGCTTGTTGTCTTCTCCTCCTATCCTGTCGGCGAAGTTATCATATTCGCACAACGAGGATGTTTAATTGCATATTTGAACAATTTTTCCGTATAGTTGGTGCTGCTATAGTTGGTAGTAATGCCATAATAATAACATAGTGGCAAATATGCATATGTTAATTTTTTATTCATTCTTGTCAAAGATACCCGCTGAACTGTTTAATAAACCAGTCAATGTCAAGTATAGAGAGACGCAGCCCACATAGATGATGACGATAGGATGCAAGTGTGTCATGTAAAGTCCTTTAGTGCGGTCGCAGAATTGCAGTGTGAAACCAAACCAAATCTAATGTATCTAATCAAATAAAAATGTACGAAAACATGAACTTTGGTTCGGACCTTGGTGCGGACTTTCAGGTGTGAAAGCCCCCTTATGTTTGTTTTGTTTATAATTATTAGGTTGTTCAATTTATGTAACTTTTGATTGAGAAACAACAATCAAGTTTCTTTTAAAACCTTATCTTGGTCTAAATTAATTTCCACTACTTCTAATGACCAATGGAGTTAAATTCCAGTCAAATGAGTTGAATGAGCCACCAGTAACCAAGAAGACATCCACTTCAGAACACCGAGCTAGAGCTAACGGCCTCGATCACTGCAAGTGTCTAGCAGCCACATGCCGAACCCAAGGAACCTGAGACAACTCACTGGCGAAAACCCGGTTCTGCACTGCCGTACAGCATGCCAAGCCCGCCTAGAGGCCATGAACGCAACTAACAAAGTAGCTAGCTGTGGGCCTTCGGAGTAACAGACGGTTGAGGAACCACAAAGCAGTAAAGCAAACAACTCGACATGCTGTGGTTAAAAGTTGATGTCGTTTAGTTCTGAAACTCATAGCCTCATTCTAAACTTAGTTATCACCAAAGAACTTACATCGATTCCTGTCCCTTATTTCTTTAGAATCACATTCTTTCCACAATAGCCAAACTGAATTCACATTGAACCATATTACTTCTGTTCTGTCTCCCGGTGATTGCATTCTGGTTGTTGTTTTAATCATTGTTGTTTTGTTTCTTTATATCCCTGTTTACCCTGACATGTTTTCACTTTAGTTAGTTAATAAATATTCACTTAGATTACAGGAACATGTTTGTACTGTTTCATAAACCCAGGTAAATACACAGAGGACTCATCATCAGATTTGAGACTGAGTAACTGGTTAAAAATAATTGAACTATTAAGAACTAACTGATCAATAGTAATAATTGTTGTAATTATTAAGCTATACCCAAAAAGTCCTAACAGCCCCCCCCCAAAAAAAAAGTCCAGTTACATTTTATCCTCTAACATTGATGGTGTATAATAAAAGCATTTTCTACACTGTTGTTGATCCGATTTGGACATTAACTCCCTCAAATTAAAGCTGAAAGTGGGAAAGAAAAACTTTAAGTTCTTAGTCGCAGTATTGTTCAAAAAAGTCTGAATGTGTTTGTTTGAGCCACAGCAGGGTCAGAGTGACCCAAGATCCTGCAGCAGGACTTCAGCAAAACATTTTAGTGTGTTCATTGTTATCAAATAAAGTAAGTTTTGGACTCTGTTTCCAGTTTATAAATCTTTCGTGGCTACAAAAACTAATGTTGTTATTATCATCATATATGACACCTTCGCCATGCTCTGGTTAGTTTGATATGTCTGATTATGTTGCTACTTTATTTCACTATCATCAAGCAGACAAAAGGCTGCAGAACACTCACGTGGCTCTGGACTGCAGAAGGTGCCGTTCCCCTGAAACCCAGATTTACACTGACAGCCAACACCTGGCACACAGTCAGCCTGATCGTGGCACTGCCGGCACTCCTCTGGGATCAGGCCTGGACAGACAGAAGGGTGGATGATTCATTGAAGAAGGAATTGCACAACATTGTAAAGACTAACTGTAAAGATCAGGAGTTGACAACATGTCTGTTTGACGAGTAACAACTAGAAAGCACTGCAAGAAAAACACAAACTTAAATCTCCTCCAATGCTGCACAGTCTTCTAATTTAATTCTTAACCTGCATCTTCATCTCCAAGTTACACTTGTTGTGTTCCTCAAACCATGGTCTGCAACAATGCTTATGTCATAATGTTATGGCTGATTGGTGTATATTATATTTTGAACATATAATATTTTGACGTTTTAGCAAGACTCACCTATTTCGTTTTGGCAGCGATCGCCCTCCCAGCCCAGCTTACAGACACACTGTCCAGAGCCTTCAATGCCCTCATCACACCTTCCCTGCTTCCCACAGCTGCAGACTGAGAGAGAGGAAAAACATGACTTCAACTCGCTGATAATTTAAAATAATAATTATTTCAGGGTTCCTTCATTTTCTCCAAACAGTGTTAGGAGACTGTTAGACCTCTTTGAGCCTTGGATAGACATGAAACTTTCTTGGTTGAATCATCTGTACAAAAGATGAATGAAGGAGGTGGTGCACTTCAGTAACATCCAACCTTAGAGCTTCAGATCATGTGTGCCGCTGACGCTAAAGATTGCATTTTGTAGAAACTTATTCAGAAACATTCAGCAGTTTAAATCAGTTCATTTTGTGATTCTCGATCAGTTTGGGATTAATTCAGTAACCATGGTGACAGCTCTGATTTACACCTCTGACTGGCTTTTTCTCCACTGCAAAGGATGACTTGATAAACGTTAAGGAGATCACTGAAAGAAAACTTTGAAACCTGAACAGAAGATGATCAGCAGCTACTTAATATTTTCAACAGGGTCTGCTGAGTGAAGACAGCTGGCAGGTTCCTCCTGAGCTGGAAACATACCCAGCTGTGTGATGGAGCGTTACTATGGTGACAGACTGCTGGATACCTGATTGGGGTGAGACTGTCTGCTGACTTCAGATTATTTTTTTTTGGGGGGGGGGCAGCTACGTGTCTGCCTGAAACGTAAAATCCACATGGAGACAAGAACTGTGATTGGTCAGTTCTGCCAACTAGTTTCTGATGTCGATTGTGAATATAACAAGCAACAACTTGAAAAAAGGTAATCTGGCCATTTTCAGTAACATACGTCTAGCAAAGCAATCTCTGCTGCAAACCTTCTTATACTCCCTGTGTCATTTTATTATGATAATTTTCCTGGGAAAACTGTCCGCCGAGATTACGTTATTCTGGTATTTTCTTCTGACTTTTAATTTGGGTTCAAACACAGTGTTTTAGTTTTGCGTTGAAATCAAACCCGTGTATTTCCTGTTTTTGGTCTACCTGTGCAGTTGGGGCCGTAGTGGCCTGTGACACACAGTTCGCAGGCTTGTCCTCTGAAGCCTTCACGGCATCTACATCTTCCTGAACCGCGCACATCATCATCGCATTCACCATTGTGGCCACAAGGGGCCTCCACACCACCTGGACAAACTCAAATACAGAGGAAAGGGGTAGAGTTAAAAAACACAGTGAGGACAAAGAAGGCTCTTCCTGGTAACAAAAGACGACAATGAGGTTTAAACAAAATGCTCTTTATTATGGCTGACATTTTGCTTTGTCAAACCCAGGTGTAAGAAATAACTTTAACAGAGCCTGGATTCCTGAGACACTTCAGTGTCACCTATACTTCTGCTACAACAAGTCAAAATGTAAGATTAAGACTAGCTCTACAAATGGTAGGGTATTAGAGAATTAACATGGAGCCTCTACGAGACATAGCACTTTCTCCAGATGAAGGTCTGACCACAGGAGCACTTTCTTTCCTTCCTTACCTTGACAGTCTCGGCCATAGTGGTTTTTGCAGCACTTCTGGACCCAGGACGGAAACAGACAAACTCTCTTACAGCCCATCCGACGGCTGAAATGATCATCCAGGGTAGAATACCAAGGTGGGTAGCCGTGCCTATACCTGGAGTAAGAGTTCAAGCAACTCTCCTTCTTTCCCTGGAAGAAGGCAGTTTATGTTTATATATTGTATAAGCTGCTAATGTTCTTTTAGTAGACAGACAGATCTTACTGTGTCATGGTGTCTCAATGGGCAGGTAGGAGGGAAGATGCAGCCACCACAGCGTCCCTGAGACATTTTAGAAAATAAAGCTTCAGTCCAGCTTTCAATACCCTTGTATTAAAGGCTTAGATCAATTTAATTACCATAGTAGTGTGTAGGGCTATGTGATATGACAAAAATCTCAAATTACATTACATTACAGATTACATTTAAATAATTGATTTCAGCCCCAAATGTCTGGGGTGACCAGGCCTTTACAATGAGCAGTAGGTATTTAATACTATCAGATATATCACTAGTTTTTTAACCATGCTAGTGCCCCCCCCCCCGCGGCGGTGCTCAACGGTCCCATTATGGCAATTGTTTAAACGTGTGTTGATAAGCATGCTGTAATTTCAGGAGCTACAGCTATGTATTTAACAGATAGAAGCAGAACAGCAGAAGAAGAACGCCCAATAAGTTCTGCTGAGTGAGGGGGGATTGGAAGGGGGAGGGATAACGGCGGCATAGGTGCGCAAGTCTGTGTGCATGTGTGAGAGAGAGAGAGAGAGAGAAAGAGAGAGAGCACTCCGTTTATTTATTCTCATTTCTAGGCTAACTGAGTGATTATTACCAAAATTGGTGGCTGCTGTACAGAGCAGGGGGAACCGTAGCTGAGAGTCCAGAGTGAGAGAGTCTGATCCGAGCAGGTCCAGAGCAAAATCCGGGAATAGTTTAGCCGGGCGGGGGTCCAGGCGGAGAGCGCACGGGATGAGCGGTGTTTCTGGTAGCGGAACTAAATCTAACATGTTATTATGCAAAATTCACTTTTAATTTTAATTATACCGACAAAATGCTCTTCTTCTACAATATAATTAGGCTTATTTAAATGCATTGTGTTGCTGTTTGTTTCCAGCCTACAGTTTACTGATTCATTTTAAGATGTAGGAAATTTGACTGTTTTGATCTGTAATGAAATTATGCAATTGTAAAATTAATAAACGGCATAACTTCCACACTACTGCAGTCATCACTCAGTTTAAACTGCTCCCACACAGCTGAGGGCTTCATTTAGTTTTCCCTTTGATGTGAACTGGAGCGTTGCGTTCACTGCTGTCGGCGGAGGTCAGGCGTGCGAAAAAAAGCCTCAATAATAGAATCTCATAATTGAAAACTGAATGTGTACCCAACGGTCGAATATTCGGGTCCAGCCCTACAAAACAGAATCAAATGTAATAGTATTAGCAGTACTAACATAAGTGGTTCGGTTCTCCAGGGTGTCACAGTGTGCTCCCAGGCCAGGTGGCTCCAGCAGTTGGTCGATGCCATAGGCCAAGCCCTCCTTGAACGTCAGGTAGCGTTCCACTAACCTGGCTGCATTATCATTAATCAATACAGCCCCCTGAACACACACACAAAATCAATAGCTTTTTAAAACAGTCCACAACAAAACCAGAACAGAACACATATCATGTACTTTCACACCTTTCCTGTTTGGCTAGTATCAAAGAAGTCAATAAAACTCTGGTGTTAATTCAAATAAGCTATTGTTAAATCAGTGAAGAAAGAGTGAAAATTGTACATACATCAGAAAGTTCAAACATAGCGACCACACAGTGGTGTGAACTATCCCAATGTAATATTACAATACAAAATGTCTCTCTCTTTCTTTTTTTTGTGTCTCTGTTTCTACCTGTTCGTCATTATTTATGACAAATGAGTTCCAGTTACAGAGTGGATCTATAATGCCCATCATAAGTTACAGTATTTCTCAAGGAGCTCTTTGTGACACCAGAGAAGGTAAAGTGCTTTCACCAAAATTTGATTTTCCTCTACGGGCCCATGTAGAGCTGACGAAGCAGGATGAATTCACCAATCAATAAATAGTCAGTCCAAACAACTTCCGAAGTTTGAAATCCTGTCTTATCTCAGTTTAGAATGATATTTAGGATTGGTACTACAGAAACATGTTTTCCAACTACATTTGCTATCTTATCTAATGATTTTAGCTATTACAGAACCGCCCTAACCCAAGACTTTTTCCTAAGTTAGGGCTGCATAGACCCCGTCCTGAACTCATAATTACTGTGGCAACACTACTGTTGTTAGGTCTGTATGTCAATAACAATGAAGATGGGGAACAACAAGAACACCAAAATATTACGACTGAAAGGCTACTCAAGCTCTTTTAATTTCCTGGATCATTTATTTATGAGTATATTATCGACTGCAAAGATGATTAATTTTGAATTAATTGTTGTGCTACATCTTAGAGATCGACCGATATGTTTTTTTTCGGGGCCGATCCCGATTAGACCAATTAGACCATTTGAACGATATGTGGAACAGATATTACATTTGCTGTAAAATTTTTAATCTTGGTGACAAAATTGAGAATAACATAAACTCCAACACAAAACTTTGTTGAAAATAACAAGATTAAAGTTAATTGTCATGTTTAATCTAAATAGTGAATTAAATAAATTAAAGATCCATCACAAAGATGGACTTAATGATAAATTATCATCAACTTTGTCTTTACCTGCTGCCATTTATATTGTATTTATTTTATATTGTTAGGATTTTATTGATGCAATTTATTGGTACTGTGTATTTGTTCTGTTCTTTATCTATACTTTTATTAGTTTTTGAGCTTTGTAACTCCTTTCTGCTACATAGCAGACACATTAATAAAGAATCAATTATGAAGAATAGTAAACAGAAATAAACTATCATCACTGGAGCAGAGCTGAGGATGAATTAGAGTCTGATAGCTTGGGGGAAAAAGCTGCTCTGCAGTCTGGTGGTTACAGCAGCAAAGTAACAATATGAAATCAGTATCACACTGGATACAAATGGAACATGTAAAATAAACTATATTCCAGCTATTAGCTGAGCTAGCACATGTGTTTGTATAAAACCAAAACACAGCTGCGGTGGATGAGAAACAGCAGATTAAAATATAGCTTGGTTTGATAGGCTATGTCATTAATAAACCGACCTGCTGCTCATCTGCTGCGGTGGATGAGAAAGAGCAGATTAATCTAGATTAATATAGCTTGTTTTGATAGGTAACACCCAATATATGAACATGTCGACTTGCTAAAATGACTAACTTTCTGTGTTAATCTCCCTCGTAGGTCTACCTGTGGCTACTGAAGTGGAGAGCAGTACCATCATGTTACTACCACACCTGTCTCCAGTTTCTACTCCTCCAGTGGATCCTGGCCATCAGTCCTTAATGACGTTGATGTGGTGAGCAGGGAACCAACACAGGTTGACAGAGACATTTAGACTTTTCCAAAAAGACACTCGGACAGTAAAAGTCTTTTCTATCATTACATGTTTAGATCACTCATCAAGAAGCTGGCTGAGAAAATGATGTTATCTTAACTGTTTGGCTGTTATTAAAGATTCAAGCTTTGGTCATAATCTGTTTAGAAGTCTTTTTATTCAGAACTACATTAATCAGTGTCTACTAACTCTTGAATAGCCATTAAGCTCAGTAGCACTGGTGGTATCATATGTTTCCTGTTTGACTTCAAACATAGTAGATATAATAATACAGAGTTATTGTTTTTCATCAGAATCAGCTTTATTGCCAAGTAGGTTTAAGAAATTTGCTTTGGTGTTTTTGTGCTAAACAAACATAGCAGGTTTAGGAACATAAGAAAGATTCATCAGGTCTTATTTAAAAACAAGAGATGTTTTTGTGTCATATATAGTGACAACGCCCGACAGAGGGGACTACAACAAAATTTTGATTAAGGCCCCCGAAGGTCTAGGACCGGCTCTGAAAGATAGGATGTTTCCTATCTTTGAAACTTAGCTAAGTTAAGTTAAAACAGGACAAGCAGGTAGGATGGATGTTGTTGCTGTCAATATAAAACAGTGTAGCCAGCTGCCAGGTGCAGATGCTAACATGAATACCTGTTTGGTTTGTGTGTGTTTTCTTACCACCAGGGTCTTGTCACAGCTGTATTTGATGGTGGATCCATGCATGGTGCGGAAGGAGGAGTATTTATCCGGCTGACTGACACCAATCACCTGCACGCACACACAAACACACAATTGATCTTTTTGTAGAGCTAAAACAGCAAGACCTTCTGCTCCTCATCCTACACCTCCTCCCTTTGAAGGACAACTCTACATTTTTTGGATTAGTGAGGATTTTGAATATACATGTTCATTAGGATATTTCCTAATGACTGTGGTGACCCCACAACCCTTCCTCTGCAACCACCCCCAGAACAAACATCTTATTTTCAACTCACTTACTGGTGAGCAGGGGAGGTGTGGGAATCACTTTTGGTCTAGGAGTTAAACAATGCAGAATGAATCACCACAGATGTAGGGTAGTCAGGAAGAGGAGGTGGGGTGGTATTGACAAGGGCCAACTTGTCGCATGGGCAAACATCAGTTTTTCCTTTTTTAAATTCTGTATATGCTTATTACAACTACATATTTCTTTATCAGTCATATTCATAATCAGTGTGTTGTCTTTCAGGGTTCTCAGTCTGACTATTTAATTGTTGAAAAAGATGTTTCCCAAGGTTAATTAATGACTTTCCTCAAATATGCTCAAGTTGTCTTATTCGTTTTTATGCGGATCACACTGTTATTTACTCTGATATATTACAAACCCAGAAATCTTTACAGTATGATTAATTAACTTGGTCCAAAACTGGTTTCATAACAACAAACTCATGTGTATTAATTCTGATGATGTGTCATCCTTTGAGAAAGTTAATTTGTTCAAATAACTTTGACTTGACCAACGTTCCTTTAAGCCCGACACTGATTTTATCATGAAAAGAACATGTGGTTCTCTGAGTTCACTTTATTACTCAATTAACTGTTAACAGTCGGAAAAACAATAATATCTCAGTTGATACTATTTATTATTGATTATGCTTTATATTATCGGAACACCTCTGGCACCTTAATGTTGTATATAATTCTCTAGATTTGTTTTGAGATGTCCATATATGTTATAGAACCTGTTGCTTTTGATTAATGATTAAAGACAAATTCTCTGCTTTAATTGCGCCGTATGACAATGCTACTTTATTTATTATCCTGGTCATTGTATCGAATTTCTCTTGTACTACAGTAGATGGCTGGACATTTTGACAATTTTCAGACATTTACAAAGAAAAACAGTAAATGTGACAATAAATTACGATGTTATTTGCAGCACTACAAAGGTGATTTCTTAAAGGTTCAGTGTGTAATATTTCTGAGGATTTATTGACAGAAATGTAATATAATATATATAACTATGTTTTCAGTGGGATATAAAGACCTACAATAGCCGACAACAGACAAACAGCGCTACAGAGCGCGTTTTGTCATATCGGCGGTCTTCGTCTGCTTGTATAATTCCGGCAGCGTAGACGCCCGTCACTACATTAAATGTGTCCGTAGAAGAAGAAGAGGAAATAATAATGATGTGAAACAGTCTCTGAGTAGTCCTCTGGTTTATTAGAAGTAAGAAGAGAAGTGACATTTGGACAAATGAAAGAGCACACGAGTTATTTAGTACGAGAGCCGACAGCCTGTGGATCTTTATACCATGAAGCCAGAGGAGGCGGGACAGATACAGCTGACGAAAGAAATCACGGACATAATCGGTGTGGATTTTCCCGGATGGAAGGCTTTGATGTGGGACAGATGTTTTCAACGGGAGCTGAAGTTGTCTGTTTTCTGCCGGACAGGTAATTAATTTAGTCGGACTTTAGCGATGCAAATGAAAACTGTTGTTTGATAGCTTTAGCTTGAAGCTGGCCATAATCACCGACAGACCTAGGGTCTCATTTATAAACGGTGCGTACGTACAAAACAGGGCTGGAAACGTGCGTACGCCACTTCCCACGCAAAGGTTGTGATCTATAAAAAACAAACGGGAGAATGTGCGGTCCTGTAAGTAAACTCTGAACCATCCGTACGCACATAAAGAGGAGAAAGAGAGAAACGGCGACTCACATGGCAGAAGGATGAAACGCTTTGAAATAAATAGGCCTACTATTGTGTAAAATAAATGGAAATATTACCTTTAAGTATTATAGGCTTGAAGCCTTTCTAAATAAACAAACAACCGTTTGATTGCCTTTCCCTGAAATGCGCAAAAAACCACACAATTTAAGATCATTTGCAGCACACAAAAAGATCCAGATTTAGGATAATAAACACAATCAGAGATTCTGTTTCTGCAAAAGAACGCCTCAAATATGTTGTACAGTTTAATCATATTAATTAATACTTGCATGCAGTGCAATTTATTCTCATTAATAAGGTAAACAGGAGGACAGATTACATCTAAATTGATGCCGTTTTCAATGCGTCAGTCGTGCAAATATGAGTGCATAGTTTCATGTAGCCTATTCTCTTCTCTCGAGCCAAACGCTGTGCGCCAGCGTGTGGATGTGATGCGCTGCTTGTAAAAACACATTATGGAAATATAACCCTATTTTATGTCATTTACAAGAAGTCATATTTATTTGAACTATCGGCAGCCTCGGTAAGTGAGTGGACTGTTTATGTAGCCTAAATACATGTTTAAACACAGGTGGAATGCATTTGGTTTACTCTCTTGTCAAACGGGGGAATCCAAATTAGTACCTGGGTCATCCCGTCTTGCGTGTGTCCCCCTCCAGCCAGTGACATCACTACTCAGGAGGGATGCCCGTTCCTGCCTGCAGATCGGTTATAAAGGGGTGGAGCTCCGGTGCCCCCTTTCCTCCGGTGCACAAGTTGTGTGAAAGTGTGTTTTTTACCCACCAAACAACATGCTTCAGCTTCACCAAAAGGAACGTCAGTGTCACACGGAGTTAAATTTCATTTTGTAGCTTTTCTGTCAGAATTTGCCTCCTTTTCTTCATGCAGTCAGTACATATTAATATTAATGAGGGGCGTTTAACTGACCATTTTTAGGCAACTATGGGCGTTTGAAGTATCGGACATGGAGCTCCCTCACGTGCGCCACATTTCAAGTTGATTGTGATTTATAAAGGGAACTTGTGTACGCATGGTTTTATAAGTCTGAATATTTTTTGGCATACGCCATTTTTGGCTTTTGGGCACACATACACTTTTAGTGAGGTTTCTACGCACAGTTTTATAAATGATACCCATGGTGTGTTTCACCTGTCCAATGCTGTAAAATGTGGGATTAATTTCATGTTGCCTTGCTATTCTCCAGCACTGTGGTTTGGCTTTTAGCGAGACAATCAGATGATCAGTAACATTAATTGGCAATAAAACCCATAATGATAGCTTAGAGCATGGAAGCATCAGCCAACCAAACTTTTACTGCACTGGTAGAGAAAACATGTAGTTGGATTCATTTCATGTAGTTATTCTCCAGTGCTGTGCTTTGGCTTGTGGTGTAAAACATGTAATGTTAGTTGGATTAGTTTCATGTAGTGACTCTCTCTCCAGCGCTCTGTTTTGGTAGCTTCCAGCATGAATGCTCAGATCAGCCAGCTAAACTTTTACTGCCCTTGTAGAAGAAAATCTGTTGTTGGATTATAATTTTACATTTAAGAGTAGGCTTAAGACTTTCCTCTTTGATAAAGCTTATAGTTAGGGCTGGCTCAGGTGAGTCCTGAACCATCCCTTAGTTATGCTGCTATAGGCCTAGACTGCCGGGGGATTTCCTATGATGCACTGAGCTCCTCTCTCCTCTACTTTCTCTCCCTCTGTATGCAACCTCATCCCATTATTGCATGTTACTAACACAACTTCTTCCCTTTCCGGTAGTCTTATGCTTTCTCATCCCTCTCCTCTCTCCTCCTATCACTTCCTCCTCTGCTGCAACAACTATTGTTACTAGTCCTATTGTTATTATAATCATCAAAATTACGATTATTATCAATAACAATACTATAAATATCTGTACCATTTTTCATTTAATCTATAGCAACATCACCTTTACTGTCTGTACCTCTGTGTGTGTATATTGTGTAGGCTATTCTATTCTATTCTATTTATTTATTACAGGGACAGTGCATATTCATAAACATTTCTGTCAATATGCCAGAATTAGCCTAAAGGCTATTTTTCATCTGCAGTCCCTAGACAGATGGTAAGAGTCACCCTAAAAAAGATTACATAGTACATAGCACTAAAAAATTAAGATACATTTAGTAAAATATCTATTATATTAGAATATGCCTCCCTCCCCTCTCTCTCCTTCCATCCCTCTCTTTTTCTCTCTGTTTCTCTCTTGCCCTCTCTTTCTCTCGCTCACTCCCCCCTCTCTCCCCCTCTGTCTCTCTCCTTCACCCCAACCGGTCAAGGCAGATGGCCGCCCACTCTGAGCCATGGTTCTGCTCGAGGTTTCTGCCTCTTAAAAGGAAGTTTTTCCTTGCCTCTGTCGCCTAGTGCTGCTCTTGTTGGGAATTGTTGGACTTCTGTAAATAACATCACAGAGTATGGTCTAGACCTGCTCTTTTATGAAAAGCGCTGTGAGATAACTGTTGTGATTTGGCGCTATATAAATAAAATTGAATTGAATAATTTAATGTAGTTATTCTACAGCGCTCTGTTATGGCTTTGCAACATGGACAGAAATGTGCCCTTACCTTCCTGAGACAAACCGCTGATGAATGTTATTGGCAATAAAACGGTAACAGCATGGAAGTTCAGATCAACAGCTTCTGTTTGAATACTGCCCTGGTGGAAAACATGTATTTATTTTACTGCTAATAGTGACACATAACATGACCGTGTGCCTATCAAGTGACCAATAATCAATACTTTCCATATTTGCATTAAAAAAAGTGATTTTTGGATAGTGCTTTGCCACTGTGCACACAAATGTGTAATTTGTACTTTCGCATGCTAAGTGCCCATTAAAAACGTTGCACTATTTTACCACAAGCTGAAATTATGGTAATCAATTCTACTTTATGTTTCTGTTGTATTTTAAAAAATTAAAAAAGACATTTTGGTAAGATTTGCATGCTTATCTAATTAATTAAGCAAAGTGAGAGCCTTGATCCTTACCTGACAATGCATTTGTAAACTTCATGTATTATGTGGTTTATATTGGACTGTGGTGCAGAACAGTGAGGCTTACACTTTCCTGTTATCTGTCAATGGTCATACTTGTTGCAATAGAAGTAGTTTTTGAGATGTTCTTCATTTACTTTGATATGTTAGTCCAGATGAGCAAACCCTCCCAAGATGCAACAAAAAGTATGATAACAGTACAGTAAAATAATGTATTACAGGAGAATGAGAAATCATGTAACACTTCATTTCTTGATGTGGCTGTTGTTTAATGAACAAGTAACAATAATATTCACAATAACATATGGTTTTACTGAATTGTCAAGTAACTATAATTTCTTTATATCAATGTAAAGAAACCTGATTTCTTGACTGGTAACTCTCTGCTATCTCAGAGGACATCTTTTGTTCTGTCTCAAGCACCAGGGGGATGGGGTGCAGTTCGCAACTCTCACCTCTAGATGCCACTAAAACTTACACACTGAACCTTTAAAATAATTTTCTTTCTGTGTTGTAATGAACTTCAGAGGCCATTTTGAAAGAGTTACATTTCAGTATCAAACTAATTGATACAGCCATCCTCTTCCTACCTTGGAGTTGCGTATGATGTGAGCCTTCACAATGGCAGCCAGTTGGTCTTGGTGGTCGGGGCTGGAGAGCCAGCGCTGTCTTTCAGGTGGCAGGGAGTTGAGGGCCACGTCTGTGGGCCAGAACATGGTGAATGGCTGGTGGATGGACAACTGGAGCACTGGGAGTAACCCTGCATCCTGTACAAACGGTATAAGTTATAGTTTAGATGTTTTTTTTCACTAATCCCACTCCTTTAATATTAAAATCTGTTGACTTGCTAATATCAAGTCTGATCTCATATATTTCTAATTAAAAAAAACAACTTCTCTCAAACTCAAAATTTCAATTTTCAATTCCAGCCAAGCTAGCATCTTTAGGGTTGCTGATGTCTGTCAATCCACCACTTTGTTTTAGACTTAAATCTCTTGACAAAAACTGGATCAATTGTCATGAAATTTATTGTTCATGTTTACTGCAGGATCCCCTTAACTTTTGAACATTGGTCTATAAACATTACAGTTTCTGTGACTTTAGTTGGTGGAAACATACGCACACAACTCTGCAAAATCACAAAACACTGTTCATGTATGTGTTTTGCCTGCTTCATTTTGCTCTACAATTTCACATTAGCTACAGATAGATATATCCATTGAAATGCAACTTTTGATATGATTTTGTCTATAACTTGTTGAAAGCAATGGTGCTCCCTCTAATGTCCTCTCCTCCCAGTGGGGCGCACAGCTAGAAATAATAAACCAGCACAGGTGAGAAAATATAATTCATGGCAAAAGCCAGTTCACCAGTACAGAACTGTACTCACCACGAGAATTCTGAAAAAGTCCATTTAGCATATTTAAGTACATTTAGCTGAAACAGCTTTGTGTAACACAATGTGCCACAACCTTTTTTTCAATTGTATTTCATTTTCAGTGATTTTTACCCCCCAACTACAGCCCGTCTATGCAATATTTCCTCTGGTTTGTGTTAATGTAGAGAGTGTAGAAGCAGGAGACAGCATCTGGGAAGTAGCTGTAGGAGGATAAGAAGTAATAAGAAGAGGATGTGTAAGTGGTACAGAGAGGAGGCAGAGTGAGGTATGTAACTACAGGAGGGGAACGGGTGGTGGAAGAAGACAAAGGAGGAGATGGAGGTGGAGCGTGTTTTTGTTTTATTTACCTCCACGAGTTTGTAGAAGCGGCTGTAGCCATAAAACACAGCAGCTGAACTGAAGTTCATCTAAACAGAGAGAGAGACGTCACACTGCCTGTCTGTCAAGTGATCATCAATCATTTATTAACTTCAATCAAACTCAGCGCACTGTCGAAACATGGATGCTTGGTTTGTCCTGCAGCCTGTAGGGCGTCAACAGGGCGTCAATGTGGTGAATGACTCCATTAGCTGTGATGTAATCGCTCTTCACGATCCTCGACCTGTTGTTGACCCAAACTGAACCCTGCAGGCACAGCGAGAGAGAGGGAGGTGAGGCAGACAGGTACAAACAAAGACAAGGTTAGTTTAAACTGTGAGACAGGTGAAGAGACACACACACACATCACTAAATATATATAAATAAAACAACCAACCTCTTGCAAGCCATAGACAATTATTCCTGCTTATTCACTTTAGCCAGAGCAAATTAAGTTTTGCGTTGTAGCTTCCAAACATGACAAAACTAACAACGCTAACAAAGTTCGTTATGAAAATGAAAGCTTACTTCATGTTTTGATAGACACATCTGAGGACTGTTTTGCGGCAAGTCTGGCCTCACTGTCCTGTGATTGGCTAGGTTGTTGCCTTCAGCACATACTTGCAATTGGATCCTAGCACTTGTGTTTTTTGTGTAGAATTTTTTGCAAGCCCCTCTAGTGTTATTATTATAAGTTCTAATCGGCGAAGAAAATGCCGACAAATCGAAGAAATGCCACAGAAATGGAATACTATACTACCCTACTGATTGTAGAGAACGTCCAACAGGGGTGATGCTAGCCTGGATTGGCGGAAAGGACAACAGGTCATAGCAAAGACAGATGATGCGCAAAGTCATTCTTTGTTTGGGCTGTGAGTTAATGATATTATTCTATTAACTTACATTCACACAGTAAAACGTTATTTATATATGTGCTTGTGCTTCATTGAGTTGCTGATCAATATTCCGCACTATTAAGTCCAACAGGTAGTCTTTGAAAAAGCAACATTATGGTGTATGTGTGTTACCTGCTGCAGGCTGAAGTGCAGTTTGTATCCCGACGTTGAGACAACAAGCTTGGTGGTTTTGAGGTCACTCAAGGTCAAAGTCTCACAGGAAATGATATGGTAACGAAGCAGGTCATCAACACGACCGGCCTGTTTCCATTCCTCTAACTACACAAACACACACACACACGTCAAAAATGTACAGACAGTATAGTATTTTTTTGTTTAGGACACTAAATCTCACAAACAAACAAAAACTGAAGATAATATTGGTAATATTATTATTGTTCTATCAGACAACACACAAACAGCAAATATTGTACACACAGAGACGTTGCCGGTGGCTTCCTCTACAGGGACGAAGACAGTGAACGGTCCGTTACCCTGAAGACCACTAGAGCCTGAAACCTGAGAAAGACAAAGAAAATAGTGAATTTATGCGATTATGGATTAGGAACCAGTATCATGAAGAAAGTTCACCTTAAGCTCCTTCTTGAAAAAGTTCCATGAACTATGGAAGCAGAGAAACTAAACTAAGGAACCTTTTGTGCATTCCTTTTTCCTCCGCATCTGAAGAACCCAGCACATTTGGCAAATTAGACCCGTAGACTAAAAACCAAGGGCTGCAATACTGCATGTGATGCCTTCTGTGGGGTTGAGCTCACAGGGCTTTTCCTCAGTCTCAGAATGGACCTTTGGTGACTATGCAGGACAGTAGGCATTATTGTCTCTCGTACAGTAAAAGGCAGTACGTCTGTTTTATCTTATTTGACAGTAATCTATACATTTTTCTATAATTTCTGACCATTTGATAAAGAAAATTATAGGGCTGTACTTTTTTTATTTTTTTACATTCAAAGCTTCTACTGAAATTTTTGAATGAAGCTTTGAATGTCTGTACATTTGACTATTTCTTTATCATTTGAAATCTACGTCAAACATAGTCTGTTTCTCTTATGATTACCAGTGGCCTGTCCTATGAAGCAGATTTGAGGTTAGCAAGGTAACTTCAGGTTTAACCCTGTGTTTTGAGTGCTACAACTGTGATTCACTTGTTACATAAAGCCGCTGCAGGTGAAAGATATAATGCTGAAAACTGTAATCCACACCATAAGAAAACATCTAAGCAATACATTAATTTAATGGAATACACAAATTACAGTCAAATCATGGGGTGCTGATATTATATGCCTGTTAATTTATGCATTCACACGTCATGATTTTCTTCCTGTATTTGGCAGCTGCAGCTGCGTTGCTTTAAGACCGGATTATGTGTTTAACTTCTTTATACTTGTATAATATTACATTTTGGTCTTATGCAGCCAGTGGACTTGTCCAGGTTTGCGATTGGTCATAACCTGCAAAAACCGCCCTTTAAAATGTGAATGCACTCATGGCTTGATTGGGAAATCCTGGTTTGACTTTACGAGTCGATTACCAGCGCTGCGTGATCGCAGTTATCAGGGTTAGTGAAGTCAGATAACAAAACAATATCCCAACTTGCTTGGTAGTAACTGAACCTAATGCCAATAGTAAACTTAAAAATGAACCCTTTGGATTAGCTATTGTAGCAAATTGCAAAGGGTTTTATTTTGCTGGCTAACCAAACTACCAGCCTCTTTATCTGCAGTAATAAAAATTGTTACATCAACAATTGTTTACTTTCGGTTAGGACTCAGAGACAAGCATTTGAAGTGACTTATGTAGAAGGCTTATGTTGCTGGCCCTGAGGAACATGCTATTGCTGGGCACTGGGACCTGTTTGAGCTGCTTTCTTTGTCCTTTAAACTGGGCTGTTTACATTCCCCCCTGATATTTTCCATCTTAGGACATCATTAAATTCAAGAAAAAAAAGTTCTACAAGTTCACCATCTTAGTAGGTGTCGTTTGCTGATAGGAAAGTTCACACTGTACATTCCTCTTCCAGCTCAGTGTTCCACTTAAGTGCTAGTGTTGTCAATGTCCACAAAATTGCATGTCAAACATTAAAGATTTATCCCCCAAATTGTCACCAGTGCCTGTAAGAATTGAAGTGATATAACAAACTACACTGCTCAAAAAAATAAAGGGAACACTTAAACGACACAATGTAACTCCAAGTCAATCACACTCCTGTGAAATCAAACTGTCCACTTAGGAAGCAACACTGATTGACAATCAATTTCACATGCTGTTGTGCAAATGGAATAGACAACAGGTGGAAATTATAGGCAATTAGTAATAAAGGAGTGGTTCTGCAGGTGGTGACCACAGACCACTTCTCAGTTCCCATGCTTCCTGGCTGATGTTTTGGTCACTTTTGAATGCTGGCGGTGCTTTCACTCTAGTGGTAGCATGAGACGGAGTCTACAACCCACACAAGTGGCTCAGGTGGTGCAGCTCAACCAGGATGGCTCATCAATGCGAGCTGTGGCAAGAAGGTTTGCTGTGTCTGTCAGCGTAGTGTCCAGAGCACGGAGGCGCTACCAGGAGACAGGCCAGTACATCAGGAGACGTGGAGGAGGCCGTAGGAGGGCAACAACCCAGCAGCAGGACCGCTACCTAAGCCTTTGTGCAAGGAGGAGCAGGAGGAGCACTGCCAGAGCCCTGCAAAACGACCTCCAACAGGCCACAAATCTGCATGTGTCTGCTCAAACGGTCAGAAACAGACTCCATGAGGGTGGTATGAGGGCCCGACGTCCACAGGTGGGGTTGTGCTTACAGCCCAACACCGTGCAGGACGTTTGGCATTTGCCAGAGAACACCAAGATTCACAGATGAAAGCAGGTTCACACTGAGCACACGTGACAGAGTCTGGAGACGCCGTGGAGAACGTTCTGCTGCCTGCAACATCCTCCAGCATGACCGGTTTGGTGGTGGGTCAGTAATGGTGTGGGATGGCATTTCTTTGGGGGGCCGCACAGCCTTCCATGTGGCTGGAGTGTGTCAGCAGTTCCTGCAAGAGGAAGGAATTGATGCTGGCCCGCCCGTTCCTCAGACCTGAATCCAATTGAGCCCATCTGGGACATCATATCTCGCTCCATCCACCAACGCCACGTTGCACCACAGACTGTCCAGGAGTTGGCGGATGCTTTAGTCCAGGTCTGGAAGGAGATCCCTCAGGAGACCATCCGCCACCTCATCAGGAGCATGCCCAGACGTTGTAGGGAGGTCATACAGGCACGTGGAGGCCACACACACTACTGAGCCTCATTTTGACTTGTTTTAAGGACATTACATCAAAGTTGGATCGGCCTGTAGTGTGGTTTTCCACTTTGATTTTGAGTGTGACTCCAAATCCAGACCTGGGTTGATAAATTTGATTTCCATTGATAATTTTTGTGTGATTTTGTTGTCAGCACATTCAACTATGTAAAGAAAGGAGTATTTAATGACATTATTTCATTCATTCAGATCTAGTTGTGATCTAGATGTGTTTTTTAGTGCCAAATAAATAAAAATAAATTGAATTTAAATTTCTTCTTAATAACTTTAACCAAATGAGGGCACACCAAGGAAATTTATACTGTTTTAATTTAATCATGTGTAAGCAGTGAAGTCCAACTAACAGAACAGCAGGAGCTCTGATTGGCCAGCAGTTGAGTGTGTTGGGTCACGTTTAAAATTTCAACTTAGCATCTATGTTTTTGCAAAGCAGCCTGAAAATAATAACTGGAAGTAAAATACTGTGTGGATTATTAGGCCTACTGACAGTGACTCACAGATATCATTCGACGGAAGAAAGCGTTCTCTTGACGTCGGAACAGCTCCTGTAAGACAGACAGACAACAGTTTTGGTGAGGGGGGGGTTTGACAGTGGGAGCTCAGTGGTCTTGCTGAAGCCAGAGGTCATGTGACTCACGTTGTTTGTGCTTCCCCGGCAATTGATGCCATCGCCTATGTGGCCTCTGAAGCAGGTGCAGTTCCTTTGACCCTGGCCTATATACACACAGCGAGCCTGGATACTGCAGCCACCATTGTTCTGCACAAACAAAAAATGTATCTTTAATTGCTGATAAAGGACGGATATTAACAACCCTGCAAACTGTTAATTTTTGATCAATAAGGTTACTTGAGTCACCAATCAGTCCGTACACTGCATCAAACCTCTTAGCTCTAGCCTAGCTGGTGCCCGAGGCTATATCTGTACAGTTTGGGACATATCTTGTATTACAGCATTCTTTTCCCATTACTATTGTCTGTTGACCATTTATACATTTACATAAATTATTAACTAATTAATCAAATGTGTTGTAATTTACATGTGCCAAATATGCCAAAAATACAAACATGGAGAGTCCACTATAATAATCTTGGTATAATTATCAGCAGTAGTATTTATTTAGATTATCCAGAGGAAATTGTGATACTTAATGTATCACTTTCGTCCAAATAATCGTTCCATATAAACTTGAATCTGTGTGAAACAGCTCAGCTTATTTTTATTATTTATTTATCTATTTCTTAATTGACTTGGCTGTGTTATGCCTCTTTGCCAGCAGCCAGCTCTGTCTTAAGAAGTAATTCAGTCCTTGAAGCACTATTTTCATAAAAACAAGAAAACACATCTGCCAACGGGATGAATTAATCAATTTTACATCAGTTTTTTTTTTTTTTTTTTTCAGAAAACAAGTGTCCATATCTTGAAAGAGGACAGAAGAAAGCACGATACTGCAATACTGTACAATACTATAATATTAAATGATACAGACATACATATCTGCAGGGGTTGACAGGGTAACAGTATCTCCCGGTTCCCTGAAAGCCCTGCTGACACCTGCAGGCTGTCTGGAGATGACAACAGAGAAAACAGTCAAGTCAGTAAAACAGTCAATCACTTGATTTTTCCGTTTCCTCCCTCCCCCTGCCAATCAACACATCAAATATTAATTTCTCCATAACTCCTGTTTTTCCATCAGTGAATCAGAACCAAATTCCCTTTTTGAGCAGTAAACGCACTCTTGTTTCTTGGGGTGTGAAGCATTAAGAATACAATGTGTAAGATGTGATCTGACTTTTAGTTTAAACCTCCCTCTCGCTCTTCTCTCACGACTCCTCTCCTGACTATCTGAATACGGCATGAGTTCGTTGTCCCCAGAGTCCTGACCGGAGCTGCTGTAATCATCTCAGTAGTGTAACCCGTCTTAAAACTGGCCTCCGTTGGTCTCGTGGCTAAGTTCGTTCTGGGACCAATTGTGTTCAGAAGGATTGGCGGTTAGAGGGTATCACGAGAGGATGATCCGTTAACCTTGACATGCTCTGCAAGCAAAGAACGTCTCACCAAACTCCATTCACAGAACACTAAATTTTAAGTTCCCTTGCTTCTCAGCACACCTTCTTCTGTCAAAGTCTTGGTAGGAGCTTAAACTGGTCTCTGTCTGTTTGCTGAGCTCGGTTTTGTTGCCCTCTCACCTTTGCCCCAGGCCTGAAAACCTCCTCTGCACGGCAGCTATAGTTAGCAGCAGTTAGCGGTTACTCTGGTGATATCAACAGGTGGCCAAAATCTTGCAATACTTGCGTATTGCACTTTTAATCGCTGGCCATAAAAACTACACATTAGCAGTCATTCCCATGCTGCTGTGCTGCGCTGACAAAATCCTTATTTTGTAATGGTGACATCGTCTGACAAAATCCAAAATATAAATATTGGTCACTGAAATCGGACCCCGCTGAAACTTTGACAATCTGACGTGGCCTCACTGACCTGAAGTGTGTCTCAGGTACAGTGATTGCCCAGTGTTGGGTCAGGTCTAACATTATGAGCACGAGTACAGTATTGTCTTACAGTGTTGGCGCCAGTTCTGATGCAGTCTGCTGCAGAGTGGCAGCCTCCATTGTTGACCAGACAGCCATCGATCTCTGTAAGCACACAACAGGTTGGAAATTGATTTTTATGACATATACAAAATGTATAATGTATTTTTGACTTTTTGGATGGTGTTTGCCCAGTGGAGGTTGGTGCATGTTCCTCCAGGGGGAGGAACCAAGTAGGTTTGGTGCCTAAAACTAACCAAACTGCGACTCTTTCACAACAATCACCGTTAACCATGTGTTAGAAAGCCTTTGGTTAGATTTAGTAAAAGATCATGTTTTGGGTTAAAACAAGAAGTCAACACCGAACCCTGATCTCCTAGGTGAACGTTCTGTGTTTGACTGATTCATCCACCAAACCTGCTCCCTTAGTGGACTTTTTATACTATGTCACCTAACTTTCTACAGATTTTCTGGCACAAATCTTTAAGAAAGCTTTTCTTTAGTTGCCTATGAAATTATTCTGACAACTACAATGACTGAACGGTATTTCTCTTAATGCATTGATTGAGTTGCTCCTCTGAGTTGATACAATGTTAGCCATGTTGATGTTGAATGTGACCACTGTATTATGTGGAAGTACCGCCGCCTAATGTGGTCTCCCAAAATTGGAAAAATTTGTTCCTGACCTTAAAGCAATATTTTAGTGCAAAGAGCTATCAACCTGTTGTTTAAACGTTCTGAGCAATAAAATACAACATCTTTTTTTGTAGCCTCCACGTTGCTTTCACATTAGAACTTCAAATCCCATGAACACACCGAAGTAGGAAGAACGACTTCCCAATTTGGAAAATGAAAATCCGTCAGAGCGATCCGCGCAATTTTCAACCAGACTGAAATCGCCCGAAGGGTCGGTACTCCACGGAACATGACTTGACGCTGCGGCTGACTGGACTGTGATATACAGAGGCACCCTCTATTGGCCAGTCGCACCTGTTCCCCCTGCTTTATGCTAAGCTACTGAAGCACAAAAATGAAACTGATATCCATCTTCACATCTGACTCTGAAAAACGCAGAGAACAAAGGGATTTCCAAACATGTCAGAATTTTAATTTAAAATATAATCCATGCTAAGGCCTCCAAGGTCACAGTGGGAATTTCTTTCTCACAATAAATATTGCATCTCTGCAGATCCGTAGAGGAAGGCTGAGTTGTATTATACATTTAATATTATATATTATGCAGTAGACTGCCACTGGTTGTGACCACAGCTCCAGTGGGTCCACCCTCAGCTGTGCTCTGTCTCACTGAGCTGGATAGATAACAAGACGAGCTACTTTATCAGCTCTCTCGTTGACTGCTGCTGAGGCTGACTGAGACGGGCTGTCACTGTGATTGTGGCTGTAGCCGTGGCTGTGCTTTGTTATGATTATGACTGCAACACAGTTTAGTGTAACATTAACTACATGCAGGGGTTGTGTGTGTGTGCAGTGAGTTGAGCTAGTTGTGCTGGTTAAGTGCTCTATTGAAGCTACTGTATTCTTGAACTCCTGTGGTGTATTGATAAATCATCTATTATATCTGATCCTGTGTGGCTTAACAATGTTTTCTTGGCTAATGTTAATACAGTATCTCACAAAATTCCTCGTATGTGTAAAATACTACTTGGCAATAAAGCTCCTTCTGATTCAGATTTTTGTAAATATTTGATTATATCTTTTCATGTGACAATACTGAAGAAATGACACTTTGGTACAATGTAAAGTAGTGAGTGTGCAGCTTGTATAAGGGCCTGTGTCCACCAAAGCGAAACATGAGAGATTTTGCGGGCGAGGAAACACCTCGGCAAGTAGGCACATCGTTTCGTTCAAGATCGGATGTGCTCGGTGCGGCATTTGTCCCGCCCCTCCTGCACTGTGATTGGACGGCTGGGTAAAAAGTGACAGTGACGAGTGCAGCGTTTTTCCCAAAGTAGAAAATTTTTCAACTCCCGGCGACAGGAAAAAAATGCTTAGTGCTCAGCGTTCAGCACCCAGCGCGGAAAAGAGGCTCAGCGCCTCGTCATGCTCCTGCCGTTTTTACCAGCTTGGAAAAACGCAGCGCTCCCATTGCAATGAATTGAAAATAGACACTGGAGTCAGAAAATAATTGGTGGACAGGGGCCCTAACAGTGTAAATTTGCTGTCCCCTCAAAATACTGACTGCAATCACACAGCCATTAATGTTTAAACAGCTGGCAACAAAGTGTCATTTCTTCAATGTTTTCACATGTAAAGATATAATCAAATATTTACAAATATGTGAGGGGTATACTCACTTTGTGAGATACTGTAGCAGTAGAGTATCCAGAGTACAGATTCTGTAGCCATGGCCCAATCAATAACCATATCCACAGCCAGGCCGCTGCTGTGCTGACAACCAGTGGCTGCATTTTGTCGGAGCTCAGCCTTTTGAACAGAACAATAAGTACTACTACTACTACTACTACTACTACTACTACTACTACTACTACTAATAATAATAATACTACACATAATCTTCCCTTTCTGTAGAATCTTCCTAAAATGGCAGTGTATTATAACTGGACCAACACACTACCTATTCCTATGTAATGCAAAAACTATTGAGAGGGAATTCAAAACTGCGAGGTAACGCAAAGGTAGTTCAGAAAAAAACAAACACCATGAGCCATTGGGGGCTTTGTATTTAGGAACACGTTTTGTAGATAACTTTTCCAGGTCTTGGTAAGATGTCAGGAGATCCAGTTGTCCAGGGGTTGTGGTGTCAGAGGTCAATACTACATACCCAGGCAGATGACCCCATCTCCAGTGTACGCCTCTTTACAGGTACAGGTTCTCTGTCCTGCTGAGACCTTCATACAAACAGCAAACTCTGAACATCCACCGTTGGACCTGCTGCACAAATCCAGCTCTGAGGGAGACAGAGAGGAAAAAACTTATCAGATTTGATATATATACAGGGAGTGTGTGTGTGTGTGTGTGTGTGTGTGTGTGTGTGTGCGCGCATGTGTGTTACCTTTGCAGTAAGTTCCATTGCCTTCATATCCAGCTACACACAAGCACACAGCAGCTGAACCATCTGGTCCTGTTATACAGCTGCAGTAGAGGACAAACTGTTCAAAACACATTTCTACTGAACCTGAGAGCAGCGGTCATCTGTGGCCATTTTTTAAGATAATCAGTACAGCAAATACCATGTGCAGACCCACACCAACAATGACCTGATCTAAGTATTGTCTGTGTATCCAAAGCCTGATATATATTATTCTTCTGTGCCACAGAGCTGTTGCACTGACCTGTCGGTGTCACAGTAATTTTGTGTTTCCTGTAATTCAATCAACTTTGGACAGCTAATGTAAAGTAATAAGTCAACTACATTAGTTGAAATGTTGTACCTACTCATCTTGCAAGTGTGTTGGCATCACATTGTACCTACTCATTTTACATTTGATTTACTTGTTTAAAAGATTTACAACAGCCTTCATATAAAGTTTTTAAAATTACAGGTAGATTTTGATGCCTAATAATAGCAGCTGATGACAAAACTTGTTTGAGTCAGTTAAACAAAGTTTAATTAGATTTATTGAAAATGTTTTTAAAAATTGTTTTAATGTTATGTTCAGTGATTTCACTGAACACATTTGACTGCTAGTGACTTTTTGAGCAGCACTTCCAGTGTTTTATATATTAAAACACCTTTCAATATAATCCATCCAGTACAACACTAACACACACAACGACCCTAATAATAAACATAAAAGTAGAATTTTCACCTCATTGTAGACCAAGATTAAACACAAACTTTGTAAAAATATAATTTATGACTGACTTGGATTGCATTAGATTGTACAAGTGTACCTAATAAAGTGACCAGTGAGTGTAAGCACTGTACTTAGATCATTCTTTTTGTAATAACAGTAGTCAAATGTTTTTCCTGTCTGCACAACGCATGGTGGCAGTTAGCTCTCAGTTACCATCATCAACGTATTTTTATGTTTCAGTGTTTGTGTGGGATGATGTCATTCCCCTAATCAAGGGTATAATAATTATCACACTACAAAATAGTAAACAGTAAATTATTTCAGACAGCCAGGCAGGGTTTTTTGTCCCAGTGTATTCTCTGTAAATATACAGCGTCTCCAATCCAGATCACACACTTACATACACATTAGCTATAGACATAACAGGAGGACTTACTTGGCGTTCTCATCACACACACCTCCACAGGCGTCGTCCTTGATCTCTGAGACACACACACACACACACACACACAAAGATTTCAAGTGATAACAATTTAGAGAAAATACTGAGTGGTGTTACAATTTCACTGTGCGCTTAAATGTATGTTTGTCTTACCTACAGAGCAGGAAGCTCCTTTCCAACCTTTATAGCACACACACCTGCCACTTCCTGCCAGACCGTCCTCACACTTTCCATGGTCACACACACACTCTGCAACACACACACACACACAGGTTAACTGTGGCAGCATGTCTCCTTGGTGGTTTAAAAATGACTCATCTCGTCATAGGCTACTTAGCATCATCGGTTAGCATCATAGCTTTGTTAGTGCTGATTATTAGCCTTGCTGGTTCGTTAAAAGTTGTAGGTTTGTAAGCATTGTAATTTTCATGCATGTGCTAGCATGATAGGATTGTTAGATCCACAGGTTTTGTTAGCCCTGCTAGTTTGGTAGCATTGCAGGGTTATTTACGCCAAGTGTTTGTTGGTATAGGTTAAGTCTCTCGGGTTTGTTTACATTGTAGGTTTATTAAGTTTCACAGCTTCACAGCTTCACAGCTTTGTTAAGTGTTGTAGGTTTATCAGCTGCTTGGGTTTGTTAATCTCTCAGGTTTGTAAACCTCCAACAGTAAGACTGTGTCACACGAGAGTCAGTTTCGATAGGAGATTCCAGCCAGAAAAGGGACCTTCAGGAATCTAGTCAACACTTTCCAACGAAAGACCAGATTTTATAATTAGACCTTAAAATTGGGCCCCATCCACATTACAATGTTTTAAAACGTGGACTTTTTGCTACGTTTGCACCTCCCATCCAGAATAAAAAGGCAAAAACAAAGACCTAAATGGATGGCGCTGTCTATAGCTGCCTCGGAGTTAGGTGTGTTTTCAGCTGTGATTCCCGGTGCTCTTTCACCAGAGAAGAGCTCATGAACATCAGGGGAACAACTCCAGCGGATTTATTTCCCACTTTTCTCGCGCTATCAGTGGAATTATTGGACATTTTGGTGAAGGGCTCTCGCATTAATGTTGTATGTAAAGGGAAACGAGCTGGGTCGCTCATGCGCCTCCACCAGCAGGGACTCCGCACACCGCTACTGGCAATATTTCTCTCCAACATGCGCTCACTGTGCAATAAACTGGACGAACTTCAGCTACTGGTTTGGGAAAAACAGAGACTTTTATTCATCTTCTGTTCTGTGCTGTGCTTCACGGAGTCGCGGCTGTGTGGATCAATACCGGACTCCGTGCTGCAGCTGGCTGGCTTCCAACTCTACAGAGCGGATCGCGACACAGAACTCTCCGGCAAAACAAAAAGTGGAGGTATCTGTTTTTATATTAACAATGGCTGGTGTACCAACGTGACAGTGACTCAGCAGCACTGCAGCAATTCAGCAACAGCAATTCCTAATCTGGAATTTTAATTCATAAACTGTAAACTGTTTTACTCCCCCCATGAGTTTGCTTCATTCATTCTGGTCGGTGTTTACATTCTGCCGCACGCCAACGTGCACAACGCATGGCGCACGCTGGCTGACCAGATACTGTGTGTGGAGCAGACAAACCCAGACTCCCTTGTCATTGTTCTTGGTGACTTTAACAAAGGAAACCTCTGCCAAGAACTCCCCAAATACAGAGAGTTTATTAAGTGTCCAACCAGAGAGGGGAACACTTTGGATCACTGTTACACCACAGTTAGCAGTACCTCTCACGCCGTTACACGCGCTCCACTGGGACACTCTGATCATGTCATGGTCCACTCTGCAAACCTGTAGTGAGGACATGGCCCAGTGAAGCTGTAGAGGATCTTCAGGCGTGTTTGGACTGCACTGACTGGGATGTTTTCAGGACTGCTACCAACAATCTGGATGAGTTTACTGAGGCTGTGACATCCTACATCATCTTCGTTGAGGACACATGTATACCAACACGCACCAGGGTGAGTTATAACAATGGAATACTCTGGTTCACAGCTAAGCTCAGACAGCTGAGGTTGGAAAAGGAAGAGGTGTTTAGGAAAGGTGACCGGTCCAGGTTTAAGGAGTCAAAGTACAGGTTTAGCAATGCGGTGCGAGATGATAAACAGCTGTACACAGAGAGACTACAACACCGGTTCTCAAGGAATAACTCTGCTTCTGTCTGGAGAGGATTCAGACAGATCACCAGCTACAAACCTAAATTCCCCAACTCCATGAATGACTCACGCCTTGCCAACGAGCTAAACCAGTTTTACTGTCGCTTTGAAAGACAATGGGACAGACCTGACACCGTCACCACTGACCGGCCACAGTCCACCATCTCATCCCCCTCCTCCTCCCCCTCTCTTACCATCCTAGAGAAGGACGTCAACAGATTGTTCAAGAGGCAGAAACCTCACAAAGCAGCTGGGCTGGACTCTGTCTCCCCATCCACCCTGAAGCACTGTGCTGATCAGCTGTTTCCGGTGTGCCATGTGCCAGCATGCTTCAAAGCCTCCACCATCACCCCTATCCCCACAAAAACAAGGACCACGGGACTAAATGACTACAGACCCGTCGCCCTGACCTCTGTGGTAATGAAGTCTTTTGAGCGCCTTGTGTTATCCCACCTTAAATCCATCATAGACCCACTACTGGACCCCCTGCAGTTGAACCACTGCTGAAGTTCAGCCTGCCAAAGACAATAATGGTGCACTTCTACACCGCCATCATTGAGTCCATCCTCACCTCCTCCATCACCATCTGGTACGCTGCGGCCACTGCCAGGGACAAGGGCAGGCTGCAGCGTATCATTCGCTCTGCAGAGAAGGTGATTGGCTGCAATCTTACATCACTTCAGGACCTGTACGCCTCAGGACTCTGAGGTGAGCAGGAAAGATTGCAGCTGACGCCTCCCATCCGGGCCATAATTTGTTGTTAATTGTAAATTGTTGTTGTTCCATTGTTTTTTGTTTCTTTTGTATTGTAAGTTATATTATTTATATTATTTATATTATTCCTTGTATGTGTAAAACACTACTTGGCAATAAAGCTCCTTCTGATTCTGATTCTTCTGAGAAGTTTGAAAACACTGCCGACCCCGTTTTTTTGTGTTAAAACTCCGGGGTAGTGTACCCGGACGGGCAAAAACAGAGGACTTTAAAAATGATGACGCAGACGCTCACGTTTCCCTGATTGGGTCTTATAAGTCATGCAAAGCAGAATTACAATGTTACTGACCGAGTTTTTGATTTGGTATTATTATTAATATATTTTGTACTGTGCAAATATAGCCTACACTTGTACAATGCATGTTGCCTTATTTACTTTGCAACGAATACCAGTCTGTTCTCCTCGCCACAGCCCCTTTAAACTACACTCAGCAAATGTTTCAGCTCATTATTGGTCCATGCAAAAAAAAAACTCTGGTGTGGTTCTTCGTCTGTATTTCTTTATTCTTATACGGAATAGACCATCTGCTTCATGTTTACACCGGCACGCACATGCCTAGTGTACGGCCACTAGATGTGTGTTTTCAGTCGTTTTAGTATAGACCCAGATCAACTCTGATATGCGGCTAAAATGCTGGTGTGGATGGAGATCGTATTCGTTTTAAAACTGTTTTTAAACAAAAACTGAGTAGTGTGGATGGGGGCCAAGTTAAATGTAAGTGTCACTGCCCATGCTAATGGGCAATGACACTATGCAATTTTCACATTTTCCCACCTGAACTATGTCCTTCTATTGTTTTTCCTCCCTTCCAGAATTTAATGTTATCCTGATTCATTTTTCTTTTAGTTTCTATATTTTCTATGACTTCATACAGAGAGTATTACTATCGATCTACTATCAGTCTGAGAAGCAGAAACATGTTTCTGAGGTTTTCTGTCCATATTTTAAGATAAATTAGTACCACTAGTGAACAACTCATTGTATTACCAAAGATTACAAGCAATTATGTTGCGAGCATTTAACAACTATAGGTCCCATGAGGCTTGGATAGAGCTTCACGAAGTGTGTTCTTTGTTGGTCAGTCTGAATAAGTAATGCCTCCTGTCAGTTCGGCAGTTTTTCTGTCAGGTGTGTGTGTGTTCCTCACTGGAGGTACAGTTGACGCCGTAACGTCCTGGCTCACAGTCCTCGCACGCCGTGCCATGGAAACCCTCGAAGCAACGGCACTCCCCGTTACCATGGTTACCGTCCTCACACTCCCCGTGATTGGAGCACCAGCTGCCAACGTCTCCAGGGCATTTGAAGCATTCGTGGCCGTAATAACCGGGGCAACAGGAATGATCCTGCAGGACAGACCATCAGTGTCATTGTTAAGACCTGAATCTATAACACTGCTGACTACATCTGTTTGTTAAAGTTGTGGCTTTATGTCAATCAGATATGAGTTTTTGTTATATACATTGTTATTACATCTTTTTTTTTTCTTTTCAGACATCACAAGACTATAAGGGAAAAAGCCACAACTGTCAGCTGCTCCTCAGAAGGGGGCTGAAGAACAGCAGTGAGTTGGAAAATAATGATACCAACAATTTCTCTCACAGGCTGCATTACTGATAGAACTTATCTAGAACTACTTATCTGCTGAGAAAACTTATTCTGCTCCTTCAATACAAGGCCTTAATGCTCAATTCCGAGTTCCCAGATCATCATCCTCCATCATTTTTGTTTGACAGTTCACATTATTGCTTAAATGTGGCCCATATCAGACTCCAGTGTGAACTGTCCGTGGCCTGAAAGTGACCCGCATGCGCAGAAGAATAACAGGACGTCACGCGCAGCAGCACGCTGTTGCAGGCTACAGAAGTAAACAAGGAGCAACAGAGGTTAGCTCCAGTTAGCTCACAGGAGACTCCCATTTTTTATTGTCCTCTTAAGGGTCACATATCTCCCGAATTAAGACAAGTGTTCACAACTTTCTGTTCTTTTCTTTATGGTTTCTGGCGCTGGACAACGCAACTGCCCCACAACTCACTCCCTCTCTCTCTCTCTCTCCCCACTGTGTCTGCTCAGACAAATACCATGTACCTAACTCAGAAGAGAGTGGTCTGGTGGATTTCAGGTGTAAGAAATGGAATTTGTGAGCAGATGATAACAAGTTAGTGGAGGAAGAGAGACGCATGTATAATAATGGTTTTTGTGGAGTTTTTTCGTTCACCGCGGCTCCATCTACAGTATAAGAGCAGCTCTAGAGTGACGTTAAAGTCGCATCAATTCCAATTCCGCATTTAAAAAGATCCGATCTGTATTGGATTTGGACCACATATGGAAGTGGCCCAAATCTGAACTGGAAAAGTTCAGATTCCATGTGACTTGGCCTGTTCACACTGTCATAAAAAGATCAGATCTGAGTCACATATGGGCAAAAAAATCGGATTTGGGTCACATTGGCCTGCAGTCTGAACGTAGCCTTATTAACTTATTAAAAGGTCCCATCCAGCAAAAATGTCAGAAATATCACTTTACACCAATTGTAACAATAATCTGCAAAAGTTCTTCTTTTTATGGGCAAGACTAATGTGTAACACTCAAGGTTTCTGCCTCTTAAAAAGAAATTTTTCCTTGCGTCTGTCGGCTAGAGCTTGTTCATGGTGGGAATTGTTGGGTCTCTGTAAATAATATCATAAAGAGTACAGTCTGGACCTGCTCTATATGAAAAGTGCAATGACATGACTGTTGTCATGAATTGCCGCTATATAAATAAAATTGAATTGAAAATAAAATTGAATATAACATGCACTTTTTAAAGATACTTTTTTATAAACTAAACTAAAAAGTGTTATTAGTAAAGAATAAAAACAATAAAATAATATAATTAGTTATAAAAACTTCAACATAAACACATACTGAGAGTGATTTCTCTGCCACTAACTTCCTGGAAGGAAGGGACTTGAAAAGTTCTGGTTCTGAAAACTGCAGTGCTAAGACTGTACAGTACAACAAATTTGTAAAAACAAGTTATCACAGCCCAAAATGTGCCCTTCTAAAGTGTTTCTCATACGTTTCATCTCGAATTAAAGTGATCATATTAAGCTCGTCATTTTCAGATTCTAAATTTTATTTAATGGTTGTACCAGAACAGGTTTACATGGTTTCATATTTAAAAACACCATATTTTTTTATCATACTGCACATTGTTGCAGCACCTCTTTTTACGCTGTGAGTTGAACGCTCCATTTTAGCTACCGAGTGAAGCATCACTGGAGTGAGTTTCAGAGTGGTAAGTTATTAATTTGTAAGAAATGTATCTTTCATACGTAACGTTTTAAATGTACATCACAGTAACAACATTATGTCCATTGACTGCCTGGACGATATGTAACGTTTAGCAGTGAGAGTGGGGGTGAGGGGAGGCAGCAGGTGGACATCTTGTCACTGTGTGCTGCAGCTCAGTGTGTTTCTCCACCAGTGTCTTTGATGGCATGCCACACTAGATGCTAGGCGAGCATTATGACGCATGTTACATAGTAACGCAGACAGGTTACTGAAGTAAAGGCTGGACTACAAACGAGCTGTTTTCAGGCAGTTCAGGAGCAGTGTTTTCTGTGGGAGATGGGGGACTTTTGGCTTTTTCTCTTCACAAACCTATTACATGCGCAAAAAAGATATATAACACAATAAAGGAGCATCATATGACCTCTTTAAAGAATTCCACTGCCTTTCACAACATATAATGCACAATAACATATGAGCAAGACTTCTCATTCATATTTGCTCAAATTTTGTAGATAAAATTATCATTATGAGAGTTTTGCCTAGTGGCAGAACCAAAGTACTAGTAGAAGTGTCAGCAGACCGTAGTTAACCGAAGACATTTGATGACACAGCCTGACACCGACTTCCTTCTGGATCCGACTCGCTTCCTGTATTTGCAGTTGGGATGCATGTTGGCCGGAAACTGTTGTCTGACCTGCAGTAAGTAGAACACATAAAAAACAATAGAAACCCAAACTGAGAGGCATAGAACACCTAAAGTAGAGCCGCAACAATTAATCAATTAGTTGTCAACTTTTAAATGAATCACCAACTATTTTTAGTCCTTTTTAAAGAAAAAACTTCTCAAACGTGAATATCTTCTGGTTTCTTTACTCTTCCATGAGAGTAAACTGAATATATTTGGGTTGTGGACAAAAGAAGACATTTGAGGACATCACCTTGAGCTTTGGGAAACAATGTCTTACATTTTTTCACAATTTTCTGGACCTAACAAGTATCAATTAATCGAGAAAATAATCAAGAGATTAATCAATGATGAAAATAATTGTTAGATGCAGCCCTATCCTTAAGAGATGAATGAGACAGACTGATGGCTGAAAAACTGTACATAAATACAAATAAGACTTTAGTTTGTATGCCTGCTCAAAGTAAACATGTCTAATAGTTTTTGTAGTCCGCTGTGCAATTAATAAAAGTCACTCCTGTACAACATAGTATGATTAAATGTAATCTAGTCTTCTCAAGTCTCAACTCTCACTTTGAAAGGTTGAATTTGGTAGTTGATTTAACTAGCAATTTTTTGTGTTCCTAGATAATACACAGACATTCATGTAATTATGTCCACCTCCTGTAGACTAACAGCTTCCTTACTGGTTTGTAGTTGAACAGGCATCGCGGTGGTCCATCACAGTCTGAACACCTTCCCTGGAGACAAGGACAGAGAGGGAAAGAGAGGTGTTGGAATAACTGGGACTAACACCATCATACATCAATCCTAACAATCGATGTCTGAATCTGCCACAAAACCTTTCTAATGCGAAGCTAATGATTTTGTCCACATGACCAAATAAAAACTTTAGAGAAAATGTGCTGCAATAATGGAATAATTCTTAAAATGTAAATGTTCTATGTAATGTAAATGTAAATTTTCTTTTTAGCAAGTGACATTTAATGTTTTATTTTTGAAATGCATTATGGTGCAAACGCTGCTGTCTCATCAATTATGATATAGTGTGACCATTTGTGACGTGAGATACTGTAAAATAAAAAGTGAAATATTACTTCATTCCAGTTCATTCATTTACGACCTTCATTCACAGGTTGCGCATGGCCCCGACCCAGCACAGACCCTTTTTAGGGCCAGTATTCCATGGTTAGGATGGTGTCTGACGTCATCAAGGACTCACAGTTTGTAATGCAAAATTGAATGTACACTATTGCTATGATATGCTTAGTTAGAAAAATAGAAAAGGATGATGATTGAACATGCTCATTTTTTTAATTAACAGTAAGTGTTTACACAGAGACAAACAGGATGACCCCACCCCCGTTTCAGGGAGAGGAGAAATGCACAATCCTGTATTTGTATTAAAAAATGTATTCATTTTATTTTACTCATACTCAGTGACACACTGAAAGGAAAACCAACATGCAGTGTCTTAGTATGGAGTCAGGCCACCGAGAGCCTCCAGAGCAGCTTCAGTGCTCCTCATTAACAGTGACCAGATGTCAACCCAATTTAACACCTATGGAAGATTTTTGACCAACGTGTAAAACAATGCTCTCCACCACCATCTCCATCGAAACAAATGATATGAAATAAACTTTCATCTTCAAATCTGTTTAGTGATGCTGTGACTGTCTCTGTCCTTTTGTTATGAGATCTGGATACTTGATGATTAAATAAAGATAATGAGTATCATTATCATTCCTGAATATATAATAATTATTCCATCCCTCCATCTGTCCTACTGGTTTTATGTCCATCTATCCTTCTTTCCATTCATTCATTCATCACTCTCTCCATCCTTACGTTGACCTGCAGGGTGACCTGTTTGCTGCATCTGTTGCGGTGGATTTTGAGAACTTGAGGGAGGACTATGATGACACCATACTGCGTCTCAATGAATCTGCCGTCAAGAGGAACGTCGTTTACGGCAGTCTGGAGGACGAGAAACAAATCAGACTCTTTACTCCGCCTGACCGGTAAAGATTTACACATTATTAGACGACCATACCGCTGTGTTTGCATACTTCAGCACATTAACTATGGATCTTTTATATTTCCCAAAAATGCTTACCATCTGTTAAATCATCCCATCAGTTTTTAGATTGATTACCTTCTTTCCAAGCAACCATTCGTCTCAGGTCATTTCTATGAATATTTATTTACAGAGACTTGAAACTTGCTGCATAGAGATAGTCTCTCACAGTCAACATGGTAAGCTTTAATTTTCTGTCAAAGTTCTGGTATCATCACCTGACAATGCAGCTGTGAGCAGTAACTCTCCTCAGTGGAGTGTTCATCCTAGAAGTGACAGTCAGCTGCTGAAAAGTATTTCATTGACAATCACTGTTGTCATAAAATCAAACTCATAAGACAAATTATGAAATAATTTTGCTGTTCTGCAGCAGACTCTCGGACCTCACATGTCAGAATGTCCTTTAACACACTACTGGGTCTATATATACATCTGAAAATATAACCGCTGAGATGATCATTTATCTGGATTTTGCATTTTCATAAAAATTAACATATGGCTGCTTGGAAGGAAGGAAATCAAAAACCTGATAGGAATGTAAAAGAAGCAGTTTGGTCCTTAAACTAACAGACGAGCCTTCAATGTGTTTCAAAGCTCCTGGAAAGTTGCTCACATGAAGCTTGAGCTGGTCCAGTTATAGTTACCTCGTTGTTGTTGTTTAAGTGGAACTGGACCTGGTAGTCGCTGCCTAGCAGTGTGCTTTTCAAAGTGCCATCAGAAAGGCGATCAGGGAAGAGCAGCTCCTTGACAATCACATGGTACTTTAACACATCAGAGTCCTGGACAGAGAGACAGACAAATAGAGAGATACACAAACAGACAGAAAAGGTGGGTTAAATTGATAATGACCACCCACATCTCTGACATATCATTAGTGAAGACATCTTCATGTGCCAGAGCATGATGAGATGGATGCTGATTGGTTGGAGCAAAATGACCCTTACCACCTGTGCAGTGACATTATTAAAAGGAAGGAAAAAAAGGTATTTGGGGAAATGTTAGAAATGCTCTTTTTCCTCTAAGCCAGCTGGTGGGGTGTGTCCCTGTCTGTATTTGATTGACAGCAGCTCGCAGGCCAGCCTCCAACAAAGAAACACCAGCGAAAGTAAACAAACTTGCTCAGAAGCCTACATGTCATGGGCAGACAGTGTGTTGTTAGTATATTGAAGAGTAAGGACTACAGCAGCATCTACCCAGCCCGAAGTGACAGTTTTAGGTATGTTTACACAATGGTTAATGTGCTGGAGCTAACTATCTAGCCTGCAAAGTAACATTAGCAATGCACTTCCCCCAGTGAATGTTTCTTTGGTTGCTTGTTCAACAACGTACGGTGCAGGCCAAGAGGTGTGTTTATGTTTGTGTAAGTTAGATAAGAAGGAGATGTTAGCAGGAAAGCTACTGTGGGTTGCTGTTCAAATACTGTGTCTTGTGTTTTGTAAAATAATGCTGGCTTAATGAGACCGTCTGCCTATGACAGAATGCTGATGTTACTGCTTTATCCCAATATGGTTTAAAATTAAGCGATCTGATTGACTGTATGGAAAAAAATTCTTCATTTATATAGACAGATATATTTAGATTAATTAAGGAAAAACAAGAGGGCACCAAATCCTCACCAAAAATATAAAATATAAATTTCTGCCTTTTTGTTTCTGATTTTGATTCAAAGAAGAACGTAGAACAAGTTTCGTGTCTTTTTGATCATAGAGGAGGGTTTGCAGGCCAGCACTGGCTCATATCATCTGGACCTACCAGGAGAGAGGAGTTAGTCCTGCTGAGGTGCTGCCTGATGGCATCATCTGTTGGCAGCAAGAGGGTGAAATCAAGTGCACTGAGATCCCCTGACAGATTGTACATCTGTGAAAAAAAAAAACCATCATAGTGAAATACACTGAAACATGAAGTTGAGTTCAGACAAACAAGACAGATATCTTACCAGAGCGTACTGTCTGAACAGGGTGAAGTTAGGAGAGGAGCCCAGGAAGGCCATCAGGGTGGGGGGCTCAGGGGGGATGTCTGAGCGGGGCGGGACCAGAATCTGACCACACCCAAAGAAATAGACAGACACATATGGTTTCAGTTCATTAAATATTTTTTTAGGAACCAAAATCACTCAAATATGCTTTCATTGCTGTCACAAAAGACTCACTTCAACTTTCTATTTTATATTGTGGTTTAGGTCTAATCTATTCAAGTCTCCCTAATCCTCTGCCTGCTGATCTAACAATTTATTCTCTAGAGGCTAGTGTAGTTGAGCCACTTTTGAAAGATACAACCAAATTCCTGAGTAATTTGATTAAATCCCTCTCAAAAGATTTCCTCTTGTTCTGAACACTCTGTTTTCGATAGCTTTTTCTACAAACGGCTCCGAATGACGACACGCAGAGCTAGACAGAGCCAGTATTCCATATATGGTCATTTGCTCCGCACAGCAACGCTCAGTCTGTCTGTACCGCTTAACAGCAACAACAGCCTGGGGCGAGGTCAGCGGCAACAAAACGTAGCAAAACGTTTTTTTTCAACGGAAACAGTGGTGCCTCGAACATCCTGTTGTGAATGTACCTGTGCAAAACGTTTTGAGATTGAACTCGCCCATGGTAACATGCTTCAAGTCTTGGCCAATCAGAAGACAGTGGGCTTTGAGAGGGGGGACCTTAAAGAGACAGGAGCATCTACAGCTTGTTTCAGACAGAGGCTGAAAACATGAAGAGCCACTATAAGATAGACAATGATTTTGTAAAACTTTGAATCATGCAAAGCTGCTATACAGGACTCACAGAATAACTATATGGGACTGGTAAAGCAGTGTAATAGGTCTCCTTTAAAACAATCCCATGATCTTTCCTCTAGCGCCACCATCTGGGCAAACTAGCTGTACCACTGGTAAAGCTCTAATAATAGCTGACATCACCAGTATGTTGTTTGCACTACTTGGCCTCCTGGCTGACTCTTACCTGGTCTATGATGTGGATGTAGCCATTGATTGCAGGGAGGTTGCGAGTGAGGATGGAGGCGTTTCCAATGCGGATCACCTGGAACAAAACAACAACAGTTAAATATATACTTTGTTTGGTGTGTGTGTGTGTGTGTGTGTGTGTGTGTGTGTATCTTACCCTGAGCTAGCTCTGAAAATATGTGAGGTACTACTGTGATATTTTTGACAGACTACCATACACTTGCAAATTGTGTGTAATTAATGTCTGATTTGTTGAGGCAGTGGTTCATTACACGGTCTGCACCTGGGACTGAACCCTCTAGTCTCTGAGAGTGAAGCTGAGCTCAGAAGGTGCAGTTCAGTAAAGGGATTTGAGATCACAGAGGTCAGGAATAATCTATAGTGTGATGCTGCATAGACATATTCAATAATGATATAACAAGATTATAAAACATTTCCTGAGGCTGCATTTCAACTCCACCTGGGAAAAACACGTTTTATTCTGTGAATCATTCATTAAAAATAATACAGCCTAATCTGTAGGTCTGTTTATATTACTGAAGCCATTTAAGGAATAGTTTAACATTCGCTTGTGCTTATACACTTAACTTCTGAGATATAAATGAAAAGATGGATTTCAATCATCTCTGTGTGAGCTGGAATCAGGATGTGGTTAGCCTAGCTTAGCAACAGCTAGGCTTAATCAAAGTTAAAGAGGTGGTATTATGCTCATTTTCAGGTTCAAAATCTTATTTAGGGGTTGTGCCAGAAGAGGTTTACATGGTTTTATTTTCAAAAAACACCACATTTTTGATCATACTGCACATTGCTGCAGCTCCTCTAGCTATGGAGTGATACATCTTGTCTCTACATGATCTTTGTTGGGAGTTGCACATGCGCAGTCCCTAGCCAATCAGAAGCAGAGAGGGGCGGGTCAGTGAGAAGCTGGTAAACACAGCTTCGGTTCAGCTGTAGATAGTCCCCTTAACAGCTTAGTAACATGGACTGGAGCAAGAGATTCAGAGTGCTGAGTTATAAATCTGTAACAATTGTATCTTTCATCCATAAAGTTTAAACTGAGCTCTGTCTATACATCACAATAACAACTTTATGTCCATTGACTGCCTGAAGGGTAGCTAGTGTTTAGAAGGGAGAGGGGAGGTGTATGTTACAGCTCAATGTTTTTCCAGCGGTGTTTTTGAGGGCGTGTCGGAGTAGCCGCTTGGCGAGCGTTATATGGCGCGCAAGGGAAGTGGCTGGACTACAAACGATCTGTTTTCAGGGAGTTCAGTGCAGTGTTTTCTTTGGGAGATGGGAACTGCCTTTGGGCTTTTTCACTTTATAAACCTATTACATGCACAAAAAAGATATTTAACTGAATAATAAAGGAGACGGAAAAAGCCAAAAAGCATAATACCACCTCTTCTAATGTAAAAATAGCAATATTTGGTCTCGTGCAACAGCAGTCATCACAGGTACATACACTCAAGAAATTACTCAGAGAAATCAGTTTACCTTACCATCACAGGATGTGTGCCTAAAACCCAAGTTATTGACTACCGGTATATGCATGTCGAACGATTAACCCTACAGCTGCACACATTGGCCTCACGGCCAACGTGCTACCGAACAGGGTTAACCTCCTTCGTGTTGCTGTGCATTACCACCACCAATCCACTAGATGGCGCTGTCACAAAAGAACTACAGCCTCAGGATTGCGGGGGGCCTGACACTGCAGGTACTGCAGCTACATAATATTGAAATCCACCAGTGAGTCAGTCTGTTGCAATTACGCCATTCTTACCCCGCTGCTGTTGCTGATCTCCCAGTAGGTGGGAGCGTTCAGGGTGGGGAGCCTGCTGCCCACCAGTTTGTCCAGATCTTCTACAGAGTAAATCCCCAGCAGGTAGTGGGCCCTGCAACCAAGAACAGGATAAGGAAATGGCTACAACTCATTTAACTGAACACAAAAACTCAGTGTGCTCTTGGGAGATTGTGGATGTAACTAAAAGTCTGATGGATTTGCGTTACATGAAGTTTAATGTTCAGTGGTGAACAGTGTAGTGAAAGATTCACACCATGACAGATGGGTCAAAACTCAGCTTCCTGGAAATATATTGTTTAATTTATAAAAAGGCTCAGTAATTTTCTTAAACAGATGGTCACTGTAGTTTTTACCAAATGTTACTCAAACAGGAAGAAATAGTGCATTTACTGGGGATTATTTTTAGCGGTGGAGTAATACATATTTGGTGTTCAAGTGAGTATTTGAGGCAGGAGTGTGTGTGTTCATGGTAATGAAGGAACATGTAATCGAGTGCAACAGCGTGGCTCACTGAAGTGTTTTTTATAGTTTCTGGAGGACAAAGGAGCTATATTGCACAGAGGAAAAACATATATCAGACTTTGGATTCACAGACGTGTTAGTAGATCTGTTGTGTTGTGGAAGCGATGTAGTGACTACAGCATACCAAACTAGCTATAGCACTATATTATTAAGTAACTGCTATTTGACATTAATACCAACAAAATCCTTTTGTTAGCTAGTCAGATGAGGAGATTAACAGCCATTCTTCCAGACTTTGTGCAAAGCTAGTTTTAACTAGCTTAACTCTCTCTCTGTACTGGAAACACAGAGAGGAAACTGATTTCCATCTTGTCACCTGACTCTGGAGAAGACAGAAGTGAAAAGAATTTAGAGGCGTGATGTCTGTTGTAGACACACAGAATTAAAGTACTATGTGTGAGTGTGTTACACATGTCTGATCAGTGTGTGAGGTGACTGACCGCAGGAAGTGAGGCAGGTGGTGTCGGCTGGTCCAGAACGAGTCCCAATTTAAGCTGATGTTCCTCAGAGCTTCTCTGGATGGAACCAACAATGTGAGGTTTCCACTCAGGTCCTCAGAGGAGTGACTGTACCTCTGACAACATACAAAAATACAACTTATATTATCTTTTGTGTTGAGTTATTTGTTAAAACATAGGCCAGCTATATTACTACAGCAGAGACATCTACTTTGAAAGGAAATGAAAAATTCTAGGTTTTACAGCCTTTCTTTTGGTTTTGGTTCATTTCAAAACAACTACAACAAGATTTAACAGAACAGCAGTCTGTTTCAGCAGCTACATCTAAGTTAAGATTACACTTTGATAATTGTATTAATTCCCACAGGGAAAACTAGTTTGGTTGCCCATCTAAGTTTAAATGTAGTTTGTTTGTTAGTTTGAACGCAGTGTGGCAGTTAGGCTATAACTTTGAGTCAAGTAAAAACAGGATGCACCATACAAATTGGTTTTGTGTGAGTACCTGTAGACAGTGAGTCTGGTTCTTACATACCTGAGTCAGTTGGTAGAAACTATAAAGCTTCGGGTTCATGTCCAGCTCCTACAAACACAAACATGCACACAGTTATTGTGGTATTTAATCAGTTTGTTACTGGTGACTGTGACCGGGTTACAGTAGCAGTTTACAAAACATTTAGGTAGCAGCTTCTTTTTTATGCGGTGCTGACTGTAACCCTCCACTCTGTAACACCACTGTATAACTTGAGAGTGGTGAGTGTTTTTCTGGGTCCAACAACTTCAACACAGAGATACGTCTTCTCTCTAGCTGATCGCACCAATTTGTATTCTTCCAGTTAAACTTAAATTCATATCGTATCAATAATTAAATCTTGTTAATTTGAACCAGGTCCTCCAGTATTTAGGTTAAGCAGCTTGTGAAAAATATGGTGTGCCAAAGTCAGCTGTATTTCAATGTGTCAGATAAATATTTAATTAACTATGTAAATATAAATATCAGATTGGACTCAGCATGTACCTATTATTAAAGGGCTTGAACCAGGACTGGGGCCAGAAAAACTTCAGGTTCATCTCTATATGATACTGGTCTGAATACTTACATCCAGTAATGATCCGTAGCAGATGGTTCCGTCTCCCGCATAGCCGTCAGGACAGGTACAGGTGTGAGTTCCGTTCTTACTGTGCGCACACTTTGCCTGACAGAGTGTACAACAGATAGGAAATATATGTATCTAACCTACTGAGAACGCAGCAATCACAAGAAATTACCAATTCTCTGTTCTCATCTAAGGTGTTACTAATAACTCATAACACAAATAAACATTAAATAAATAAAAATTATGCACATCAAAGTCTTCAAATGAAGAAGATTCAGAACTTTAAGAAACAATGTCGAGGTTACTACACAGATATTAACGGTAAGTGTTAAGAACAATTATAACCCATCCTTTAAATCTCATGGCTGACACTTTATGTGATGCACAAGTGTTTTCTTTAACAAATTATTTTAATGATTGTCAGTCATTTCGAATGTTTCTATGCCTGCAGTACTGTCACAGTAAATATCGTGGGACATTTAAGCAGCAAAACTACACAAACTGTAGTTATAAACTTTACAGGACACACAGTAGAATCTCTCCAGAGGAAACAGAATTAAACTTTTAGCTTTTCAGACACCTCTGATGGTGCTCAGGATTGATCGAGAGGACAGCTGATTTATTACAAACTGTTTCACTGTATGAATCTTAGTGGTGCAACGGATCACAAAACTCATGGTTTGAGTCAGCAAAATAAAAAGTTAGGGTTAAATTAATTTTAAAATGAAGTACATTGTAGCCGCCTCACTCTCTCCATGCAGTCTCGCTCAATGTCCCACCCACTGATTGGTTACACTTAATGAGTAAGAGCTTATCAACACTTGCGAGACAGTCACTGCTCAGTGAGCAGTGGAGCTGTGTGTTGAATCGAAGGCAGCATAATTACCAGGAATAAACATCAAAATCATATGATCTGTTTCTATGAAGACAAGAAGCCCACTGTCCCTGTTACACCACTGAAAATGCCGGACGTCACAGACTATTGGGTTTCACTCAATGGAGACGAAAGCAACGGCTTTTGAATCAGTCCCTCTCCCCTAAACTAATCACAACCATCTTTTCACTGCCACTCTGCTTGCTGCTGTATATATTTATTACATAAGTGACAGCGGCAGTAAAACTGTTCCCATACTGTGATGGTTAAACCTGCAATCATCTGCGGTTCACCTGTGTGCTGAACCGTGGGGGGGGATCCATGCGGATCACGGGTCAACCGTTGCACCACTAATGAACCTCCACTGCGTGTGAGACCTTTTGGATGTGTAGAAGAACATAGAACATTAATTAACGTAACGATCCTGTCAGCATGACGTTAGACTTAAATAATCTATTAAGTTACACTGCTGTGCCTCCAAATGCTCACAGCCACTCTCTTAATGGGGAGACGCTTCACCCTATTTCACCCACCCACAGCCCATCCACTATTAATCAGAAAGTACATTTTTATGAACCAGCCAGCAGATATAACTTCGATCTACGCATCACTGGTGTGTGTGTGTGTGTGTGTGTGTGTGTGTGTGTGTGTGTGTGTGTTTACCAGGTCACTGCAGCCTCCATTCTTCTTGAGGCAGGGGTTAATGAGGTCACACACAATACCATTGCCCATGTAGCCTGTTTTACATACACACTCACTCTGCAGACACAGATGGATAAACAGACAGTTCTTAACAGTCCTCTACAATATTTACAGTCAGGCATCTGATTAGTAACTAGTAAATAAATCATATAGACAGTTGGAGATAATGGGAACATAAGAGGGAGGATAGTGTGGTAACAAGCTTCTCTCTGAGTTGATGTGAACTGTTACTAAGTGTGAGAGAAGAGTAAAAACATAAACAATGCTTTAGAAAACTGTGCCAGTAGAAAGACATCTCAAACAGGGAGAAAACAGGTGCAAATAAATCTGTGGAAAAATGGTTAGTAACTGTTAATATGTTAATTGTTGTTAATGATTATTAATTGATGCATATTATCATCATTATTTTTTAATAACTGACCTGTCCAGGTCCAATGTGGGTACAGTCAGCATTGGGGCTGCAACCACCTCGACTCTCCAGCTGACAGTTGTTGATCTCCACACACACACTGCCGTCACCTTCCCAACCCTCAACACACACACATGACACGTTACCTGGACCCACATACACACAATCCGCCTGTAAAGAGATGGGGGAGTGAGAGGATGTGTTATAAAGGCAGGTGGACAGCTTTGAATCTGACAGTCAACAACAACAACACACCATCAGTTTACCAATATTATATATTTGATACCTGCTGATACAGTCCCCTCCAAAAGTATAGGAACGGTAAGGCAAATTCCTTTGTTTTTGTTGTTTACTGAAGACATTTGGGTTTAAGATCTAAGATGAGTATGAGACAAGAGTTCAGAATTTCAGCTCTCATTTCCTGGTATTCACATCTCGATGTGATAAACAACTCAGGACATACCGCCCTTTGTTTGGAGAAAAGCAAGCCACTGTCGAGCTGAGAAAAGAAGGAAAATCGACCAGAGCCATTGGACAAACATTGGGCATCACAAGCACAACAATTTGTAATGTCCTGAAAAAGAAAGAAACTACTGGTGTACTGAGCAACAGACGTCGAACAGGTCGGCCAAGGAAAACAACAGTAGTTGATGACAGAAATATTGTGAGAGCTGTGAAGAAAACCCCCAAAACATCATCACCAACGACCTCCACAGTGCAGGGGTGAAGGTATCACAATCCACTGTTGGAAGAAGACTCCGAGAGCAGAAATATAGAGGCCACAGCACAAGATGCAAACCACTCATCAGCAGGAAGAATCGGAAGGCCAGACTGAAATTTGCAGAGAAGTACAGAGATGAGCTGCAAAAGTTCTGGAGCACAATCTTATGGACTGATGAGACCAAGATTAATCTCTAGCAAAGTGATGGAAAGGCCAAAGTGTGGAGAAAGAAAGGAACTGCTTATGATCCGAAGCATGCAAGCTCATCTGTGAAGCATGGTGGAGGTAATGTCATGGCTTGGGCGTGCATGGCTGCTTCAGGAACAGGCTCATTAATATTTATTGATGATGTAACTGATGATGGTGGCAGCAGAATGAATTCAGAAGTGTCCAGAAACATTTTGTCTGCCAATTTACGGAGAAAAAAAGTGGAATGGTTTAGACTTGCCAAGTCAATCACCTGACCATAACCCAATAGAGCTGCATTTCACCTCCTTAAGAGGAGACTGAAGGGAGGAACATCCCAAAACAAACAAGTACCGAAAGAAGCTGCGGTAAAAACCTGGAATAGCATCACAAATGAAGAATGCGACAGTTTAGTGATATCGATGGGTCGCAGGCTTGAGGCAGTTATTGCAAGCAAGGGTTATGCCACCAAATATTAAATGTTATTTACTTTAAGATTATTTGTTCCTTTACTTTTGCTCACCTAAAAATGCTGTGGTCTAATACAAACTCAAATAAACAAATATCATTATCAAGTAAACAAATATAACATTTTAGTTTGTTTGCAATGTTGTTTTATCTTCAGGCCTGGCTACTGTAATGCTTTGCTTAACTGCCTCAATTCTTGAGCTGTAGCTCAGCTTCATACTTTGCAGAACTCTACAGACAGGCTCCTGACCATGACACTTCTCACTTCACCCCAGTTTTAGCTTTTTTGCACTGGTTATCAATTTCTATTAGAATCCACTTTAATCTAGTGCCAGGGGCCAGAGTGCATCAGTGACCTTTTAACTACTTACTGAACAAAAAGGCCTCTGCAATCTGCTGGTGTAGGCTTTTAGCTGCTACAGCGAACAGGTCAAAGTGACCATTCTGTTGTTTTATTTTCCATTAATCTGTCAATTGTTAATTTTACTTTTATTGTGCTCGTTGGTGGTTATTGTGAAAATAATTGCTCCATTAAAAAGAACAAGATAAAAAGAAGATATTACCGTGTTTCCGAGCGGACCGCGTAACGGAGCTCACGGAAAAAACAAAGGGAGGCAGACTCTGTCTCTACATAAACGAAGGTTGGTGTACAGATGTCACAGCCCTCACTTAGAGACATTATTTATAAACTGTAAACCTTTTTATTCACTGCGGGAGTTTTCCTCGTTTGTCCTGGTCGCTATTTACATTCCACCTCAGGCCTGTGTTAGTGAGGCGTTACTACAACTGGCTGACCAGATAATTAATGTGGAGAAAAAACATCCAGACTCCCTGCTCATTGTTCTTGGAGACTTCAACAGAGCAAACCTCAGCCACAAACTTCCAAAGTACAGACAGCATATTAAGTGTCCCACCAGGGACACTAACACACTGGACCACTGCTACACTACATTAAAGGACGCCTATTCCTCTGTCCCCCGTGCAGCCTTAGGACTCTCTGATCACTGTCAGGTTCATCTTATCCCAACTTACAGGCAGCGACTGAAATCTGCTAAACCTGTTGTAAAGAGTGTGAAAAGATGGACCAACAAGTCAAAGATGGACGACTGCACCTCAGGAGACCCATCTGTCAAACTCCTAAAGTTTGCTGACAACACTACGGTCATCGGCCTCATCCGGGACGGTGATGAGTCGGCCTACAGACGGGAGGTTGATCAGCTGGCTCTCTGGTGCGGTCAGAACAACCTGGAGCTTAACATGCTCAAACTGTTGAGATGACCGTGGACTTCAGGAGGAGCCCCCCCACTCTGCCCCCCATCACTATACTCAACAGCCCTGTGTCTGCTGTGGAATCCTTCAGGTTTCTGGGATCCACTATATCCCAGGAGCTGAAGTGGGAGCCCAACACTGACACCATCATCAAGAAGGCCCAGCAGAGGATGTACTTCCTCTGCCAGCTCAGGAAGCTCAACCTGCCTAAGGACCTGCTGATCCAGTTCTACACAGCCATCATCCAGTCTGTCCTCTGCGCCTCCATCACTGTCTGGTTTGGATCTGCCACCAAAAATGACAGGGACAGACTACAACTGATAGTCAGGACTGCAGAAAAGATCATCAGTGCCAACCTGTCCTCCATTCAGGACTTATGCATTTCCAGAGTCAGGAAACGGGCAGGAACTGCAGATCCATCTCACCCCAGACACAACCTGTTCCAGCTCCTCCCTCTGGTAAGCGCTACAGAGCACTGTACAGCAAAACCAACAGACTCAGGAACAGTTTCTTCCCACACTGTGTACATGTATGCTTGTATTTGTATGTGCACCTTTATATATCATCCACCTCTGACATGTACATAATAACAATAATGGTAATAATAATTTACTCCTGCATCCTTTGCACTCTGCTCATTGCTGTCATGCTCTTGGGTTTTTGTGTGGCATTTTTCTGTTATTTATTTATTATTCTTGTTTAGTGAGTTGACCATTGGTTCCTTGTTCTCTGTTGTATTTGGTTTCACATGTCTTTGTGTATTGTCGCTAGCTTTACTTCCCTGTTTTATTTTGTAGTGATCAGTTTCATGTGTTTTTGTCTAGCTTTGTTTCCTGCTTATGTGTCCCACCTGTGTTAATTGCCAGGTCCTCGTGGTGTCATCATCTTATGCTGAGTGTCCTGCCTGTTCTTTGTTTCATGGATTATTCCTCAACTAACGGACTTCTCTGCGTTTTGGATTTGTTCCCCGTTTGGATTACTCCCTTTTGTTTGGACTCTAACCTTGTATTCATGTAAGCTTGTTTAGTTTGTTAAATAAATCTTTGTTTGAACTGCAACCTCCTCGTCAGTGTCTGCAACTTGGGTCCACACCTCAGTTCCTCTGCTACTGCACACAGCCCAACCTGATAATTGCAGTATTGTCTCAATCTGTCTGTTTTGTTCATAGTGTGTTCTCTATATTGTAGCCTGTGTTTGATTTTATTATTGTATAAGTAAGCAAATCGTGAGCATTGTACAATCCAGAGTCAAATTCCTCGTATGTGTACATACACCTGGCAATAAATCTGATTATGATATATATCCATCCATCCACACACAAACGAGCAGTAAGTCTTACGTTGGTGTCGCAGCCTCCTCGGTTGCTCTTCAGGCAGGGGTTGATCGGAGAACAGGAGTGACCATCGCCCTCATATCCATCGCTACACACACACCTGGTATAACACACACAGATTTATGATGAACAAACTCAGCAGCTGCTGAGGGAACAGAGGGACTGGTGATAAATTCTGCTTATTTTGAACCACTGAAGAAATACTGAGAGCTCCTTTAAGTATTGGTAAAGGATAAGTGGGTTGGATGTTTTCAGTTTTGAGAATGAGAAGTGTGTGTGTGTGTGTGTGTGGGGGGGGGCACTGGAAGCCTCTGGTTCATCAGGGGCCTTCATAGAAACAGTTTGACTGCCTGACACACATACAAGCCAAATAGTAAAATGATTTGCCTTTGCTTTAAGAGTGATAATCGTTAACTGCTTAGCTCATATTACAAAGGTACAAACTTTAAAGGGGCATTACGGAGTTTCCCGCAGCCACTAGCGGTGTGTTTTAAAGATTGCTACCAGGCGTGTGCTCGTACGTATGCTCGCTTGAACTCATGAGCGAGCATAATCCAAAACACAACCGCGTTCATACAGAAATCCTGCAATAAATGCAGGAACACCAGCATGCAGGCTGTGACTTTTCACTCAGACATGTTCAGGCTTTGTTACTTCAACGCTTTCGTCTCAGAGACAGATCAACACCTGCTGCTTTCAGTAACTATCTTTACTATCTGTGTATCTTTCACCGGAGGTTCAGCAATGTCAGCACAGATAAAGTATTGGATGATAACAAACAGGTAGTGAGCTGAACTGAATATTATAACGAGATTGTGTATAAGACCACAGTAAGTAACTTTACTGTAGTGTTAGTGCATGGCTCTTCCTCTGGGTTGTTGTCGCTGTGAAGTTGCAGTATTGTATATTATGTGGGTCACGTTCGTTATAGCGACGGAGAAGTGGAGAAGCTGTGTACCTGATTATTGGTAAAACCAATAAACCTAAACTGAACGTTACAAAGCAAACAGCGGCAGGTCCGAGCTACTGCAGCGTTAGCTGGCTGCATCACTACAGGCTAACGTTAGTAAACAAATCGCTCCACATTTGCTTTTTACCATTACATCCTTTCTTGCAAGCTAAATCAATAGTGGTACACTATTAGTATAGTAACATGGGTTGCGTTAGTTGGTGAGTAATGTGGAAAGCGATATAACTTTGCGCCGGATAACGTTAGCAACAGCTAGGTATTAGGCGGCGAGCTAACGTGACTTTCTGGTTGTTTTATGGTATTAGTGGACTGCGTGTCATTAGCTGCCGTGTTGTCGCTGTAGTACACGAGAGAGGCTCGGGAGCGTGCACAGGGCTGAATCCGACCCGGAATCCCCACCTTAAAAGCAGAATAGTGGCTGATCCAAGCAACGGAGAAAACAGACATGTGCTTCATTTCGAAGTGAGTTTTGAGCCCATTGACAATAAGGCAATGAAAATTTAATTAATTTCATTGAAAAACTTACATGTAGTCCCTTTAAGTAAGAAAGATGTTTTATTTTAGATACTGTTAATTTCTTTAATAAGAGCAGTAATAAGAGTTTCTGCAGTCTCTTGTGCCCTGACCTTTGCTATGGTTGTACATGATCAGATTTCAGATTAGACGATGATTTCCGGTGATGTAGAAACGAAAGTCCGCTCTTGCTGGCAACTCGACCCTTTAGATAAATAAAAAAGGCCTCCCTGAAGACACTTGAGTGCATCTTGCTCACATGAAGGGAAGCGTGAAAAGAGGTGTGAAGATAAGGAGGGTCAAGAGTTTTCATCTTTTAAATCTATATTAATTTTAAGTTTAGAATTATCTTTAATAAATTTTAAAACTTGTTTTTTGAGATAACACCCTCTATATGTATCCCCTGATGATGTCAAATAATTGTTTTGATCAGCGAAGAAGGTGCTATTTGCTAATGTGACAACAGTTGTGAGGAGTCAAGCACCTTCATTTTGTGATTAAAGGAGGAGGAAGGCCTTTACTCTGCTTTTTAAAGTCAGAAAGAGATGAGGAGAGTAGAATGAGTGTTGACATGAATTGATTTGATGTATTCTGCTTTTGGAGTAATGCATTTAAAATTAATTTTCATTTGTGCATCCATTTAAGATTATGTAAGATAGGGGATGTTCATCTGTTTTGTTTAAGAAGTGTTGCCTACTATATTTGTCCTTTATTCATTGGAAATTTAAATGATTATACTAACATGTAGTTGTAGAGACCTGCATGATTTGCGTTTTTACCTTATTTAGAGAATTATTTTGTGAACTGAGGCGAAGGGGTGTTGCAACTACTGGACAAAAGGACAATCTACCCATAAAAGGAAAAACAGTGTAACAACCAATCAGTGTGATGATCAAGTTCTGATAGCCAACGATTGCTTGAGAAAAGGGTAGGGTCCTCCCTGTCTCTTTCTTTAAGTTGCTGACCCTAGAGCTCAACAGGAATAAAAAAGGAGCGAAAAGAGGAGAATAGGGGGGAACTTTTGGGGGTGGAGGAGATCAGCTGATGTTCTATGTGGCGCTAATAAATATATGTTCCAGCTGGAACTGTCACTGTAAACCAACAGATCAGAACATACATCAGAGAGGAAATAGCTGAAGTAGTCCAGATGTGAGGTGAAAAACACCTGGGCTGTCTCCCTCATGAGGGAAGAGTGAATCATCCTGATGTTATACAGGAGGAATCTTGAGGAGCTACTGCTGACATTCACTAAAGTCAGTAAAAAAAAAAAAACATTTATGGACAAAATTCTTCTAAAACTAGGGATGCACCGAAATAATTAAATATTTTTAAAAAAGTAATAATAATAATAGCATTTCTGATTCTGAAAAATTCTTGGCGGAAACCAAATATAATGAAAAATAAGAAGAAGATGTCTATGAAGATTCTCAGTCATCCAGGTCATAGTTATCCAACGAAGGTTAAAATGAAGGGCAACTGGACTTGGTTGAAGATACTGGAAGACGTTTCGTCCCTTATCCAAAGTACTTCTTCAGTTCTGACTGACTGGCAGGGAAACTCAGCTATTTAACCTCAGTGGGGTCGTTGGCCCGGGTCATCGATACCGCTGGTTCGTTAGTGTTCCTTGTTGCTGTGACGACAGTCGTTACAGTCGTTAAGACTACCTGTGGCCAAGACTGAACGACCATCGTTGGTATCTTCACCTGAGGCCAATAGGTTACGTTTGTTGAGTTTCCTGGGAAGTGATGAAAGGACAGCATTGTAAGTGGGGGATAAGTGGTGGCGTAGACCCCTCCCCTGTTCAATGACGGCTTCTCAACCCTGGTGTAGATGGCTTCCTTGACACCTCTTTCAAAGCATCCATCTTCTCTGTCTAAAATGTGCACCTGGTGGTCCTCAAACGAGTGTCCTCTGTCCTTCAGATGTAAGTAGACTGCAGAGTCTTGACCTGAGGAGTTGGCCCTTCTGTGTTGAGCCATGCGTTTGTGTAGTGGTTGTTTAGTCTCCCCAATATACAGGTCTGTGCATTCCTCACTGCATTGGACCGCATACACTAGATTGCTTTTCTTGTGTTTGGGTGTGCGGTCTTTGGGGTGTACCAGCATCTGTCTTAGTGTGTTCTTGGGTTTAAAAAACACAGGGATGTTATGTTTGTTGAAAATCCTCCTGAGTTTCTCTGATACTCCAGACACGTATGGAATCACAATGTTGTTGCGTTTGACCTTCTTTTCCTCCTCCCCTGTAGTTTTGTTCTTCTTGGATCTTGTGGCTGTTTTCACAAAGGTCCATTTAGGGTATCCACAGGCTGTAAGTGATCCCTTCAGGTGGTTCTGTTCCTTCTCTCTGGCTTGGGCGCTTGTTGGTATGTTTTCCGCTCTGTGGTGCAGTGTTCTCATGACCCCTAGCTTGTGCTCCAGTGGGTGGTGTGAATCGAAGAGTAGATATTGGTCTGTGTGTGTGGGTTTTCTGTAAACACCAATCTGCAGGCTCCTGTCCTCTTCAATGTGTACAGCGCAGTCCAGGAAGGCCAAACTGTTGTTGTGAACATCTTCTCGTGTGAAGAGGGGAGGGGAGGAGTTACGACTGTAACGACTGTCGTCACAGCAACAAGGAACACTAACGAACCAGCGGTATCGATGACCCGGGCCAACGACCCCACTGAGGTCAAATAGCTGAGTTTCCCTGCCAGTCAGTCAGAACTGAAGAAGTCCTTTGGATGTTGGACGGAACGTCTTCCAGTATCTTCAACCAAGTCCAGTTGCCCTTGATTTTTAACCTTCGTTGGATAAGAAGAAGATATACTTTATTTAATCCCCAGATGGGAAACTCAATGTTTTCACTCTGTTATTATGTTAGTATACACACAGGTCTGAAAGACACACACAAACACGACCAATAGCAACACACGGAGAGATGTCAGAGTGAGGAGGCTGCCGGTCAAGCAGCAGTTGGGGGTTCAGGAGCTTGCTCAAGGCCTCCTTCAGCAGTGCCCAGGAGGTTCACACTCCACAACTCTGGTCCGAGCTGGATTCAAACCTGCGACCCTCCAGTTCCCAGCCTAATCCTTACGGACTGAGCTAATGCCACCCCAAAAAAAAAAATTGCTGAACATTCACACTTTTCCATTTATTTTGCCTTTTTTTTACCATTGCATAAATTAAATAGTCAAAATGTGCTTTTTACTCAGTGTTTCCCACAGGATTTCGAGAGACTATGGTGAGTGTGTCTGAGGCCCAAGAGGGTCCGGTAAAGTAAATTACGTGTCCATTTACTTTTAATGAACACATGTAATATGTTTTATACTTTCTGTGAATATAATCCAATTAAACTTATTACCATACTGTATAGACACCTTATTTTGAAAACCGTAAGACTTCATAGCTTCTCTTCAGGTAGGACTCTCATATTGCAACACTTTGTACAGAGAGAAACTGACAGGATAAAGTCGCCAACCTGCCTGTCAGCTCGCACTGGTCCGTTTCAGTTACCATAAAAGCTTGAATACGTGTGCACTCCAAATTAAGGTGCGGATAGCTTAATCACCTTCTCAGAAACGAGTGACAAACACTCAAAGTGGGTCAGACCGTTTGTTGCCTTTTCTAAGAAGTCTACCACAGATGGAGTGGATGTGCTAGGAGACAATTCAGTTTAAAGTTTAAAATGCTTCCACACAGCCGACATGTCAACGTAATTGTTCGGAAAAATTTATTTGGTCTTTGAAATATTAGGCCGAACACCGAAAGTGCTTTTTTGGCTATTTTTGGCTGATTCATTTTGGTGGCAAAAATTAAACTAAAAGGTAACTAACAATAACAAACTGATACACTTCATTCATTTAAATCTAATCTAAAAGATAAAAAATTAATCAAACTTAGGACTCAAACACTAGGGCTGCTTGATTATGGCAAAAATAAGGATTACTTTGGTCAATATAGAGATCGTGATTATTTAACGCAGTTACCGATTGACTTAGGACACATCATGTGTTTATTGAACTTTTAAAAGTGAATGCTTCATTTTTTCAATTATGTATGCATTACCTGAATAAAAACTAAATAGATCATGTATGTATAAATAGGTATAAATAATATGTAATTTTTAAGCCGCTAGTCTAATTTATGCAGTGTAAAATGCCGTAGGCTTAAACTAACAATTGTAACCAACAAGTTACAGCAGTTATAACTGGTCATCTTGGTATGAGCTGAATAAACAGCACAGCCTGGCTGAGAGAGAGTCTGGGCTTTTAGAGAAGGGCTTGAGCCACGGCTGTGAAGGAAAAATGTGCGCTGGATTCATAACACAAGAAACAACGAGAGCATCTTTGCAAAGCAGAATGCTTCACAATAATCGTTTTGATTATCTTGTTTTCGTAATCGTAGGAAGCCAAAATAGTAACTTCATGATAGAAGTATCTTACGTAGTATGCAGTCCCGTGAGTGTACAGTATGCGTGGATGTGACAGTGTTCCTGCAGTCCGTCAGAGTTGCAGGGCGTGGCCGTCTTGTCACAGTTTTCTCCAGAGTATCCCTCCATACAGGATCCTCTCCGACACACACCACCGCTGCCTGGACGGTTATCACACACACCGTGGACACAGCGACACTCTGAAGACACACACACACGCACGCACCAGGTGATAATTTCAGGTCAGTCAGCCAATGTTATGGAACAGTGTCACACCAGGTAAAACACACCTCTGGGCCTCTGCATACAACAGAATCACACTTACAAAACTGTTTTATATTTAAAATCAGAAATGCAGAGGGCACAACAAAATTATACAGTTTTATTAATATAATCCAGCTAAATTTCAGATGATAATTCAGATGATAATTATGATCATGGATCATAATTAGAGTGACAAAGGGAGCAGGTGCTCATCTGGTGACAGGAGGTCAGACATAATGACTGATGATCCCCTGATTTTACCTCTAACACCACCATGAGGTTGACATAGGTGGTTGTACAGAAGATAGAAAGAAAAACAAATATAGCCAGACATAACAAAGGACATATAGCATTCAGAGACAGTCACAGACATCACTTAATAGATTTGGAGATGAAAGTTTTATTATTATGTCATTTGCTCTTATGGAGATAGTGGTGGAGAGCTTTGTCTTACACACTGATCCAAAATCTTCCATAGGTATTCAACTAGGTTAAAATCTGGTGACTGTAAAGGCTGTAGCTTTTTATTCATGTTATTTTCATACTTACCAAACCAATCAGTGAGCCCTGGTGCACAGAAGCCTCTGGGTGTGATATGTTTCTCCACACTATATCGTACAGCCTCAACAAGTCACTAGCATGATTGTAGACTATGTCAGAAATCACTCCCCATTGACTATATAGTGCACCATAATTAGGGCCAGATTTACAGATTTAAGGATTGCGTGAGTAAAAACGTGTGCAAACATATCACCAGCAAATTAACATGTAAGCTGATCTACAAACGGTGTGCATGCAGAATGACATCTTTCAAAAGTGCAAGATAGCAACTGTTGTTCATTTACTACTTTTGCCTTAATGAATACGCAATTGGGGGCTTTTCAAATTTATTGTTCAAAACAATGGGAGGGGAACTTGCAAATACATTTATTTACTATACGCAATGTAACAAGCCAACAAGCAGTTTCATGTGCAACAGCCTCTGTATATAAGTTTTAAAGGAAGTGTTGCGCAGAGATGCTGCTGTTATTGTTGTGAGAAGGAGACACAGCCGTAATGAAAGAAGACAGTGAAATTTTAAATATAAAGAAATAAAATTATTTCATTTTATTTATTCGATGAACTATATGAATAGAATTGTGTTTTTGTATTTTCCGTGAAGACTTGGCAATACTGTTGTATTGACATTCATGCCAATCCAGAAAGTTTCGTTTTGATCTGACTTCTTTTTTCCATGAGATGGAAGAATTTAGAAAGTTGTGTGGCGCTGCTGAGAGCCCCCAGCTGCAGTAGTGCATGGATAAAATTCATCCAGCCAGAGGGAACGATCACCAACTGTTCACGATCTGCTGGTATATTTCCTCGCGTCTGGGTCATTCCAGCATACTGTATCTGTTTCTGCTGTGGTTTCCCAAACAGTTTTTCAAGTGTGCTGTCCCAAGTACTTAGTGCAATCTTAGGCAGGATGGGCAGGTACATATGATTTCCACATACTCGGGACTCACTAAATGAAACAACCAAGGATTTTTACGCGGTGGCTGTTTTCCCTCTTGACTCTCCATGGCGGAAACCATTAAAACATGCAAAACTCTCATTTAAATACTGACACCTCCATTGTGTTTGTTGTCATCTACGCAATAAATCTTAGTTCATCAACCATTACAGGTACTACAATTGCACGTGCAATATTTTAGAATGTTGTTAGTAAATCCGACCCCTACTGTCTAACAAATATTCCATGTAATAAAAAAGTAGTGTCCATGGCATAAACATTTCTTTCTGCTACCAACCCCACAATGCAATGTTTTGCATTTTATAGATACAAATATTACTGCTGCAAGACTCTACAGCTGACAGTGATGACACAAAAGGATAACAATTAACAGTTGTCCAAAATCTCTAACTATCAAGTGTCTGTTATATAGGTGATAATGAATGAGTTAACGAGAGAGTGGTTTCAGACACGGCGTTAGTCTTGTTTGAATATGTGAAGGGGCATTTTAAGGCTAAATTACGTGTTAAGTTGCTCTCCGAATGTTAACGAGGAGGAGCTGTTACCTTCGTCACACTTCTCCCCATGCTTGGATGGATCCGAGCAGATGTGGCAGGCAACACCCTTGAAGCCTGACTGACAGTTGCATGAGCCGTTGCCACGGATACCGTCTGAACACTGCATGTGGTAAAAACAAATTAAATAAATAACACACATCAGTTGAGAAATAAGGCTCCATTAACAGAGTTGTTTGTGTGTTGCTCACCGTTCCTTTGTCGTAGCAGGGATGCTGGAATCCTCCAATACAGGGTTTACAGTCCGGCCCGTAGAAACCCTTACAACACTCTGCTACCTGTTAAACACACGCAGATTAAAACACAAAAATACTGAATGATTTAAAAGTCAGATAAAGGACTGTTCCACATTTTGGGACCTGCACAGCAAAACCATTGATTTTGTGTCACTTCCTATTTCCTAGCTACCCAAGAACCCTACTGATGCGGGTCCTTGTTTGACCTTCAAATAGTACCTGTGTGCTTGTGTTTTTGATGTTGAGGCATAGTTTCTTAACAAAAAGGACACCTTAATACTTCCATCTGTTTTCTGTTTTTAAAAACTGGTGTGTTGTTCTTTATCTGACTTGCTGGTTGTGTCATATGAAGATCTCTGCTGCAGGACTTAACCAGTCACGGCATCAGGCGGCCGTGCACACCACATAACAGGGCAGCGCTCGCACCGGGCAGAGGAGGGGGGACGTGGCGTCCTCCACCAACCCATGAGAGGGAGGAAAAAAGCCCGTGACCGAAAGGAGCTCGTAATGCTTTTAGGCATGAACGTCTCAGGGTTCAGTGTCTCCCAGACATTAACAGACATACTGCAGAAGTGCAATTCACTGTGGAGGAATTCCAACAGGGGGGGTTCAAATACACTGTGGCTGAGACTCCTCCAGATCTGTAAACTGGCTCCTCACTTCCCCATAGTAAAAATTCCAATCTGACAAGCCAAACGAGGCACCAGGACTTTCCACCGCTGAGATATATATATATATAAACCTATGGGTAGGTGACTTTCTTTAATAAAAGAAAGTAACAGCGAGATGTGAATGACTTTTGATTATTTTAGCTGGATATTAAATTAAAGATTAGAGGCTGAACACATCCATCTTCTTGTGTCTTGGGGTGTCTTGTGTCTGTGTAACACACACACACACACACACACACACACACACACACACACCCCCCTCTTACTCTCTCGCCTCTGATGTGACCTGAGGTAATCGTGTCTGCTAGACCTACCAAAAAGTGTGCATTCCTGAGGAATTACCACTGTTATTTTATTTCCTTTAGCTTTAGCAAAGTCTGAATGAATGTAAATTAGTTATGTACAATGTAAGATTCATAGATTTAATAACTGGTCAACCAAGTAGCCACACTGCCATCTATAGACAATATGACAGACATTTCTGTAACAACTAGGCGTGTCTAGTTATGTAAGACTGCATTTTCAATTTTTCTTATATAATCAACTGAGGGATGTTCACCTCTGTGCACTAAGTAGCATTAGAAATCATCTCTACAGCTAATTAGTCAGCAATGTCGTGTCATCTGGATGTGTAACTATACCATGTCATGCTTCGAATCACGATTGCGTGACTGTAGTGATATATTGAAGAATGTGACTTTGTGTGTAAATTTACAATACATTCAGTAGTTTAATCTGGCAAGCCTATACTTCAGTAACTTATCTGTGTCACTATGTAACACGCGTCATGATGCTCGTTTAGCGGCTAGTCAGGCATGCCCTCAAAACGCAGCACAGTGACAAGACATTCACCCGCTGCCTCCCCACAGCCCCACTCTCCCTACCAAACATTAGACACTCTTCTAGGTAGTCAGTTTCAGTTTATTAAAACTGAAGTTGTTAGTGTGATGTAGAGACAGTGCAAAGTTAAAACGTTATGTATGAAAGATACAAATGACCACTCTAAAAGTCTTGCTCCAGTCTAAGATGCGAACATGTAAAGCTGACAGGGTTGGGAGGATTACTAAAAATGTAATCAGTAATGTAATCCAAGTACCAGAAAATACCAATAGGGGGGTTCTCCCCTGGAGTTGGCCTTTTGACATGCAAAAACTAGAGATATCGCCTGGTGTTTTGGTAAGGATCTGCAGAGACTCAATCAGATATGCATCGCTTAAGGATTGTGTAGTCAAAGAGCCTTAGTGAACCTTTCTCGCCATAAAGGTGTCACTGGAGACACTAAGCAGGACAGCAAAGGGGCTGGCCAACCCCTCTCTCTCCACAGGTCACTTCCGGACATCAAAAGTACCACCCGTCCGGCCTCAACCTGACTCCTTTTCCCACAGAACGGCTGAGCCATAAAACACCACTCCCTTCTCTCTTTAGCCGATATGCAAATGTGATATGCCAGGATTGCAAAAGGGGGACACACTAACAACCCCTGTTTTCTTGAACCAACAAATATTTCATTATAAACTGTTTGTTCTATTTAAATAATAATCCTTGCTAAGTTAGTAGTGGCGTTTGCCTCTTAGTTTAGTAGTAATGACCCTGTTGTTACCCTTTAGTGATGTTTGAAAACTAGAGAACCATAAGAAAGTAATCTTGAAGAGTTCCCTAATTTCCTTTTTGTTTTGTTTCAAATCCTCCCTGTTATTCCCTAGTAATCACTGTCTGTTTAGTATTAACTAATGCTTTAGTTAAACGTTTCATATACAATTTCCTACTAAAGCATTCATCCGCATGCTTGTGTGTATAACCAGCTTCCCAGTTCCTAGTTAAAGTGGAGAATCTTAAAGTTGAATGTCTACTGTTTTCTCATACGACCCGAGCTCCACCAAGGGGACAGAAAAGGTATAACACACAAGTGTTTAAAACTCGGCTTACACCGCCAAATATCTATATCACCATGTAATGGTATAAACGAATTCTTTGCTGCCATGCTTACATCTAAATTGTCTCTTGAGTTAAAACATGTAACCATCAAGTTTACACTGAAAACATGTAGTTAAGCTTTGTTTCACCTTTTATTAAGTATATAACAATTAAGAAACCCTTAACACCACGCGCTGTTTGATGTACAGAGAGACAGAGTGGTCATCGGGCTGGGTCACTCTCCAAGTTGCTGCAGAGCTTGTAATTTATGCTGAACTCCTTGATGTAATAAACTTTTATGATCAAGAACAGTGTCAAGCGGATTTCTTCTCAACACATCATCGCAGCATTATTGTTCGGACACCACACCCTCTAGTGTTTAGTCTCGTTTTGCTTGTCTTTATCTAAATGTTTAGAACTAAGTATTTTTCAAATGTTGGCGCTGGTTTTATGCGCCTTAACCCAAGCCCAGTTTGAGCCTTTGGAGACGGCGGATCTGAGATTCCTTTCAGCTAAGGTCGCCTTGCTCCTGGCTCTGACATCAGCCAAGAGGGTCCCCCCTCCTCTGCCCGGTGCGAGCGCTGCCCTGTTATGTGGTGTGCACGGCCGCCTGGTGCAGTTCGCAGCTGTCTGTTTGTGCACTACAGGGAGTGGTCCAAGGGACTTCCCCTGTCAGCACAGCGCCTGTCTCACTGGCTGTGTGATGCCATTTCCCAGGCTTACATGTCTGCCGGTGAGTCTCCCCCACATGGCATCAGAGTGCACTCCACGAGAGGCGTCTCCTCCACGAGAGGCGTCTCCTCCACGAGAGGCGTCTCCTCCGTTTCTACCTGTGGGATGTCTCCCGTTTCTCTCTGAGTCACTCAGTACTGAGTGTTTTGGCTGAGTGATTCTCCTTGTGAGTGTGCTGTGCGCCCTCTCCCACAGGACAGTGTGCGGGGGCGGCCGCTGCTTACATGGCCCTGCCTTGTGCGCAGCTGATGCAGTTGCTGTCGTGACCCTGCCTGCGTCTGTACAGCTGCGGGGCCCCCCACCCAGAACCGGTGGGGAATGATTGCGCGGAGCGTAGCCGGGTGAGCGGGCAACAAAACTGCGCTCAGCAGTGTCCCAGTGAACATGACCGAACACAGCCTCATTAGCTGACTCAGCCCAGGGGTGACAAGAGACAAACCGGCAAGAAAAACACCTTCATACTGTGTTCCCAGTGTTCAAACTGGCCTCCGTCGGTCTCGGAATCTGTGCTCGGGTCCGGCTGCTATGTTCACTCACTGAGCTGAGCTGGCATCAGTTCGTACAGAGTCTGCATGACGGGGTGGGGGCGTGACCACATTCAACTGCTGGCTACACACAGATCAATAGACACATCCCTCATTGCTGTGTGTTTTTACAGGAAACACGTAAATAGCAAATAGCAGTCCGCTTTCCGTTTAATGGAATCTTTGTTCTTAAAGTATGTTAATCTCTATGTGCAATCCCCATTTTTTCAAAATGTACCTGCAATCTGATTACGTCTTTATTTTCTGTACTGTAACAGAATACAGTCACTTTATTTTTGTATCCTGATTATGTAACGCCTTACGCGTAATCCGTTACTCCCCAACGCTGACAGCCAAGGGTCACAAGCCGCCCTACTCTGCTTCTGAATGACTAGTAGTCCTTAACTAGGTTCTGCACATGTGCAACTCCCAACAAAGATCAAACAGAAGTAAGTTGCATCACTCCATAGCTAAAACGGAGCGTTCAACACACAGGGTGAAAAGAGGTGCTGCAGCAATGTTTAGTATGATAAAAATATAGTGTTTTTTGAAAATGAAGCAAAAAACCGTTCTGGCACAACCCCTAAATAAGATTTTGAACCTGAAAATGAGCACAATGACCACTTTAAAACATATAGAAAGGCCCTTCGGTAAGACCCTGTAAGCCTGGCTACAGTACTGTAGCCAGGCTTACAGGGTCACAGCTCTATTGAGCCTTGTATGTCTATAGCCCTCAGCAGTAAGAAATTTATGAGATTCTTTAATGATAAAATTCTAATTAGAGGCTAAATTCATCACCTTCTCCTGTCAACTGGTACTGACATATCTTCAAACTCAGAAACCTTAGAGACAACAGTAATACCTGATATTTAGACTGTTTTGCTCTCATCGATCTTCACCAACCGACTTCAATGAATTCTTCATTAACCTGCCTCCCTGTAGACCTCATCCCAACTAGGCTGCTTAAAGAAGTTTTACCCTTAATTAGCACTTCTATACTAGTCACGATCAATCTGTCTTTATAAACAGGCAATGTACCACAGTCCTTTAAAAGTAGCTGTAATTAAACCTCTTCTTCAAAAGCCCACTCTTAGATAAAGATCTATGTCTAAGCTTCCCTTTATCTCTAAGATCTTTGAGAAAGCAGTCACCAACAGTTGTGTGACTTTCTACAAGACAATAGTTTATTTGAGGATTTTCAGTCAGGAGTATATCATTGCACAGAGACCACACTGGTGAATATTACAAATGACTGCATCAGACCAAGGCCTTGTCTCTTTGCCTTGTTAAATCTTAGTGCTGCATTTAACACCATTGACCACCACATACAATTACAGACAATGGAACATTTAATTGGCATTTTCTGCTTGTTTAAGTCCTATTTATCAGATCGATCTTAGTTTGTACATGTTAACAATGAATCCTCAGATGATGATACCCAATTATAGCTATCAATCAAGCCAGATAAAAGAGCTCATAGTACCTAACTACGCTACGAGTGCACTGTCCCAGAATGTATAATTCCCAGAGTGTCCAAAAGTAGAATGGGAACCAGAGCATCTGTGGTTGCAAGCCACCTACTGCCCCCATGCTCCTGCACCAACAACCGCTGCTACAATTTTTATTAGTAGTCCTATTATTATTACTATTTTTGATATTTGTATTACTACAACCATTATTTTATTATTTATCTCTATGTGGAACTAGCATTGTGCTACTGTGTGTTAAAGCTGCAATGATTAATCAAGTAATCGATTAGTTGTCAACTATTAAATTAATCTGCAACTATTTTGATAATCGATTAATCAGTTTGAGTCATTAAACTTCTTAAATGTGAATATTTCCTGGTTTCTTTCCTCTTCTATGACTGTAAACTAATTATCTTTGGTTGTGGACCAAACAAGACATTTGCAGATGCCGTCTTGGGCTTTAGGAAACACAGATAGACATTTTTCACAATTTTTTATAGACCAAACAACTAATTGATAAATTGAGAGAATAATCGACAGATTAATCAACAATGAAAATAGTAATGAGTTGCAGCCCTAATGTGCGTTTACTTTTCTCGTGCTGATGCAGTGTTCAGGGATCCCACTCTCACCTGTTGGGTGGTGTTGCACAATTTGGCACAGCCTGAACTGAGTGTTGGCCTGAGAGGAGACGTGACGTAATTGCAGCCGATCTGATGCCTGTCCTGGAAACAGACACACAGATTTGTTGGCTTGCTGTTCTCATCCATATTGCCCACCAGGTTTCATTGGGAAGAAAAAAATATTGTTGTGGAAAAATATTAACACAAATTCTTAAACTGAGCTCATGATTTCGCAGAAATTGTAAAGCAAGACTTCTGGAATATGTAAATGAATATAATTTTTTGAAAAGAAAGTTTCAAGTAATGTAATACAATATTGTGTTGTCACACCAGGTAAATTACAAGTATTATCTGGTGTCAGAAAATAATCAAAATTCAATATTCAATATTCTGTGCTTAATACACTGAAAACAAGCAAGTTCCTTTTTGATTGCTATGGCTCTTAATGTCTAATTTATGCTCTTGTTCAGATTAGCTGATTCGCTTTGTTTTAAGAGGACAGGTTACAGTATTTTATTCTTCTTACACTGATAATAATCTGTGCTTTCATTCTGTGGATACAAATAACAAGCTACATCTCCAGAACACTTTCTCATCTTAACCTAGGGCTGGACAATATAACAATAATTATTGCAATATAATTTTTTTCAATAACAATATAACAAATGTTCAGTAAATATTCAATAAATGTGTGACTTTATTCACTTGAATTATACACAAATTAGGACTTTTTTTATTATTAAGATGTTTATTTTGTGGGGGAGAAGGGACCCCACAAAATACTTAATTTGACTCGTGCATATTTGTTGACAAAGATTTTATCATAATGATGTTCTAACTCTGTGAAGTGATCCACTGTTTAGCATCTAGTGTTGACCATAATTTAGAGTTTAAACCACAATTAACAATCAGGTTTTTCCAAGTTCCACTCAGGAGCAAAAATCAGCCTTTAAACTGTGGTTAGCCATTAAGAAATAACGATTTGATGCTTATCGTGATAATTGTCGATATCGAAAGTATTGGCCATATCGTCCAGCCCTACCTTCACCCTTTATATCCTGAAGGTCAGAGGTCAAATCAGAAGTTCGATGGTTTCCATTAACGCAACTTTAAAAGCTCCTCCATATATTTTTCACCTTACATTTTATTAATCTCTGCTCATGGATTGCCAATCTGACCATGCAATCCCTTTGCACAGATTTCCCCGTGTGTTACTGTGTGACCCCCCGGTGGGCTCTGTTGAATAAAACAGAATAGAAATGTTTCATTTATAACAATGTGTTTTACCATTTCAGTGCTGCCATCTGGACATTGAGTCTCATATAGGTAACTGCAGTGAACACATGGACCCTGAAAACATACAAACACACAGGAAAAAAAAAATTATTTTAGCATTTTCTGTTAGCATCATTGCTAGCTTTAAGCTTCTATTGGCCTGTTTGTTCTCTCTGTGAAGAGATTACCTATTATAAGTCTGCTGACATGTATTTAAATCCACACTACCCATCCCCATCCACACTAATCCGTTTTGAAACAAATATGATATCCGTCCACACCAGCGTTTTCGTTGCATATCAGAGTTGATCTCTGTCTATAACAAAACGACTGAAAACGCGATACATCTAGTGGCCGCTCACGTACACTGGGCATGCGCGTGCTGGCTCTTCTGTAGTTAGCTGAAGATCTGGAGAAAGAATAAAGTAATGCAGACAAAGAACCGCAGCAGATATTTTTTTGCATGCATCAATAACGAGCTGGGACTGTTACTGAACGTAACATGGAAGTTTAAATCGGCTGAGGCGGCGGAAACCTGACTGGGAGTCGTTGCAAAGTAAATGGCGACATGCACAGTAGCTACAAGTGTAGGCTATAGCCTAAGTGTTATTTGCCGGGTACAAAATATTTTAATAAAAATACTAAATCAAAAACTCGGTCAGTAGCACTGTGTTCTGCTTTGCATGACTTATAAGATCCAATCAGAGAGCCAAACGCGAGCGTCATCATTTCTAAAGTCCTCGGCCGTCTTCGCTAAAACGCTCTCCGAAGTTTCAAATCAAAAAAAGGGGGTCGACAGCGTTTTCAAACTTCTCTGTTTTATATTAATAGAAACAAATACATTTTTTTAATTATTTTGGGCATTTACTGCCTTTATAGGAGAAATGACAGGAAACAGAGAGAGAGAGAGAGAGAGAGAGAGAATGGTACCCAATTTGACTTGAACCAGAGATGTTGTGTTTCGTTTTAATAAACTGAGATGTCATTTGGTTTAATCATCCCTTTGTGTAAAATATGTCAAATAGTTACTGTTGGACTCTGTGTGTGCTGCTGTTCTGTCCTGTTTGTTTGTTCAGGGGTTTGATTTGATTCTCTGCCTCCCTCTGCTCACCATGGTGATCTTGCTCTCGATGATGTCGCAGCGGTGAGGCAGGATGGGAAGGATGGAGGGTGGGAACAGAATCCTGTCAATCATATGGATGATCCCATTGGAGGCAACAATGTTGGTGCTCACCAGACGGACGCCCTTCTCACCTAATAGGATCTCACCCTGGAGAGGAAGGAAGGGGGCACCTGGTGTTAATGGAAAACTGCTAATGTTTGCTGTAAATTAGTCAGGAAACAAGTCAAATTATTACACTTACATCGTCAGACACAGTGATGGTGATGATCTGATTGGCCATTGTCTGAATCTGAGGGAGAGTAGCTAAGTCGTCGACTGTCAGCTAGAAATAGAAAAAATTATCATAAAGTAAAACTTTAGGTTTTTTTTGTTGTTGACAGATTTAGCTTTCCCCCATGCCTTACCAGCAGTGGAGCTAAAAACATAAGTAAGCCTTGAGGGTAGCAGTAAGGGAAAGTTATGGTGTCATTAAATATAAAGGGTTCATCCTCTGGAGGCTGAATGTGTGTAGAGGTGACCTGTTAAATTACAGGTGCTGGTCTTTAATTAGAATATCATCAAAAAGTTGATTTATTTCAGTAATTCCATTCAAAAAGTGAAACTTGGATATTATATTCATTCATTACACACAGACTGATATATTTCAAATGTTTATTTGATTTAATTGTGATGATTAAAACTGAAAATCCCAAATTCAGTATAAGACCAATACAAAAAAAGGATTTTCAGAAATGTTGGCCAACTGAAAAGTATGAACATGAAAAGTATGAGCATGTCCAGCACTCAGTACTTAGTTGGGGCTCCTTTTGCCTAAATTACTGCAGCAATGCGGCGTGGAATGGAGTCAATCAGTCTGTGGCACTGCTCAGGTGTTATGAGAGCCCAGGTTGCTCTGATAGTGGCCTTCAGCTCTTCTGCATTGTTGGGTCTGGCGTATCGCATCTTCCTCTTCACAATAGCCCATAGATTTTCTATAGGGTTAAGGTCAGGCCAATTAAGAACAGGGATACCATGGTCCTTAAACCAGGTACTGGTAGCTTTGGCACTGTGTGCAGGTGCCAAGTCCTGTTGGAAAATGAAATCTGCATCTCCATAAAGTTGGTCAGCAGCTGGAAGCATGAAGTGCTCTAAAACTTCCTGGTAGACGGCTGCGTTGACCTTGGACCTCAGAAAACACAGTGGACCAACACCAGCAGATGACATGGCACCCCAAACCATCACTGACTGTGGAAACTTTACACTGGACTTCAAGCAACGTGGATTCTGTGCCTGTCCTCTCTTCCTCCAGACTCTGGGACCTTGATTTCCAAAGGAAATACAAAATTTACTTTCATCAGAGAACATAACTTTGGACCACTCAGCAGCAGTCCAGTCCTTTTTGTCTTTAGCCTGGGCGAGACACTTCTGACGCTGTGTCATGTTCAAGAGTGGCGTGACACAAGGAATGCAACAGCTGAAACCCATTTCTTGCATACGTCTGTGCGTGGTGATTCTTGAAGCACTGACTCCAGCTGCAGTCCACTCTTTGTGAATCTCCCCCACATTTTTGAATGGGTTTTGTTTCACAATCCTCTCCAGGGTGTGGCTATCCCTATTGCTTGTACACTTTTTTCTACCACATCTTTTCCTTTCCTTCGCCTCTCTATTAATGTGCTTGGACACAGAGCTCTGTGAACAGCCAGCCTCTTTAGCAATGACCTTTTGTGTCTTGCCCTCCCAGTGCACGGTGTCAATGGTCGTCTTTTGGACAGCTGTCAAGTCAGCAGTCTTCCCCATGATTGTGTAGCCTACAGAACTAGACTGAGAGACCATTTCAAGGCCTTTGCAGGTGTTTTGAGTTAATTAGCTGATTAGAGTGTGGCACCAGGTGTCTTCAATATTGAACCTTTTCACAATATTCTAATTTTCTGAGATACTGATTTTGGGTTTTTCATTAGTTGTCAGTTATAATCATCAAAATTAAAAGGAATGAACACTTGAAATATATCAGTCTGTGTGGAATGAATGTACACATTATATAGGTTTCACTTTTTGAATGGAATTACTGAAATAAATCATAATTATATGACCAGCACCTGTACAACATATTTTGCTGATGACCAAAGTGTTGGACAGAGAGGCATTTCTTTTTCCCCTTCTTTACCAGCAGGGCAAAAAAAAGACAAAAGAAAAGAAAGAAGCATGAAGGACGGACTGATGGAAGGGGGTGGGGTGGGTGTGTCTTACCACAGCCTGGGAGAAAACATGGTGTCTGAGAAGTTCCTGAAGTTTATGTTTGGCCTTGAAAAAGAACAATATGATTAAAAAAATACTGATAATCTTCACATAGTGTAATTATAGGGAATAAAAGGCATAATAATTGGTAGCTGGGGTGGTTGTTTGCATTATGTTAGCCTTTTAAAAAATGTATTGAGCCATTTTCTAATATTTACATCTTCAATAGGTACCAATTGTTTTGAGGCTGGGAGCCACAGACAGTCATGAAGTCAGGGTATTGAGATTCAGACTGACACAACTGTAGGTTTTCGTCTTTTTATGGGATTTGGTTGATAATAATACAAAAAATAATATGTCAGCAGACTTATCCTTAAAAGTTACTTGTATGTTATCTGCACTAACCACAAATACACTAAATAAATGAAAACTTAAACCACCTACGTCGTTCAGCATGTACAAGATGCTGCCGTCTCTGGCTTGGTCCACAGCCTCATTGGTGGGGATGAACACAGTCAGGGGTCCTGGGCCCCGCAGGGGAGGGGGCGACCCGCAGTTCTACAAACACACACAAACGCATCACATCTGATTGGAGCAGAGGATTTAGCATTGATTCCCATGTGGAACTGGTTCCAACTTGTCTGCTACGGCTGTCAATCTTCCATTCTCACACAGTATAAAGGGTACAATGTAGATTTAATCGTCATATTTCAGAATGTTCAGGGTGTATGCGTGTATGTAAAGTATATAGCCTTTGTATATAACTGTATATATTATTTTCTTATATTTATTTTATATGTTACCATACAGTGCCTTGCGAAAGTATTTGGCCCCCTTGAACTTTGACCTTTTGCCACATTGCAGGCTTCAAACATAAAGATATAAAACTGTAATTTTTTGTGAAGAACCAACAACAAGTGGGACACAATCATGAAGTGGAACGAAATTTACTGGATATTTCAAACTTTTTTAACAAATAAAAAACTGAAAAATTTGGTGTGCAAAATTATTCAGCCCCCTTAAGTTAATACTTTGTAGCGCCACCTTTTGCTGCGATTACAGCTGTAAGTCGCTTGGGGTACGTCTCTATGGATTTTGCACATCGAGAGACTGAAACTTTTGCCCATTCCTCCTTGCAAAACAGCTCAAGCTCAGTGAGGTTGGATGGAGAGCGTTTGAGAACAGCAGTTTTCAGTTCTTTCCACAGATTCTCGATTGGATTCAGGTCTGGACTTTGACTTGGCCATTCTAACACCTGGATATGTTTATTTGTGAACCATTCCAGTGTAGATTTTGCTTTATGTTTTGGATCATTGTCTTGTTGGAAGACAAATCTCCGTCCCAGTCTCAGGTCTTTTGCAGACTCCATCAGGTTTTCTTCCAGAATGGTCCTGTATTTGGTTCCATCCATCTTCCCATCAATTTTAACCATCTTCCCTGTCCCTGCTGAAGAAAAGCAGGCCCAAACCATGATGCTGCCACCACCATGTTTGACAGTGGGGATGGTGTGTTCAGGGTGATGAGCTGTGTTGCCTTTACGCCAAACATAACGTTTTGCATTGTTGCCAAAAAGTTTGATTTTGGTTTCATCTGACCAGAGAACCTTCTTCCACATGTTTGGTGTGTCTCCCAGGTGGCTTGTGGCAAAATTTAAACGAGACTTTTTATGGATATCTTTAAGAAATGGCTTTCTTCTTGCCACTCTTCCATTAAGGCCAGATTTGTGCATTATACAACTGATTGTTGTCCTATGGGCAGAGTCTCCCACCTCAGCTGTAGATCTCTGCAGTTCATCCAGAGTGATCATGGGCCTCTTGGCTGCATCTCTGATCAGTCTTCTCCTTGTAAGAGCTGAAAGTTTAGAGGGACGGCCGGGTTTTCGTAGATTTGCAGTGGTCTGATACTCCTTCCATTTCAATATTATCGCTTGCACAGTGCTCCTTGGGATGTTTAAAGCTTGGGAAATCTTTTTGTATCCAAATCCGGCTTTAAACTTCTCCACAACAGTATCTCGGACCTGCCTGGTGTGTTCCTTGTTCTTCATGATGCTCTCTGCGCTTTAAACAGACCTCTGAGACTATCACAGAGCAGGTGCATTTATACGGAGACTTGATTTCACACAGGTGGATTCTATTTATCATCATTAGTCATTTAGGTCAACATTGGATCATTCAGAGATCCTCACTGAACTTCTGGAGAGAGTTTGCTGCACTGAAAGTAAAGGGGCTGAATAATTTTGCACGCCCAATTTTTCAGTTTTTTATTTGTTAAATAGGTTTGAAATATCCAGTAAATTTCGTTCCACTTCATAATTGTGTCCCACTTGTTGTTGATTCTTCACAAAAAATTACAGTTTTATATCTTTATGTTTGAAGCCTGAAATGTGGCAAAAGGTCGAAAAGTTCAAGGGGGCCGAATACTTTCGCAAGGCACTGTATTTTAATACACATTTAATTTTCATTAAGTTCTGTGTGTAGCATGTAAGGACTACAAATTTTCTTTTCGTTAAACAACCTTGGTTGTATAATGATAAATAAACAACCTTGTACCACAGGGTTGAAAAAATTATGTGCTGTTTTGTAGTTCCCTTCTGCTACAATTCAGACAATATATACAATGTCTATACAGTCTGGTGATGCGATAGTAGTGGGTACTGTCCTGTTACATGCAGTTTACAATGGTGGCAGATTTACCCTTAAAAATGTATATTCGTTTTTGAAACAAGTCATTAAATTTCACATAGGAGTAAACAAAAGCAGCTTATTTCTGACCAGCAACTGTGGATTTTGCTGAATTTAAAACTGTTGCTTGCAGAAGCAATCAGTTTGTGTACTGAGGCTTAAGCTAAGAGACAACTTTATGTATGATAATGAGTACGGCTGGGGTTGCTTTAGTGTGAAAAATAATGTAATGTATAAAATAATGTAGTATTGACCTTAGAAAACATCTAACCACCAAACACCTGTGTGATGTTATTGACTAAGAATATACTCACATCAACCAGAGATAGGAAGCGGTTGAATTTTTCATCCTTAGTCAGAATCTCACCTATCGTCTTATCAGCAAACTGGACACAAAAAGAAGATCAAATGACTGACATTCACATTCATACTGCACAATGCTGTAAAATCAGTTAAGAATATAAAGTCAGACTGCACTGTTTTAATGTAGGTAACACTCCAGTTAGCAAAAAATTGTGTCATTTAAATTTAACTGGAAATAAAAAAAATTTTGAGAGACACATTTTGTTTGATTCAGGGTTCTTCCTGCATACAGAAATTTTGGCGCCCCCCAAAGAGGTTTTAGTGAGCACCAAAGGAAAATCACCAGCACCAAAATGATCTGAATTGAAAAAATGTATCTCAAATCTCCTACTAATGTGTATTACTAGCCATTATCAATCAACTGTTGAGCAAGCAGAACATAAACTTAAGCCGTTTGTGCTTGAAGTGTACCGGCATTCACCAGTAGGGTCACTTTTACATTTTACTCTTTGGCGTAACGGTTCCGGTCCTCTTCTCTGCCCTCTCCAGATCAGGTTTTCTGGGCACTACGTGACGCTCACCTGTTCCTGTTCTCTCCTGCCTGCTAATCTCCGTAGGGAGATCGGGAGCCTTTCGCGCAGCTGTGTGCACAGCTGCTTGTCAGTCACTTTTCGTGAACCGACCAATCACAGCATGGAGGAGGAGGGACATTAAAAAAAGGTTGAGGCGCTACAGCAAACTTTAGAAATGTTTAACTCGTTGTTCTGTATGCACAGTTTTTATTACTGACAAGTTAATTTGCATAAACAAACGAGAGACTAACCATCATGTAGAGCATTTGTCTTGCACAATAATTTAATGACTGAAAACAACCCACAGAAATTACACTGCTGTTTTGGCCAACTGGAATTAATATACATTACTAATGGTAAGCTATAGTAGCCTATATTATTATCTGAAATTATAATGAATACACTAAAATTAGCACTAAGCAAACCTTAACCACAGTGGTTTAGGCTAATATCAGAAAATGTTTTTATTAGTGAAACAGCTGAATCTCAACTAATAAACTATCTGTAGGCAAATTATACATATAATATATACCTTTACTCCTCCAGGTTGTGTATATATTTTTATCCAATGGTCAGAAATAACAAGAAAATACATAGATTTCAGTCATAAGATAACTCATTGCCTTTAATGTACACGTATCGGCCATGGTTACTGTTGGAAAAACCCTCTTGATTCCCATTTTTTAGTTAAGGTAAGTGTTGATGTTGTTGTTGTTTTTTTGGAGTTTTCCATATTTGGTAACCTTTTAACTCACCTGTTCGTCACGAGGAGGCCTTCCAGAAAGTGTGATTGGCCGGTCGATGATGTGGATGATCCCATTGGCTGCTGGCAGGTCTTCCTGGATGACAGTGTAAAGTCTACTGGGATCGTCCATCAGGATGAACCTCTACATCAACCAGACAGAGATAATCAGCGTGTATCTGTACACTTAAGTAAACTTGCCATTGAGACTTTCTACAAATATCTGATTTCTTTCTAACATTTTTGGAAACAAGAATCCGGGTTTAGACTGATTTTTAGAACGTGTGACATGATGTGCATGACAAAAACTTCAGACAAAAAAAATATCACTTTCGTAGCGGTATGGCATTATGAAAGGAAACATCATTACTGTATAGTAATGTACTGTATATGTATTTTGTATTAATTCCAACATTTGACTTGACTTTAGATTTGTAAAATTCAGACGCATTTACACAGTCAGAAGCTACTGTCTTAGTATGAGCCCGTCCTCTTATTGCACCGTTGATCCAAATGACAAAGACAGAAAATAGTCCAGGCTAAAGTGTCATACAGTGAGGAAAATAAGTATTTGAACACCCTGCTATTTTGCAAGTTCTTCCACTTAGAAATCATGGAGGGGTCTGAAATTGTCATCGTAGGTGCATGTCCACTGTGAGAGACATAATCTAAAAAAAAATAATCCAGAAATCACAATGTATGATTTTTTAACTATTTATTTGTATGATACAGCTGCAAATAAGTATTTGAACACCTGTCTATCAGCTCGAATTCTGACTCTCAAAGACCTGTTAATCTGCCTTCAAAATGTCCACCTCCACTCCATTTATTATCCTAAATTAGATGCACCTGTTTGAGGTCGTTAGCTGCATAAAGACACCTGTCCACCCCATACAATCAGTAAGAATCCAACTACTAACATGGCCAAGACCAAAGAGCTGTCCAAAGACACTAGAGACAAAATTGTACACCTCCACAAGGCTGGAAAGGGCTACGGGGAAATTGCCAAGCAGCTTGGTGAAAAAAGGTCCACTGTTGGAGCAATTATTAGAAAATGGAAGAAGCTAAACATGACTGTCAGTCTCCCTCGGACTGGGGCTCCATGCAAGATCTCACCTCGTGGGGTCTCAATGATCCTAAGAAAGGTGAGAAATCAGCCCAGAACTACACGGGAGGAGCTGGTCAATGACCTGAAAAGAGCTGGGACCACCGTTTCCAAGGTTACTGTTGGTAATACACTAAGACGTCATGGTTTAAAATCACGCATGGCACGGAAGGTTCCCCTGCTTAAACCAGCACATGTCAAGGCCCGTCTTCAGTTTGCCAATGACCATTTGGATGATCCAGAGGAGACATGGGAGAAAGTCATGTGGTCAGATGAGACCAAAATAGAACTTTTTGGTCATAATTCCACTAACCGTGTTTGGAGGAAGAAGAATGACGAGTACCATCCCAAGAACACCATCCCTACTGTGAAGCATGGGGGTGGTAGCATCATGCTTTGGGGGTGTTTTTCTGCACGTGGGACAGGGCGACTGCACTGTATTAAGGAGAGGATGACCGGGGCCATGTATTGTGAGATTTTGGGGAACAACCTCCTTCCCTCAGTTAGAGCATTGAAGATGGGTCGAGGCCGGGTCTTCCAACATGACAATGACCCGAAGCACACAGCCAGGATAACCAAGGAGTGGCTCTGTAAGAAGCATATCAAGGTTCTGGCGTGGCCTAGCCAGTCTCCAGACCTAAACCCAATAGAGAATCTTTGGAGGGAGCTCAAACTCCGTGTTTCTCAGCGACAGCCCAGAAACATGACTGATCTGGAGAAGATCTGTGTGGAGGAGTGGGCCAAAATCCCTCCTGCAGTGTGTGCAAACCTGGTGGAAAACTACAGGAAACGTTTGACCTCTGTAATTGCAAACAAAGGCTACTGTACCAAATATTAACATTGATTTTCTCAGGTGTTCAAATACTTATTTGCAGCTGTATCATACAAATAAATAGTTAAAAAATCAGACATTGTGATTTCTGGATTTTGTTTTTTTTAGATTATGTCTCTCACAGTGGACATGCACCTACGATGACAATTTCAGACCCCTCCATGATTTCTAAGTGGGAGAACTTGCAAAATAGCAGGGTGTTCAAATACTTATTTTCCTCACTGTATATCAGTTTTTACGGGAGAAATCTGATTAGTGACCAGCTGCATCACTGTGCTCCTATGAAGACTGCCCAGTGGAAAGGATGGAAACATTATTCATCATTGTTCTAATTTATCTAATCTTCACAGTTTGTCAGAAGAGGTGGAACAGAAAGGGAGCTTCAAGGTTAAAAAAAATTATTTCTTGTTTTGAAACAACAAAACAGAACGTGTCAGGAGGGCAATGTAAATCAACTTTATTGGTCACATACAGCTTTAAACAATACAACGCATGTGAAATTTGTTCTCATCCTAATTAGGAGCAGTGGGCAGCCACTCTACAGCGCCCAGGAAGCAGTTTGGGGTTCGGGGTCCTGCTCAAGGACACCTTTGGCAATGCCCAGGAAGTGAACTAGCACTTCTCCAGCTACCAGTCAACACTCTATGACTGGTCTGTGCCAGACAAGTCCACAGGTGCACTGTATATACACATATACACAACAAACAAACAAAAAAGCCTTACTCCATTCCATCCTGGGGCTACAGGGTTTCACTCAGTGACACTCTTGAAAGTGACGGCTTTTAAATCAGTCACTCTCCCCTCACTACCCACTCACTGCACTTAAACACATCATCCATCCGTCTTCTTTTCACTGCAACTCTGCATCGTGATGTAACGTTATATATTTATTACTTTAAAAAGTAACAGTGGCAGTAAAACTTTTTCCCAGACTGTGATGGTTAAACTTTGTAATCAATCCACATTTCATCTGCGTGCCGAACCATGCAGAGGGAGGTGGGGGGGTATTTTCATTAAAAAAACATGTTTCAAAACATCCCTCAGCTGTTTTCTCACAAATTGCACGCTGTGTTGAGCCTTATAAACAGATGACATGGACTAAAAGAGGATCCATGTGAGGATTTGTTAGAACAGTGCTTGTGGCTCAGCCTGAGAGGGAGAGGGGAGAGAGAGAGGCAAAGAGGTGTGTGAGTAGCCTTTTTCTGTGAGCTAACTATTAATAATGTTTTTAGTTTTACATTTAATTTACAAAGGAAAGTTTTTATTTCATGAAAAATTCCACCAAAAAAATAACTGCTGTAGTTATTACACTACTACACTACCATTACATTTTTCCTGTCGCGCACCCCCCTAGAGGCAACTCACATTGTGCTCAAGATCCTTGTGACACACAAACCTGGTATGATAAATATGAGAAGTCAGGGGAAATGTCTTGACAAAGCACCGCCTCCTCTCTGACTCAACACTGAAAAACAGGAAGCACTGCTAATCATTTTTGTGTGTGTCTTATCGTAGAGAAGACACAGACGGTACATTCCCACCAAAACTAAAACATCCACTGAGAAAGGACAGTTGCAGGAGGAAACTCTGGATATACTGGAATACTGATTTCCTGCACTTTAACCTGCTGTTTCCACATAACGAACTGGAAGAGCTACGACTCAAAGTGAAAGTAACTTTCAAGAACGTTCTTCAGTGACTGACTTCCTGTGTTTTCAGCTTTACTCAAAGACAAAATGTCATCTAGATCAGAGGAGGATCTCTGCTGTCCGGTCTGCCAAGACATCTTTAAAGATCCTGTTGTCCTATCATGTAGCCACAGCTTCTGTAAAGCCTGTTTACAGAGATGGTGGCGAGGGAAACAAACACGTGAGTGTCCGTGCTGTAAGAGAAGATCCTCCAAGACTGATCCACCTCGTAACCTGGCTTTAAAGAACCTGTGTGAGGCTTTTTTAAAGGAGAGAGATCAGAGAGGTGCAGCTGAGTCTGAGATTCTCTGCAGTCTGCACTCTGAGAAACTCAAACTCTTCTGTCTAGAACATCAGCAGCCAGTGTGTGTCATCTGTAGAGATTCAAAAACACACAACAACCACAGATTCAGACCCATCGATGAAGCTGCACAGGATCACAGAGAGGAGCTCCAGAAATCCCTGAAACCCTTACAGGAGAAACTGAAGCTCTTTGAAGAAGTTAGAGGAAACTGTGACCAAACAGCAGAACACATTAAGGTCCAGGCCCGAAACACAGAGAAGCAGATTAAGGAGCAGTTTAAGAAGCTTCACCAGTTTCTACAAGAGGAAGAGGAGGCCAGGATCGCTGCTGTGAGGGAGGAAGAGGAGCAGAAGAGTCAGATGATAAAGGAGCACATTGAGGCTCGGAGCAGAGAGATAGCAGCTCTTTCAGACACAATCAGAGCCACAGAGGAGGAGCTGAGAGCTGAAGACGTGTCATTCCTGCAGAACTACAAGGCTGCAGTGGAAAGAGTCCAGAAGCGCCCCCTGCTGGAGGATCCAGAGCTGATCTCAGGAGCTCTGATAGACGAGGCCAAACACCTGGGCAACCTGACCTTCAACATCTGGAACAAGATGAAGGAGATGGTCTCCTACACTCCTGTGATTCTGGATCCAAACACAGCAGACCCAGAACTTGTTGTGTCTGAAGATCTGACCAGCGTGAAATGTGGAGAGAAACGGCAACTTCCAAAAAACCCGAAGCGGACCAAATTCCCCTGCTCCATCCTCAGCTCTGAAGGCTTTGACTCAGGGACTCACAGTTGGGCCGTTGAGGTTGGAGAAAACAAGGACTGGGAACTGGGCATATTGGGAGAGTATATCAGGATAAACGAGCGCCTACAGACTGGACTGTGGAGAATTTTGTTCTCTAACGGTAAATTCACAGCATTCTCCACGTCAGATCAAGAGAAAGCTCTGCCAGTGAAAAAGAAGCTCAGGAGGATCAAAGTTCATCTGGACTTTGATGGAGGAAAGTTGTCATTCTCAGATCTTGATACTAACACACACATACACACCTTCACACACACTTTCACTGACACTCTGTTTCCCTACATTTACACCGAGAATCACGTCCCACTGAAGATTTTACCTGTGAAGGTCTCTGTGACGGTGAAAAAGCACAATAAGGAATTATAATAATAATGTGGGCAACTGTGCAAATCAATGAGCATGGCTGTGTTAAAGCAAAGGTGTTGTTTTATTTGGTTATTATGTATGCTTGTTACTGAAGGTGCAGATTATTAAGCTCATAAAATGTCTAGGATGGAAAGATTTTTAGGAATAGTGTGCTATGACTTTTGGTAGCGATGCTGCAAATCGTTTATGCAAAATTACAGAACAGATTTTTTATAGCAAACAATGGGAAATGCAAGGTATGATCGAGCCAACTACTAAGATTCATCGTAGTGTACATGATAAGGTTTTATTATGCATTTATAGTTTTGCTCTGTGCTCTGTTACTTTGCTTTGTGGTATAGAGTGACTGCAGAATATTTGCTTTGGAGATGTCTATGTTAGATGTGAGTTACTAAAAAGGAGTCTTTCAGTACTTAATTTGCCTTGTGTTCACTTGCAACAATCTCCACCAGCATCAGAAACTTGTAGGAGAAATACAAGCAGGCCGAGCTGATCGAAATCAGTTCTTGTTGCCTCCACAACATCTACAGTGCTAACACATCTAACACATTACATACAAAATTACAAACATATATTTATTAATTTCCCGAAATGAAATACTGTATACTGTGATGAAGGATTTTACCCCACCACCAGGTTATGATGATTACATATGATTAGGGGGCGACTGAAATGGGTTTTTCAATGGCCAATGCCGATGTTTGGAGGACAGGTTAACCGATGGCCGTCATATAATGCCAAACCAAAGAAAAGTCTTGTATAATTCCAATATTCCATGCAGAGTACAACCTAATATTCATGTTACCTTAACCAGTAACATGTTGTTTTAGATGGAATTTGTATTAATTAATACAACAGAAAAATACATTGGGTTTAAGGGAGAGTGGGGTACATTTGTCAGAAGTGACATCATTTAACTGCATATTCTCTACAGTATAACAATATATATTCAATGCTAGCCAGTAGCAAGTAATAGTTTTATGATTGGTATTTTGTCTTAACACAAAACAGCTGACTTAAAATGAAATATACTGTCCAAAACTTGCAAAATGATGGGGTTAGTAGGGTTTTAGATTTTGGGCTATACAAATAAAATTTGATTAAAACTTTTTATGAATCTGACCAGACAAAAGTTCATACTAAAGACACATTTCAGTGGGTACTTTTTTATTGATATTCAATACCCAGGGTCTACTCAAAAGCAAGTGATGCTCCTGGGACTCCACAGGGCTGATCGTGACGATGCTGATTAACATTATGGTATGATGACGAAGCGGTAAGAGGTGTAAGTAAGTTTAAGGTGGTGGTGGTGAGGATCACATTGTTAACACTGAATTCTGAACAGTATGTAAAGTAGTGATTATGGTGATAAAGCTGTGACGATGTTTTTACAGATATCTTTACTTTCTGTGTTGTATTTCCTTTTAAAAAGGTCCAGTGTGTAATATTCAGGAGGATCTATTGACAGAAATGCAATATAATATACATAACTATGTTTTCAGTGGTGTAGAAAGACCTTACGTAATGAACCGTTGTGTTTTCATTACCTTAGAATGAGCCATTTCTGTCTACATACACCGCAGAGAAGGAAGAAGTAATAGTAGTATTAGTAATAATTACTGACAAAAATGAATGCAATGATTTATATCGATTATTCTGAACGTTTGCGCCCCAAACATTCGTGTCCTTTTATTCACTCTGCATGTCACAATGTTTGCGGGTGCGGGCGGGAGTGGATACAAAATCAGCGGGAGCAAGAAAACAGTCCCGCGCAGGGCTCCAGACCACACGTTTTATTTAGCACAAGAGCCGCCAGAGTGTGTCGGCAACCGTAGCGTCTCCTACATGCTTGGAACGGGAGGGGTGAACAGTGAGTGAGCCATTGGTTGCGATTCGCAACCCTCACCACTAAAGCCACTAAATTGGACAGAACAGGCAGAATAGTGGTATTACAATGTAACAGTGTGAATTTCAACAAAACTAACAAAATGCTAGTTATAAATGAATTTCTGTCATAGACACCAAGTCCATATCTTGTTGCAGTTTCTTTGTATTATTCTTATTGTGGGACCAATAAAAATTATGAAACAGTTTACACTGACTTTACTTTGTGATCATCTTTCCAACTTCAAATGTTTACAGCATTTGCAGCTTTGTTTTATGTAATTAACATCTAGTTTCAAATAGTTGTTAAAGCTGAGGATGGCAACGTTGGAGAAACTAGCAAGAGATTTTGAAAGTATCCAACTGAAAAAATTTCACACCTCTCCCTTCAGGCATCCCTCCAAAGCCATTTCCCCAAAACACGTTTTCTTGTGCAGTGAGTGCATGTGCAGATGCAGGTAGGCAGATAGACATGTAGACAAGACAGGTAGGACAGCCAATAATTTTATTTGGACTGAATGAAACCAGAATTTCAACAAATACGAAATAAATTGCCTACCTCTCTGTAACATAGTTGTGGAGTTTGGAGAAGAAGTATTACCTTGTTGTCTTTGTTTCTCAACTTGGCTCCGCCGTACAGGCTGAAGTCTCGACTCTCCAGATCTTTGTAGAGGTGCTGACCCAGGATCAGGTGGTTCTTACACACCACCTCCTCATTAACACCCTGTAGAGACAGTGTAGGTGAGTGGGGTCAATATCAACTAATTTATTAATCATTTTGTTCCTACTAGTTGTTGAAAACAGACGTGTGTCATATGTTAAAGATGTTTACCAAACAGGCATTTAAAGATAAAATAAAACAAGGCTGCGAAAAACTATAAATAAATGGCCTCCAACACAAGTCCAACTGAGCAACAAGAAATTCTACTCACACATTGAAAATTACAGAAGGCCCAAATGATTCTGAGATATACCGTGGGGTGCACTAAGACACATATGAACATAATATGGGGTCATAGGGTGTTTTTGGGTCTTTTACTCTCGAGATTACTGCTGCTGATCCAGACGGATCCAGAGCCATTAGGAGGCAGCTTCTGTTGTGGACCTGATGTGGTCATTAGCACTGCCTAGTTTTTGGTAATTGGTCTGTTGAAAGGAACATTTTCTGTTTTTGTTGTTTTCACTGAATGCCTGTTTTTTGCATCAGTTGGATTCATCTTTGATTTGCTTTTTTTCCATTTTCTATAGCAGAGGTCTGACCAAATGCCATCAAAGTACAACCAGTCATTCAAAGCAATGTCTGCTCTGTCTCTAAGCAGCAGAAAGTCTTTGAGCTCGGAGTGTTTTTCACGTCATGAGGCTGTCGAAACTGATTAATGTAGTTATGTCTGTAAACCACACAGAGTTGTACACAAAGTAAATAAAAAAGCCAGATTTTCAGGATTTGATGCTGGAAAAAAAGAGCACCTCACAATCATCAGTTTAAATTGAAGTTTCAGAAGGAGACAAAGTTTTTATGTAGAAGCTTTAACAAACTTGACAGCATAATTCACAGACATTTTGTTTAATTTTGTTCTATAAAAGTACATTTCTCTTGCATCTCTGCGTTTTTAAGGATGTCAGACATGCTCACATTAAACCTGCTGCACAGCAAGGCTTCAGATGTGCGAAGTATTTGATGCCTGTAGCGAGGGGGAGCAACACCTGCAGTTTGGTTCATTTTCTAATGGAAGGTGAATGTAAGGTGACTGACAACTGTGTTTGAAAATATCTGGTCCATTTATAAAAAAGTTACAGGTACAATAAGGCCACTTCCACTCAACCGTTTTAAAACGAGAACAATTTACATCCACACCAGCATTTTAATTGTGTTTCAAAAGTGATCATCTATATTAAAATGACTTAAAACGCACATGTAGTGGCCATTTACATACACTGGGCATGCGCGTGCAGGTGTAAACAGGAAACAAATTGTCTACTCCACAGTTGCAGAAGATTTAGCGAAAGAAGAAATTACTACTACACACAAAGAACCACCCCAGAGTGGGGTTTTTTTTGCATAAACCGACAACAAGGTGGAACTGTTACTGAAAGTAACACGGGAGTACAAAGCCACTGTGGCGGCGGAAAACAGACAGGAAGTCGTCACAAAGCAAATACAACAAAATGCACAATACAAGTGTGCAAGTGGTATTTGCACAGTAAAAAATATTTTAATACAAACATTAGGGCTGGACACGTTAACGCATTATTATTGCATTAATTAACGCTGACATTTATTTTATTGCACGTTAATGCAGTGTTTATTATTATTATTTTGAAAGTCCGTTGCTCACTGGCTCTGAATTTGTTTAAAGTGTTTGCGAGCCACGTTATTGCACTTTTGTGTACATAGCAGTACATTTAAATTAAAAGTGCGCAATACACTACTTTAGAATTCCTTATTCAATTTTGCAAGATTAATCGCGAATAATCGCAAGATCGCAATTAAATATTTTAATCATTGCCCAGCACTAAAAAAATACCAAAACATAAATGCTTTCAGTAGCATTGCGTTTTTGCTTTACATGACCCGTAAGACCCAATCAGGAAGCCAAATGTGAGTGTCTGCATCATCGTTTTTAAACTCCTCCGTTTTCGTCTGTCCATACCCGAGTTTTAATGAAAACGTGATCGGCAGGGTTTTCAAACTTCTCTGTTTTAAGTGTTCGAATTCATTTAGTCTAGACAGGACGTGCAAACGTAGCAAAAGGTCTTTTAAAACGAAAACCTTGTAGTGTGGATGTAACCTAAGTAACAGCCAATCACAGTGCTTCACAGAGATCTTTAGTACTCCATTTACTGTATGCGGAGGCTCAAGTTTACACTGTAGAATCCATCGAAGGGTTAGCAGTTGTTTACTTTTGTTTAATGTGTTTACTTTCACATTCTTGATCAGTTTGGGATAAATCTGCCAACTATGGTGATGGGTTTTGTTCCCAACTGTTCTAAATTTGAAACAGCTTTGATTCACATATCTTTAGAGTAGGGCTGTCACGGAATTAATTTCCACCGCGGCAATATATTGGGGCTCAATATGCAGTATTATCGCATTTTTCATCAATGAAGTATTTTGGTACCATATAGCAGAGTTAAGAGTGTCTATATCTGTCACCTCACTCCACAGCGAGCCACTAACAGCAGTTTTATGGTCTGAGCAAGCTAGCTGCTGCGTGCTCGTCAACAACATTTCCAACCATACTCCTTTTTGTAGTTTGACCATGTCTTTTTCAGACGTAGCTATATCATTACCTTCAGGGCATGTCTATCAAGTCAATTTACATACGTCAGCAACGCACGCGCGCCGGTGTGGAGCAGAATGGCTGTCCACAACTAACCACTGCGCTGTAGTAACGTTATAACTAAATTTCCACAGAAAGCAACATTACAATCAGCTGCTTCCGACACACTACGCTGAGGCTTACTGTCCAATGTTTCTCTGGACTGTCCCTCAGGATCATAACGTTAGTCCAACATTGCGGAGCGTGCTAGCGTCATTAGTCGCGCAATATGCTAACGCCAAGTTAGCTAACCTTTAAAATAAACGGAAAAACTACAAACACGGCAACACTTACAGCTTCAGAGTTTGAAGTCGGGTCACGTACAGCCCATGGCGATCCATCCTTGAACCTTTACAGAGCCTGTTACAGTTGTGGAACTTTTGAAGCACTCATTTATTAATTTAACACGCCCTGAAGTGTACAGTATGAACATTGCGGTTGTTGCGGTGCTTGCCATCCTTGACCAGTAGCGCGGTATTTCAATTTTGCAGTTATCACAACAGCCATACTTTAGAGCCAGAGATACAGACACCAGACAAACAAACGACCTACAGTCAGAGGTGTTTTCAGCACAGGAATGAAAACTGTGAAGGGTCCATTGTGACTCAGCAGCTGTGAACAGCCTTTCTCTGAAACACAAATAAACATCACAATCAGCTTTATTGACCCTGTATGCGTAAGTATGCGTACACATATAAAGAATCTTCCAATGTTACACACAGTTCCAATAGAAAGAGATTGACATACAGCTAAAAATAAGGAAAACAAAGTTGAACAAAGGTGGGTAAAAATAAACGTACAACTAAAGTTTAAAATAATTACAAAACAAATACAAGACAGTATAACGAACATAGTTTTTACAGTGTGTTTATGGTTCTTTTACCGAATAGAGCAACGGCTCCGGTCAGATTTTCTCTCTGCCTTCCACTCCTGTCAAGCTCGATCAGCCGCTCCATCAGGTTACCATAGCAACGCTGGCCATCACCAATCTGACCCGCCTCACAAACACACCTGGGAGGGGGGGTAAACTAATGAAGCTACAACACATACATTCACACAAACTAACGAAGAAGCAGCTAAAGAGAATCAATTCCATTGGCATTTGAAAAACTCCAAGACTTTTTTTGTCTATACTTGTTGTCGGTTATCATAACCTCAAAGCGGTTTTCTGCAGCTGCCACACCTCTGCTCGGCTGTGAAATGGACACTGTTGCACAATAGAAATTTTTTAATTTGAAGAAGTGTGTGTATTAGTGTGTGTGTGTGTCTGTGTGTCTGTGTGTGTGTGTGGAATTAATTGAATCAGATAATTAATTATTAATTAATTAAATAATTGATCATGTTTTTTTTTTACATTTCAATTTAATACTGTAACAACTTAAAATATACAAGACACACAATCACAAGGATGAGTGGAAGTAATGAGCTAGCCAATCACAGCACAGTAGGGCAGGACATGACGTCAAAGATTACCTAAACAGATATAAAGAAACTGGATCTTGCTTTACTCCTGGTTCTGGTCTATTTCTAGGGGGCAACAAACTTTTTCTGAGTCTAGGTCTTATTCATGATCTGGTTCTGGTTTTGAAACTGTTGCTAGTTCTAGTCCTTTCCTAGTTCAAGATCTAGAAAGTAAAAGGAAGCCAGGAATAGAGACTTGATTACAGATCTAGTTCAGTTCTAGTCCTTGTCCTGGTGCTAGTTGTGGCTCTAGTCCTAGAAACTGGTCCACTTATAGTGCATGTCTAGCATTTGTCTAGTTGTGTCTAGGCCTGGATCTACATAGCTCAAGTTCTAGAGAAGACAGAGTGTTGTCTGACCTGGGTTGTCCATCCAGTTCAGTTTGACAGGTAGCTGTGGGATCACAGGTGTCCGCTGAGCAGGCAGAGACCAGCTGACAACCAAACTCAGTACTGCCACCTACAGGGGACATGCCGAACATACACTCGCAGACAGACTGACAGACAGACAGACAAAGACAGAGCGAGGTTAAACAGTTTCAGGATGTAGCTATGGTTTTGTTTAATATGGACTCTTGAATTTTTGTTCTGACATTAACTCTGTCTTCTTGGTTCTAGTACTGGTCGTCATTCTAGTACTGGTTCTAGTCGAGAACAAATCTTGTTTTAGATCTGGTTCCTAAACCTGGTCCTGGCTCTGGAGGTGTCCTCACCTTGTTGGGTCCTTTGAAGACACAGATGGTGGAGTTGATGGGACACCCTCCACTGTTCTCAGAGCAAGGGTTTATGGGTACGCAGATCTTGCCATCACCCTGGTAGCCAGACTTACAGATGCAGCTAACCTTTGACGACTGTAAGGAGCACTGGGCGTTAACGTCACAATCCCTCACTGTGCAAATACCTGAACAGGAAAAAGTTTTTTTATTGTCAAAACAAACATTCATAAAATATTCATAAAACATTCTCGTTCAGTGAAATAAAGAGATAGTCTAATAGTAGTCCTGCTGCTATGGGCAAGAAACAAAGAGTGAGAAGGAGGAATTCTTTCTGGATGAAGGCCTTGTTCTAGCCCTCGTTCCAGTTCTGGGAAAAAATAATTACAAGACTAGTTCTGGGTTATTTCTGGCTCCAGTCCTTATCTAGTTCTTATCTTATTTTAGACCTGTTTCTAGTTCTCATTCTGATCCTAGTTCTGTATCTAAACAGCAAAAGGGAGACTCTCGTTCTCGTTCTAATGAGAAAAGACCTAGCTGTAATTCTGCTCCTGGTTCTAGTCCAATTTGTAGTTATGTTTCTAGTGTGCAAGGAAGACTTAGAGAAGGAAACTTTGTTGTAGCTGTAGTTTTGGTTCCTGTGCTGGTTCTAGATGTAGACCACCTGTACTTCTAGAGATAACTGGTGTGCACAACATGATACAGTATTGTGTTCCCACGATACAAAAATATAAAGACAAACTTTCAGGAGTTCAAAATTGTCTAAAATCACAAATAGAAAGACACTAAATGTCTGTAGCTTCACTAGCAGCTCTGTGAGGCCATAAGGTTCATTTCATTGAAAATAAAATAGTTGGATGGAAGAGAATCAAAATCAAATAAGCTTATCCTCTGTATGGTGGCCATATTGGGAGATCTCAGCTTCAGCTCTGCTTATAGCACACCAACACAAATTTGACAGATAGACAGACAGACCAAATTATTGGGAGCTTAAACTAAAAGTTAAGATCAAATAAAACAGAAATCTAAGATGATCGTTGAGCTGTGTGTTTACTTGTGCATTTGCCCTGTGGCGTCCTCCTGTGTCCTGGCAAACATTCACAGCTGGCAGCGTCTCCCTCTCCTTTACAGTACGAATAGGGGCTGCAGTTACTGCATCTCGTACTCACTGCCAACAACACAGTCACAACAATTAAATATCATACAGACAGTAAAAACAAACTGGAGTAATAAATACAATATGTGTCACCTCTCATTTTACTTGGATGACACCCAGATGACAAAAAACATTTTTTTAGAATGGGGCATCAAGCAGCAATACTGTTTTGGTTCTGACCAAAATGTGCCTTAGATTTGTCTGCTTACTCTTTGATCACAGGTCCTGTTTAAAGAATCATTTTGCCAGCTTTAGAAAGCATTTTATTTAGACAGAGTTTGTGTAAGACAACAAAAGTTTGTCTTTCTTTCTTAAATGAAAAAACTATTTAGTATATGCACCTTTCAGAAACCTTTATTTTGTCCCCATATCTGCCAAAATAAAGTCACTCCAGTTGATAGTCATCTAGTTGCCTTCTATTCTTACAGTGAGCTCACAAAACAGCCTTTATTGCCCCGGTATCACCAAACCCTGTTAATGGTGGGGCTTGATGGCACCCTGGGCTGCCTGACAAGTAGGCCTGCAGACACTACTCAGGGGTGAAAAACTCCCTGCATGTTTTTCAGGGCGAAAAAATATTTAAGCCATTCTTTACACTGATTTTCCCCCCAAAGATAAATTGTACATCAGAGATAAGCAATACGTAAAAGTGTTCTTTCATACAAATACATTATCTATTATCATGAAATTATCATGTCCAATTAATCCAAATATAATCTTCAGTAATACATTCATACCATTTCTAATAATTAAAAAAATTTAAATTACTATAGTCAGAATTTTAGTTTAGTGTGTTTTTGCTAGGTTGATGCATGCTGGAAATAGATTTCAAATTCAGGTACGACATCCGTATCAAAACATTTCAAGTCCCACTAAGCATTTGAGAATGATATAATCTATTTTATCCTAAAAATATGTAGTAATATAGTCTGATCTACTGTGGCTTCATATGTTTTATGTAATCTAATATAGTAAAATCCAGCGTGTCATGGTCTTACCTTGGTCACACCGTTTCCCGGTGTACGGTGGCTGACACAAACACTGTCCATCACCCTCTGGACCTTTATCACACACTCCATGGTCACAGTCACATGCTGTCAAAGACAGACACACAGACAGAGGACAGTTTTTCAAACAACTGTGGGTCTTCCAATTTGGATGTTTTTTTTAGATTTAGCATTTTCCCTTTTTCTAATACATGACCACATTTTTACTAGCGAGGTAAGAAGTGAGAGAACCTACCTTTGTCACACTTTTCTCCAAAAAAGTTCTCATTCTTACAATCCTGACAGGCAAAGCCAGAGAAACCTTCCTAAATAGAGAAAAATGAATATTTTGAAATATCACCAAGACCTCAACAATCTAAATGAGATTAAAAAAATCTCCCAACTTCCCCAGTCTCCCTCCCCACCCAAACACAAAAGCACATCAAACACATGGAAAACTCCTGTCAGAGACACAGGCTGACACTGAGAGGCTTGGGCGGTAAATTTATTTTATGTCAATGTTTAATTAAAGGGCACTGTCTCCTATAAGTACATCAGCAATACTGATCACTGAACTCGTTGGCAAAAAGGTAGGATAGTCACATAGGATACTGACATCACAGACGCAGGTCCCGTTGCCGAGATCTCCATCCAGACAGGTCCCATGGAAGTTACAGATCTTCCCTGACCAGCTGGGACAGGCTACAGACAGGGAGACAGGTGGTTATAAAGGATCGCTATTGATTGTGTATGATTCTATTTAGTTTCCCTCCTGTGCCAATCTTAAAGGTTCATGTGTTACTGTCACATTGTTGTCAGTTGTCCTATTGATTGGTTAGAGGGCAGACGCCAGGAGGAGCAGCTAAAGGATGAAGGAAACACGAATGCAAGAGATTGCTGCAGATACAGTGTGGAATTCTTTTGTTGAGACCGCGATGACACTGAATAATAACAACATTTATTACTGAAGTATTACGGTTTCTAATATGCTAACCTAAATTCACTGAGACCAACACTGACCTGTGAGCAGGCAGTGCATAGTTTGGTAAAATACCAGAGGACTTCAGGCCCAGCTCCCACACATCAAGTGATGAGATGAACTCAGTGGGGTTCAGGTAGCTCTGCATCCCTTCTCTGGCGTTGGCAACCATAGGCACTCAGTATATGTTGTTGCCTTTTAGTAGCTGCTATAGCTGTCAGGCTTAGTGGTAATTCATCTAAATGTAAAAACATATCCTTACCTGTACCATGACACGTCATGTTGTACTGTGTGAGATGATCTAAAAATATCTTGGTCTCAGTGTGTTTCAAACTGTACGATATCAGTTCTGAGGCATGTCAGAGATGTGAGATGGAGGAGCAGGGATGCGTTATCAACTCATGTCGCTATCACCACTACTCTCATGTTTACCATGTGTAACAAATAAATAAATAACTTTGGCAGTACAGCCATAGCGTTTACAGTATCTTTTAGGACAGCATATTTTGTGCAATGTTTTGCATTCTGATTTGTTGTTTTTTAGATGTCGGTAGTAGCAGCAGTCATATTGTGAAAATTTGGTCCTCAGCTAACAATTCCAACTCCAGCCACTACACCAAAATCACATCAGAGGCCTGTGCTGCTCATATATGCTTTAAAAAAAAGAGCTTCAGCTCCTCACATGGCCACATCTCCAAAAACACTCAAACTGTACTGAATTAAACTGTAGGAATACAAAGTCATTAATTTCTCTATAAAATATTGAGCCCTTATATGTAATGTGTCTTAGTAGAGATTTTATTTTTTTTATTGTTTGATTGTCTTGAATACTTGATACTTTGATACTTTGAATCTTATAAATGCCTGAATACTTAATTGTGAAATGTAATGACTGCTAAATACTTACTGTTGAAAGTTAAATACCACTGAATTAATGATATTAAAATATTTCCCTTGAAAATCATATAGCTGAATATAGTGACTGTGGTTTGAATTCCCCTTTTCATATAAACTTTCCAGTAGGTGATTTTAAAATGGTGCAGTTTATTCTAGGGTTGACAAATTCAAATTCAAGTGTCCATAACATAAACTATATGAAAGTTGCTCAAATTCTGACCATAAAAGTCATAAGTTCAGGTTGTTAAAATTGGATTTGCGTTGTAGCAAACAATATATAAATACATGGTATGAAGTACATTTAAATTAATCATTAACTTTTACTCAATTACAATGAATAGTTTTACCAATTACATACACCGATATGCAAGTTATCAATCATCAACATTATCTGCAGCATTATAAACTAAAATTGGACGATAAACGATTGTTACCTCTCGTTTTGCTTTTACTGGACTGTGGTAACGTTACTTTAGTTTGAAATAATTACTTTCACGTTAGTCCTTTATTGGTAACACCTGCAACGCAATATAATTCTTTCTTTGCCTCACAGTTTACCGCAAGTCACGGTAGTTTAGTGCATCAGGGCACAATTCACACAAATGCACAACAGCTTTAAATAAAGCGCAAAACGTTAACGCTAGCTAACAAAAACGCTGATTCAGAAGGCAATAAACAAGCTAACAGCGGCTTCTTTCATAAACAGTCTTTTAAAAAACTCTCTCTATAGTAACAGAAAGAAAGTTTCACTTACTTCTTGTTGTACACACACAAGTGACACCTCAACAGCAAAACAACGAAGGTCCCAATTAAGCCAAACTAGCAAATGTTCCTTTTTTTTTTAAATCTGCGACAGAAAATTAGAGCTGTTCTGTCTGGCGTGACCATAGCGGTACATGATTGGAGAAAGGAAATGACAATCAATGAAACAACCAATCAGAACTACAGAAAAGCAGCACAACAGTCCCGCCTTCTTGTAAAGTAGCCGTTTACGACTGACCGTTTGTCCGGACCGGTCCGGTCCTTTGAAGGTGCTTCACTCCACCCGGTTAACTGAAATGGAGTTTAAAGGGCTTCTGTCTAATATCAGGTAAGTTTACAACTAAAAAGTCTTCTTTTTAATTTTAATATTGGACAGTTAAATTTTTATCTGTTGTGATAATATCTCGATCGCCTCCCTGTGGCTGGCTTCAGTATTGGACATTAAACCCGCCCCTTCCATGTTAGCGGATGGGACTGCCAAACAAAATAATTAAAGTACACAATATGTCAAAAATAAAAAAGTCTTCGTGTGGATGGAGGACCGACTTGAAGGTTTAGTAGACACAAAAACACAGAACAGTAGAAAATATTAGAAATATAAGCAGCAAATAAGACTAAAGTTGAATAAGTGACTTTATTCTCCATGTCCATGATGGATATATGAAGTTACACCTTTCATGTTACTATAATCTATAAGGAAAGGGACTTGCACGTATTTGATTGGCCAGTACAGTACGTTGCCGGATGACATCACACTGTGTTGCGGCAAAAGTTGAGCAGGTTCAACTTTTTATTGGATTAATTTTTTGTTGTCTGACTGAATGAAAGAGGGGGTTACGTTTATTTGTTTCATACAATGGAGTGCTTGTAGGTACCAAATCTGTACTGCCTGCCGGATCCCTATCTGCACATGCATAAAAGTGGTAGTCTGTCAAAGAAGAATACCACAAATGTGCCTGTTCATAATTACTCGTGCATTGTTGTCTGTTCTCATCTCAGGATGTCCAATACTAACGCTTTCAGAAAGGCTGACAAAGCATTATTTGATCATAGTATTTGATGCAAAAGGTACCCTTCGGTGTGCTTATCATACACCTCGGGCGCGTCTGTATGAGACACCCTCTCTAGACTGGAAGTGCTAGCAGCTAGCTAGGTAGCTAGCTATGTTAGTATAAAAGGCGTTGACAGCTTCCCAAAGCCCCTTACCCTGACCATGACAGGGGTGTGTGCCTAAACCAAAGTAAGCGACTGTTTGCATGTCGACCAGCTAACCCTACAGCTGTGCAAATCGGCCTGCTAGCAGCTAGGGTTAGCCTCCTTTGTGTTACTACTTTGTTCGCATTATTAGACATTAAAAATTTACTGTTGCATAAGGTTTTTCATATCTTGAGTAAATTCCTATTACATAATAGTGAACAATTTAATCTCCAGTGATTAAAAAACATTTTGTTATCTTGATTTGAAAGATTTAGTTGAATCATTTTGAATAGGCAGATTGGAGGTAACCTTCTTGGAATGACAGAACCACTCTTGCACATGTGCAGAACGGATCTGGCAGGCGGTACAGATTTGGCACTGACAGCGCTAAGCCCCTCGCTTCCGCTTCCGCCTCATGAGACCTTATTTTGGGAAAAATATGTACCGTAGTCAGTGGTGAGGACAATTTATTTTTTGATCCTTTTGGAATTGTGCCCTTAATCACACATATGATGTTTGTCAATTTAAAAGACAATTTTGCCCATCAAGAAAGTTGCAGTTTGTCGTAAAACAGTAAAGTTACATTTAGTTTTGAGTGAAAACCGTTCAATGAACTACATCTCTCGTCTCGCACGATATACATCTCCAACATGTTAACGCGGTCATGATAGCTAACGGTTACATTGCTTGGTTGCTACTAGCTAGGTTACTTACTGTGGCTATGTTCCACACAGAAATGTATCTTACCTAATGTGTTTAATCTAACGACTCTTGGTCCTTTTATCACATCATCCTCTCATGCAAGTTCTTTGGCGTTAACTTCAGTCATTGAGAGAAAAAGTTACGACGTCACATATGCGACTTTTTGGGTTTATGGTCTTATACTTGGAATTGATGACCATCATGATATGTTTAATTCAGAGCACAATTCAAATAGGATCAATTGTGTATATGTGTGTGTGTGTGTGTGTGTATGTGTGTGTGTATGTGTGTGTGTGTGTGTGTGTGTGTGTGTGTGTGTGTGTGTGTGTGTGTGTGTGTGTATGTGTATGTGTATGTGTATGTGTATGTGTATGTGTATGTGTGTGTGTGTGTGTGTGTGTGTGTGTGTGTGTGTGTCTTACGGAGACACAGAGGGCCCCAGTGTTGTGGGCAGCAATGCGGCTCCATGAACCTCTTCAAACAGGTGTGCTGACATCCATTCAACTCCATATCCCTGCCACCAATCTGCACCACGTAACTGCAGCACACAGTGAACAACATGAGGTAAAGAAAAAAAAAAAAAGCTGCTTAATTCACACAACATACTACTACTACTAATAAATAATAATAATAATAATAATAATACTAAATTTTATTTATAGGCGCCTTTCAGAACACACAAGGTCACCTCACAAAACATAATAAAAACAGTACAGCATTAATCGATAAAATTAACAACTATAATTACAGTGCATAAAATCAGGGTACAAAACAAATGGAAACAAAGATCGAGAAAGAGTGATCACGTGGGATATGCCAGTTTAAAAAGATGTGTTTTCAGGCGGGATTTAAAAATGGAAAGTGAGTCAATGTTGCGAATATCTGGTGGAAGAGAGTTCCAGAGACGAGGGGCAGAGCGGCTGAAGGCTCTGAACCCCATGGTGGTCAGACACGCAGGAGGTACAGTGAGGTGAATAGAAGAAGATGACCTAGTACGGGTGGGTGTGTTAATATGAAGGAGGTCAGTAAGGTACCGAGTAGCGAGGTTATGAATGGCCTTGAAGGTCAGGAGCAGAGTTTTGAAATCAAGGTAGTAGTTTTTACTACTTGTTACTACTAGTAAAAACTACTACTACAAATGCACAGTTAACCACATGTATGATACATTCATGAATCCAAGGTCAGTGTGTATTAGAGGTGAAAACAATCATGCACTGCTGTGAAGAAATGTAGATATGTAACCTGGGACATACCTGCAGTTGGTCGTGCCCACTCTGCTGAAGCCGTGGGGGCAGCTGCTGGTGGCGAGGGCGGCACAAGAAGTGCAGGGGGTGTGCATCTCCACCCCCTGTGAGATATCACACCGACCAGGAGGAGCTGTCTGAGGGAGAACAACCAATATTACAAGCTTGATACCATTTTCTGTCTATATTTGGTACTTGTTGGTACTGTTGGTGTCAGTACAGCCCTGTTTTTAAAAAGATACTGCCATAGTGGTGGTGGTAATAGCAATAGTACTAGAGGTAGTAGCAGCATTACTGAATTAATTAACTATTATTCTTGTGTCCCAAAGGGGTGAGCCTATATGAGTTTACAAGATAATAACAATACATTCAGAGATAAGAGAAAGCAAAAATGAAAGAAAGCAAACGTGTCGCAATATTGCTCTTGTCAAAGCCACCAGACTCTCTTGACAAAACTAGTACTTTTACCTCTCTGGTTTACCACTGCCGTGATTGGTTTGTGTTATTATGTGCTGGCTTTGATGAGAACGATATAGCAACTGTTTCTGGTTAAACAAAAAGGATCTTTATCTTAATAAAAAGGTCTAACTCTGTAGGGATCCTTTCCAATGTACAGATCCTTTCCACAGTGTCATCAGACACTGAGCCTGTCAGTGGCAAAAACAAGCACTGAAGTGGATGTGCTTTAACAGAGTCGCAATTGCCCGTAAGGATTACTTTGCAGCCCTGCACGCTCGCTCAATACTGGATCAGTTTAAAGAAATGTTGTCCCATTTAGTCACATAGACACAAATACATGGGAAAATAAGGTTCAGGTTGAAAAATACCGACATTACCCTTTAATGAAGGGCTGAGAGGCTGACTCTGGGTCAGATATGTATGTATTTTACAAATAGGCCTTAGAGGATTTAGAGAAAACATTATTGACTTACAAAATTATGTGCACGTATGATTGGAAAAACATGGGTACTGTTCTGGAGATGCCAAATTTCTTCTAAACTGTCGAAGTATCAGTTTCTGAATAAATCTATGACGAGAAATAGACCATGCAGCTTCTGCATCAGGATTCATTTTGTTTTAAACAACACAAAGTTATTATGGTTGCTCAGAGGTCAAGTGTTCTGTTTGTATTTCTGACTGGTGCTAGAAAAGTGCCACTGCAGCTGTCTAATTAAGGTTTAGCCCTGATTTGTTAGATTAGGTTCAAAGGAGCACTCCACCAATTTTACTTGTATTGTACTACTAACAATAGTTCACACCCACAATATTCACTTTATGCAAAAAGCACATCTTTTCATTTGCTCTGTGACCAAAAAATGGCATTCGATTCTGTATAAATGAGAAAAAATATTCTTGAGATGAGGCTCCGTAAGAAAGGCAATGAGTAGTGTATTTGCATTTATCAGAGAGCAAAGCAATTAACTTATAATTTAAAGATCTAAAGAGCATAAAGAAGTGATGCAGGTGGAGATGTGTTACCTGTTCTTGCAGTGACATTTGTAGGCAGAGCAGCAGCGGAAGCAGCAGCAGCATGGCTAAAACTGTCACATCCAGGGAGGAAAATAAATCCACCAACCAGGCGTCCTCCTCAATCAGTTGACAAAATCAGTAGAGAATGTGTTCTGGCTGTGTTGGATCTGCACATCAGCCTTTTCCTCTCGCATGTAGTCTGAACCTCAAACACAACCTGCTGTACTAGCTACAGGAAAAACATAGATAGAAACATCCTCTCTGCAGGAAAAACCAAACTATTAGAAAACAATAGACTTTTCCTGCAGTAATAGGTGTAGGAAAACTCAAAGCAACCTGACGTTCACAGATGCAAAAACTGTAGTATTTAAAATACAAAAAATAAAAACTAGTGTGGATCCAGGCAGTGTTGAGATTATCAGCAGTATGCTTTGCGCATTTTAAGCATGAAGGCAACAATCCTTGTTATGTGGAAACTAACTACAACTAACACATTACAACTAAAACATAAACTCTCAGCGCAGTGTCCCGCGAGGCGGAGAGCAGACAGAGAGGCTGGAGCGTCTGCTGGCGTTACGTCTTTTCCTCTTTATTCTAGGAAGAGAAAGAGAGAAAAAACAACAACAGAAACTGGCAGAGTAGGAACCTCCCAGCAGAGGTCATCTCCTCCTACTACTCCCCTGGTAGTAATGGCAGAAATCCTAGTAGTGTAAGTATAAGTACTAGTAAGGTTGCAACAGTAGCAAATGTTAATGGTAACACTTGTTTTATTCAGAATAGTAACTGCAGTGTACTGTGACAGCAAAAGTGAACATTTAGTGATACACACCACTTCCTTCTCTCCCTTTCCAATGTTGGGAGCTCTGGACTCTGTGGTGAATATTGAACTACAGAACCTACAGACCAACCAAACAAAATCATGAGATAATTAACAAATAAGGAAAGAGGAACACATATAAATTGCACATTGTAACACTGTTTTATATATTTTCATATATTTATATTTAATCCAGCCCACTAATATAAGGTTAGAGACTGAATATTAACAACATTTCCCAGTATAACACATAACGGTTCAACACCATTACAGCCTCCAAAATGACCATAACTTTGAATCGACACCTCTCTAAAACATGAACATTATAACCTTTGTGAAAGTATCATTTACCGCAGGACTATTGTATTATACCAAGGTTTTTTAGATTTTTAGTAACATACAAGCACATGCAGGTTAAAAGTATCAACTGATGTATCAGCTCAGCTAAATTTAGGAAAACAATTTAAAAAAGTAATAATTAAAACACCTATATTGACATGCTTACACACGCTGTAGGTGTCAGCCAAAACGCATAACACCTGAGACCTGGCTAATGTGAGACAGCTTTAATGTTTTTTTGTTTTTTTTAACAAGTCAAAATGTTCAAATATCTGAGAAAGGTCTACAACAGTTGTACGCTGGTGGCTGTATTAAATAATTAAAAGTAAAAACACTACACAATGTAAAGGTGTAACAGTATTTTTTGATACTGAAGTACCAAGAGTTGGTACATTATCATTGTGAAGAATGATTTGTTTCGGTGTGTTGTAGCGGTGCATTCTTGTCTAACTACATTATACAACTTGGCAGGTTAAACACTAATAATTTGTCATATTCTCATTGTCATACGTCTTAAATTGTGATGATTTTCTGCTTTCAGGTCTGTTAAGGGATCTCACGCTCCTCTACAGTTTGAGTAAATTCTTAAAAACTTTCACAACTTCAAAACTATATTGACGTAGAGTGAGAAAAGTACTAAGTTACCACATACCTCTGCAGCAGTAGCACAAAAGGTCATAAAATGACCCTGCAGACAAAATTCATAGAAAACGTACCAACCTATGGCTTTAATCACTCTGGTTTATCCATTTAAAACTTTTTTGAAAACACATTAAGAATTATGTATAATGTATATCTTTTTAAGATTTAAACTATTAATTTGACATGTTTCTGAGGACATTTCTACATGTTTTATATTGATTTTATTACATAGCTTTGGATTTACTATAACCCTGGATTCAAGTAACAATTGCTGGATTATTGAATGTTTTATATTTACCAAATTTTACACATTTTTTGCTCATCTTTGTCTTTCTCTTCCAAGGTCTCCTACTGCACATCAGGTTGTCTGAGGCCAGGGATATCTCTGAGCTGTTATGTAGTTATGAGTTGTGAGTTGTTATGAGACAATGGAAGTGATTTTGGATGAGTCAAATAAAGTGGATATGTGGATTGAAACTAACTCTGATAGAAAACTACGAGGTATGTGTTAGAGTAAAGAGAGAGGTTGTGAGAAATCCTCTCTCTTCCTGACAGGAAGTTTGGGGCGGATTTCCCCTCCTGGTCGTCCCAATGGGGTGGTGTGATTTGGGCGGATTTCCTCGTCAGCTGACACAACTCCTCGTGTGCTTCTCAGAATGAAAAGGAAAAAAGGCGAAAGCTGAGTTTCTTTCCTGTTTTAATTTAGTTTGACTTGACGATCAACTGACAGATGCAGACAGGTCAGTCTAACCAGAGAGAGGGTCAAAGGCCAAACTGCAAGCAGACAGAACAATAGCAGGATGCAGGCAGGCAATAAACTGCTCCTGTACTCTGGGGGGGTTACTGCCTTGCTTACTGGCTCTTCAGCAGTTCATTTTTTCCTGACGGATTTCCAGATACAGTTGGGAGATTTTAACCAGCAACCTTCCAGCCACAAATTCTACCAATTTTCAAAATTTCATTGATCATTTGATTGCATCAAAGTGAAGCAAATTTTCATCTTTTATCCAACCAAATGTGACTGCTGAAGTGTTTTTTTAATAGACATTAACTGTAGCTAGCTAGCAATTATGCACTGATTATGTATGTGTTGCATTTCTGTTATTTTCAGCCAATTTCTCTCAACTCGCACGGCCACATCTTTGCCACAATGCGTGCCACCCAGGTGAAATTGCATCTACTCCTGTCTACATTGACTTTGCTTCGCATTCAGTCTAAATACACTTTCTGAAAAAAATATTGCTATTTAAATCAGTTTAAAATAAATCATAGTTGGAATAACATGGTCCACTGGCAGATGTTAAACCGACATAAAATGAGCCTGATGGTTGTTGAAGTTATGGCCATGAAAAAGCAGTGTATGTAATTTAATCCTACATGTTATATGATGATACTGACCACCAGCAGCATACCAACATGTACCCTGTCTCTGCTGAATGATGAAGCGAAGCAGGTTGCTGCCTGGCTAGTATGTAGGTGGGATACTACATGGGAAAAACAAGGTTGCTGCTGGAAGAGGTGTCGGTGGGCCAGTAGGGTCCTCTGGTGCTAGATAAAAAATCCCAGTGCAGTGACGGGGTATCTCTTTGGATGAGGCCGAGTTCATGACTCATTGTGGACATTAAAGATCCCATGGCACTTAATGCAAAGAGCAGGGTTTTCCCAAGTGTCCTGGGAAAATTCCTAATGTGGCACTTTCCATCTGGCCATCTAATCATCCCCCAGTGTAATTGGCTGGATGTTTTCCTTCCTCTCCACCTCAAGCTGATGTGTGGTCAAGCGGGAAGTTTCTGGTCAGCAAAATGATGCGAACGCGTAAGTCCCTCAAACCTGCATTCTATCGAACAGCAAGCAGGGGGCGACTCTTCTGGTAAAATGACCCTACTTCTCAGCTGATTTATTACCTCAGTGAACACTTTCCTCATGAGTTTATGTTCTCAATCGCTAGTTTCATGTCTTCTTCAAAACAAAATGATGTTCATTTAGTAAATTATGATCCCATTTATTTTAAAATAGAATGCTTCAGTGTGGGATTATCTATGATTGACAAGTCGTTACCATGGCAACCTGTCAATAAGGACAACCAGCACCATTGAAAAAGCTAATTAGGAGTTGGATGTTCACCATCTCTGGTGAGTACTGTTGTTCGCTAGACGAAATTGTCAGCCCTGTTAAAATGACAGTTAACGTGAATTACAGATGCACCTAGCTAAGCAAGCTAGCTAGCTCCACACACAGCCGTGAGCTCCACTGTCTCGTCCAAACATGGTCCCGTCAGGTGACGCTGGTTGCTAAAATTCAACATGGTGGCGCCTTATCGGCCAAACTCGGCACTTCAAAACATCAGTCCACAAACCAACGGATGACGTCACGATGACTACGTCCACTTCTTATATACAGTCTGTGTGTGTGGTGAGTATTCTGGCTCAAAATGGCTGCTGTGCATCAACCAAGAGGGTGCTACACATTGGTGTTAGTTGAGATGAACCCCCCCCCCCTCACTTGCTGGAGCGCTTTCAGTATCTAAGATAAAGCGCTAAACAAATGTAATCCATTATTATTATTACCAAATTTATCACAATTCATTTTGAGGGGGGCATCAAATGTCTTGCTAAAGTCATCAGGATTCATATTCTGGGAACCATGAATGTCTGTACAAAATATTACTACAATCCTTCTGATAGATTTAGAAATATTTCAGATATTATCGATCAAAAAGCCACAGGGGTCATTGTTGGACCACACAACTTAATTCAGTGCTCCAGATACTACCACATGCACTGTCCCTACCTACTGCTGACTGGTTGAAATTCTGCATCACTCTGGATGTTTTTTGTTCTGACTTCTGTCATGTGGTCTCATATCTGCGATGCCTTGAGACTGCTTGATAAAAAAAGATAAATTAAAACATTGTGCTAAAGACGCCGTGGTAATTGTTATCTCCGAATGTTGTATAATGGCACCAATAGATACACACTGTCACTCACTGCTGACTCCTGAAAAAGTGGGAAAAACACGAGAAAAGAAGTAGAGAGACAGAGGGGCCTGAGCCGGAGGTCGTGGATGTCTCTCAGCCTACGTCCCGGGGACCATCTCAACCTCAACAAATGCCTCCAATCAGCACTCTAAGCCGGAAAACAGCCAAACAGACAAGACCATGAAAGATAAGAGGAAGTGAGAAATGATTTACTATCAGTGTCACCACTGCCTGGCTTTCCCTGGTGTATTTCTGCTCCAGCTGTTTATCAAAGGACACTTTAACTGGATTCAACAGAATATCTGAGACACCTCGTACTACCATGAATACATATACTTTATTAATGTTTCAGTCCAATCACGCTCACAATTTGGGGTATGAACCACTTCTTTTCTTTAACTAATCTCCTTCAAATCATGTGTAAAGCATTCATTGCCATTTATATGCTAATGCATTTTATCTATATATACTAAATATATTTTATTAAATGCCGTACACCTATCTTAGTGTACTACTTTGACAGCAAGCACAAAAGTAAACTGAAGTAGTGTGCGTTTAGTACAATAAAGAGATGACTCATGTATCCAAAATAACATGACACAGGTTCAATTTATAACTCATTCATTTTCTACTGAGAACTTAAAATTGTTCATTGATTGTGTCACATCTAATTATAGCTGCTAAACTGAATGGTCAGCTAGCATCAACCAAAGTTAAAGCTGTTAAACTTAAAGCCGGGGTAGGCAATTTATTTCAGAAGCAGTTTTGTTTTTTATTTATATACTCTTTACATCAGCAATGGATAAATCAAATGGTCTCAGAAAAATAAGAAAAGAATCAGGGATCTGTGGCTGCTGCAGGACTGTAATAAGCACGGCCAATTGGCTGGTTATCAGCTGGATGCTTTCAAAATCTACTTGTCTCTTGCTTGTTCTCCATAGTTTCCTACCCCAGCTTTAACTGTTGGCTAACCTGAACCAACGTTTCATCTGCTAAACTGGACCATTAGCTGACTGGAGTCAAAATTGTTTGTTTATTTTATATACTCAACCGTTAACCGTGAACTGAGCTGTTAGATAACCATGATTAAATATTTGCTGCTAACCTGGATCGTTAGCTAACCTGTAATGAACTTTTATAGGTAGGGTCTGAAATGTACTGTTTTTCACTGCCTACCGCTATTGCAGGCAAGTAAAAACAATTTCTCCGCCACTCAGAAATTTCATCTGCCACTTTTGAAATGTATGTGCCAAATGAAGGAATGATATTCAGCTAATTTAGGTATCATTTAATGTAGATAATATTGTCATTCAATGATTAGTATATTTACGCAATAAAAACATTACATGCATGAGTAAAGCACTCATGTGGTTTGAATCCTACCTCTCGGAGAGTTCCTACAATGTTTTGTGGCAAGGACTATTATCCTCCTCCCACTGCCTCTCCACAGGGGTGCCCCAAGGCTCAGTGCTAGGGCCTCTTCTCTTCTCAATTTACACCACCTCACTGTGGCCGATCATTCACTCGCACGGCTTCTCTTACCACTGCTACGCAGACAATACGCAACTCTACCTATCCTTCCCACCAGACGACCCCACCGTCTCGGCGCAGATCACGGACTGTCCCTCTGACATATCTGGATGGATGAAGGCTTGCCACCTTCAACTAAACCTTTCTAAGACTGAACTCTTGGTCATTCCAGCCAAGCAATATATCCACCATAACATCACACTACAAATTGACTCAGCCATCACTCCAACCAGGGTGAAAAACTTGGGTGTCATGATTGATGACCAGCTGTCCTTTTCAGACCATGTTGTTGCGGTCTCTCGGTCGTGCCGCTTTGCTCTATACAACATTAGAAAAATCAGGCCCTACCTCACTCGCCACCCAGCTACGGGTACAGGCCATGTTTATCTCTCGCCTCGACTACTGCATTGCCCTCCTAGCAGGTCTTCCAGCTTATGCAGTGAAACCCCTACAAATGATTCACAATGCAGAAGCATGTATGTTTTTGATCAGCCCAAATGGACTCATGTCACTCGTTTACTGTGACCCTCCAATGGCTACCCACAGCCTCCAGAATAAGATTCAAGTCACTAATGCTTGCATACTACTGGGTCGGTAAACTATTAAATTTATTCACAGATATTTTTATTATTTGTGGAATTTATGTATTTGCAGATCTGTTTTCTATTTGCTAAATATTTTTGTGAGTTTACAAATCTTCATTTTGTGTTTGTGCAAAGTGTTTTATATTTACAGATTACACATTTGCACACAGATCACTCATCTGTTCACAGAAATAATATTGAAACATAAATACCCCCATAGTCGCTTTGGATAAAAGCGTCTTCCAAATTAGTAAATGTGAATGTAAATGTTCACATGCGCAAAGGACCCATGTCAGTGCATGACAATCACTCCACATTACTTAACAATTACTAACAACCAGGTATTTAAACTGTATCTGAACAAAAACCTCCTCTTCTGGATCCCAGCAAGTAAATAATAAATTCTCATTTTGAGAAATACAAAAAATTGACCAACGAAAAATAAAACCACGGTACGCCTCTTGCGTCTAAGACGACGATTGTACTGATTCTCAGACCAAACCGGTGTTTGTTCCTGTAGTCTGGCAGGTGCCTAGTAAAGCTAATCGTGTGTCACTCAGGACAGACTGGGCCTTTTCCACTGGTGAGTTTGGTCTGCCACAGGTATTCCCTGAGCTCACTGGTGTGTGTTGTATGGGTTAGGGTTTGGTGTAAACTTTTTTTTCTGCTAACTTGGACTTTTACCTGTACCAAACAACTACAGTTGTTAAAATGAGAACCTTTTTACCTGCTAACCCAAACTGTTAAGCTATAGCTAACCTGAATCAAGGAAATTGCTGAAGAAGTGGACCGTTAGCAAACACAAACCAAAGTTTTTGCTACTAAATGTAGTTTATAGCTAACCTGAGGAAGAGTTGTCGAAAGTCTGGTGGGGGAAAAAAAAAAAATTAACCAAACTGTGATCACAACTCATAGGGTTCAGGTTTGGTAAAAAGTGTCTTTATATGGAGGCCATTTCATATTAGAAAGCACATATAGTTATGTAGTGATAACATTTATAGACATTCATAGCATACATGAGCCGATTGTTTTCATTCAAGCGAGTGCAGTACGTCATGAGAAAAAAATCCAAATTGCAATGTGAAGAAATCCGCTTAAAAATTCCTGGTTCCACATTATAATTTAATCAATTGATCGGTAGTCAATTGCTGAATTTTCCACCAAATTATATTGAGAAGTTTGATAGATATGCTGTTCACAAATTCATGGGATAAAAAAATATAACCACCTTGGCAGAGGTGATAAACACTGTAAACACTGATACTGTATGTCATCTTGGCACACTGACTGTCACACTTTGTTCCAAACACAAATCCTGTTTGGAACTGTCCTGAACTGTCCATGTGATGAAGTTTCAGACAACTGGATTTATTTCTTTATTACAGTTTTTCTTCAAATGAAAGCATAGCCTGAAAACTGAAATTCTTTCCTATTTGCCAGTTGACCTACTGGAACCAACAGAACGCCAATCAGAGGTCAGTTAGCCAGTTTTGCTGATCAGACACTTCCTGGTACAGTATATCTGCGTTAAAGTGTCCCTAAAAAGGAAATCAGCTGAATTTCATGAGGAGCTCCTCCTCCGACAGGAAATAGAGGAAGTTGAATGAGTTGAAAGGTGGTGGTGCGTTTTGTGCTGCTGAACTGCCAAGTCATCAAAACCTCAATGAGCAGAGGGAGAGAGAAACTGCTGATGGGAACTTTCAGTAAATTCTTTTCATGTTTTTGAGATGTCTTTGTCTCCTCTGGAAAACAAGTGGTCCTCAACATAGCCATTGACAGGAGGGAGCTTAGACATATTGAACTTATGAGCCCCCCCCCAAATAAACCCCTCTTAAAATTGTGTTAATGACTTAGATGTTTCATATATTTGGTTTTTAGGAAGCTGTTCATTTGTATTTTCTGCAAGTTTCCACTGATAAGAGCTAAATGAAACACTAACTACAATGTAACTAGAACTTTGTCCATATCAACCTTTTTATAATTAATACCAAATTACGTAGGTCTTTCCAGGAACCTTGTTTGCAAATTATTAGGGAAATCATAAACCTAATCCTATTTCATCAGACCACTATTTTATAACTCAGTTCCTGTTCCTGGACTACACACCATTATGCAAACATTCCTACACTAGATGTCTGTCTGACAGTGCTGTAACTAAATTTAAGGAAATGATTCCATTTGCTTTTAATTCAATACCAAGTCTGGCATAGTCCGACACTGCACAGTGCATGGTTTATAATAATGTGGGACCGGATTATACAACTTTGAAAATTTATCTTTATCTTCTGTCGCGACAATCACAAGATAAACAGTGGACATATGGCGTTCATGTTAGAAATATATCGACAAGGAATGAGTGCTTGCACTTATTAGATTAGGGACATTGAGTTGCAGTCCAGCAAAAGTTGAGTCAAATATTTATTAGGGCTGGGCACGTTAACGCGTTATTATAGCGTCAATGCATTAATTAATTAATTAACACAGTTACTATTATTACTTACTGAAAGTCTGTTGTTCACTGGCTCTGAATACACATACAATCAAACCGTGGGTCACAAATCGTTCAGCCCTAAATAATATCTTGCGCGCACAAGATAATTATGTAGTTATCTTGATAATTATGATTTGCAAACACTTAAACAAATAAGGTGCTTTTTACCAGCAGTATTCCCTTTACACAGTAGCAATAAAATATTTCTTGTAAATGTCAACTTAAATATTAATGTAATCAAACCAAAGCTACCTTTTATAGCTTGTTAAGTCAAGAGCCACGATCATAACAGGCACCTTCTGAGCAACAAGTTAACACATATATAAATCTGTTTTCTTGTTTTTTCTCCGAACAGGTATCAGCAGAAACATTTTCTTTTATCAGGGTGCAGCCTAAACAGTCTATGTTCAGTAACAAGTGTCCCTGTTGGAGTGAAGTGAAGTGGTCGCCTCCTTGCTGTTTGTGAGTTTCCAGAATCTATTACTGTTTTCTAAATAGGACATTTTAACTTAAATTAAATAGGCTACAGCTGTGTAGCACACAGAAGCCGTTTCCAAGGTTACTCTCCATAGAACTCCGGCCGTTTACTCGCGGAGCGCTTGTCTGTGTCGGCTCGGCTGATGCCATTATCACACACGTTTCAATCTATTTTCATTTGTTGCTGCAAAATGTACACGCCCTGTGCCCGCTCTGATTGATCAGTAGGACCGTAACAGGAGGCACATGGCGCTTATGATTGGCGAGCAGGTCTGTCACACAAGGATGACAACAGCATGAATCTGTAACTGCATGACAGTTTAAAACGGGTCAGATGTGCTGTATAATTAAACTACATTTTAAGTGCCCGTGATTAGCTAATCACGTTCTTTCAAATCACAATTTCGATTTGAAAACAATTAATCTTTCAGCCTTAACATTTTTTATCATATATACACCGATACATAGATATACCCGGCAGTGTTTTACTGTACCTTTTACGTTAGCACCCTTTCTGCATCAATGCAGCCCCCTCATTTAAGTGAATGAGAGGGCTGCGTTTTTCAGCAGAGCTACAGAGTGTCAGGCAGAATGTGGCCCAAACAGAAATTCCTGGCTCCTATTTAATTCTTTCATCAGAAAGTCTTCCTAAACAAAGCAAGAATTAGGCAGGTCACTGTTGTTATAATGATCTGTTCACTTCACAACCATAAAGAATATAAGAAACTTAATTTGTATTGAAATGGGGACTTATAATCTTACATTTTTCTTCCACCTGTTAGTTTTAGCTGTCATTTTCACAGAAACATGGACTGACTCACATAATGTTGGTCCAACACTCGTGGTTTTCTGGTTTAATTGCTGCATTAGCAGAAAAGTGCACAGACTGTGGTTAAATTTTGCTGAGTCCTGGTTTGATTCGAAGAACCAAACCGCTGTTGCTTATTCCAAACAGGAATCGGTGTTACATGTGGAGTTGTCATTTTCACTTTAATTCAGTGGCATTCCCCAGAAAACACAACAACATGTAACTTAAACAGTGGTGAAGGTCAGGGCAGTCCAACATAAGCTGGCTTCCCATTTGTCGATAATAATGTATGAAAAAACATAACATATAATAAAACAAAACAAAAAGAAAATATAAAAAAAATAATACTAAATACGATATTTCAGGTTTCAAGTGGAAATATCATCAGGAGCTTCATATTTAGTACAAAATCTACTTCAGGATGGAAAACATCCGTCTGTCCAAAAGCAACAATTATATTAATATAATATTAATAACAATATACAGGTCAATAATACTGCTAATCAATTACAATGTACAAGGAATAAAAAGAGGGAAGATTGTGCCAAGCAGCGGCGTGTGTGTGCGCTACTTAAAACAACAGTCTAACATTTTGGGATATCATCTTGTCCGCACCTCCAGAATGAGCAAATGTAAAACTGGAAATGTATAAAAGTGATTTTTGGTTTACCTAAATAACAATAACAAAATTTAAAATCAGACAGCTTTAAAGTTGTAGGAATGTGGTCTTTTTTCTATTTCGATGGAGCTACGCTAGCAGTTTCCCCCTTCTTCCAGTCTTTGTGCTAAGCTAGGCTAACATGTCCTGGACCTTTCTTTGTACGGGACACAGAGATGAAAGTGATGTACTTCCAATCTTTTAATCTGACTCTGGAGAGAACAGAGAACAAGAGGATTTACCAGAAATGACAAACTGTTCCTTTAAGGTAATGTTGATTAAAATCTAGTTGAAATCCTGTGGACTGTCTGCAGCGCCCCCTGATGTGCAAAACCAGTCTGTCAATCAAGTCATCCAAACAAAGCAGTAAATCTGCTCCGTGTGAGAGATTTGAGGTTGTGCCAAAAACTCCCACTATTTCAGTTCCATGCGAGGTCACAGTCTCCACCTAATGTCTGCAATAGCAGTCTGGTGTCTGTTCAGTCCAACTATCCCTCAGTTTTTTTCTGTGGCAGGTGTGTGGTCAGAGCCACACCCCTTCCAGTCCATAAGAAGTAAGACTAAAAGGCCCCAGGATGCTTCAAACTAAGCTCTTGTTGGATGACCGAACGTCTTAAAATACCAGCACCCAAACCTTTTCAACAGCAGAATCTGCGACTGACAATTCTGGTAACTTTCCGAAACCAACAATTACGCCCAGTTAATGCAGTGACTGGCCAGGTGTGAAAGTAAGCAGTGCTTTAAATAATCCCTCAAGCTTTCTTTTTTCCACTTCTCACAAAATTACACTTTTCATGTGAACAACCGAGTTAACATTGTGAATGCGCAGTTATCCCCATTTGAGCAATTCAAGACGTCAAGACTATAAAGACATGCAAAAGAGACAGTTGTTGGAGAGAGAGCGTGGGGGGCAGTGGGATGCAGATAGGAATACGCAATAGGTGTTCATTCACCTGTTTTGGATTTGCCTAAAATTAAAAAAATATTGCTAAAAGGTTTTTTCGCTTGCTGAGGTGGAAAAACTTGGCGTATCGATAAAAGCAAAATGCAACAAAGTGAAGTGCGATAAAAACAGACTTGGCGAATAAACCATGACGCACATAAAGCATTTGATTAAAACGTCCACTGAAGCTCCTCCTGAAGATCCTCCAAAGAGATAAAAAATAGCGGCAAACTAATACATAGCATCTGTTTGAAGTGATGAGGAGAATGTATCCCAAATGAAACAATCAGAAATGCTATATTTCCACCGTTTTCACAAGGTTTGACTGGCGCTCAGTTATATAAGTCATCTTGTTGCGCCCTCTTCTTCTCCAATTGTGAAATGTCACCCATCTCGATGATTGGAGCCACCTACTGTTTATCTTGATGTAAAGGGAACGAGCATTCATTCAAAGTTTGTTTTGTAGAGTTCTTGAAATTCGGTTACAGTTTCCAATTTCCACCTTGAGTGCACCATGATGAATACATTCGAGGTGTCATGTCTTGCACCTCTCTGTGACAATAGGCTTCTGCCGTACAGTGTGACCATTCAGAGCAGCTGGTCGTCAGACAACACTTTGTACAAACTACTCTGTTTGAAGCATACTGAGGCCTTTAACCAGCCAATCAAGCTCCTAGTCTGTATAAACGAACCAATCAGCCAGTGAGCTCCACAGGAAGCTCCCGGCTGCACAGCGCCTCCCACTGGCGAGCGAGGAGCGATATCAGCCTCTCTCTGCTGTCGGCTCCCGGGACAAAGACGCACCACTGGACCTCCCCCTCTGCGCCCCCACTGGCTCCGCCCCCTCTGGAGAGGGCCCCTTCCTCTCCGGCGGCGAAGTGGTCCATGGTGAGGTGGCAGAGCAGGTCAGGGCCAGGCAGGTCATCGAACACCAGGGTCAGAGCCTGAGGGTATGTCTGGTACCCCAACAGGACCCGGTCCAAGTCCCGGATCCTCCGAGCCTCACGCAGCTGGTACCGCTCCCTGCAGGAGGACATGACGAGGATGACTACTACCATCATGTCAACAAGCTTACGTAATGTGTCAACAGCCTCGTGTGGCTGTATTTTAGGTAATCAGATTTGTGTGTGTGTGTGTGTGTGTGTGTGTGTGTGTTTGTTTTTTAATATTCAAAATTGAAGAAATGGCTTGGCACACAACAAAAGCAGCTCTGGACCAAGAAAAAAAAAAGCTCTTTTTAAACATTTTCTGCAAGTGGAATGGGAAGCAGAGCGTTGTGCAGCTGCTTCATCATGATGTGACACCACTCATGAACATGAAGAAGTCTTTATGAATGTTTATGACTGTTGTCATTAATTGCCATTTGGTCAATTATGTCTTTTTTAGTGCCAAGTTGACATTGAGATGTCTTTGACATTAACCAAGACAGCATAACGTGTCATAAACATGCCATAGCAGGATGATTTATCTGAAGAAACCATTTTGGCTTTAACATTAAATTATACTATCATACTGTGTGTGGTTAGTTTTGACATGGGCTGTCGTGACACCATTTTAATTGTGTCATGAAAGTTATATATTTTGGATTTGTCATAAAAGTTCTCATTAAGTTTATCATACTGTGAAATGCTTTTATAACTGTGTCATGAATACCGTTGATTCTTTCACATTGCCTGCATAAAACAACCAGCATCCGAGTGAATAATTATATACTTTTGACTTTTTATTTATTTTTTTAAAGATATTTCTGGGGCTTTTTTGTACCTTTATTAAGATAAGACAGTTGAAATACAGGAAATGTGGGAGAGAGAGGGGGGACGACATGCAGCAGAGCCACGGGTGGGACTTGAACCTGGGGCTGCTGCAGCAAGGACTCAGTCTTTGTATATAGGGCGCACGCTCTTGCGGTGACCTAACTAGTGCCCCGGGTACCTGAAACAATTTGTGAACACCATTGACACATCATGACCTTTTAAGTTGATATGTTGAAACAGTTAGCATCAACAGTTACGAAACAACATTTTCATTCATTTGGAGTTGTGTTTGTAGCCAACAGATGATTTAAAGTCCAATATTCACTCTCTTTTAGCTGTTTTTGGTCTCTACATTCTTCTGAGTGAAATGTCGGACTCTTTAGCTGCTGTGTTGTTGTTGTGATGTTAGCTATAGCAGCAGGAGAGTTATGAGTATTGCAGTCTGGAGCTGCTGTGCTGCTCTGGGACCGTCTCGTCCTCTAATGCTGGCTTTGCAGCAGCACATAGTGACAGTTTGCTAACCCACAACAACAAAATGTTAGTTATTACTTGCTGTGTCGTTGTTTGCTCTGTATCACGATATTTGTCATGGTATTAAAGAGGTGGTATTATGCTCATTTTCAGGTTCAAATCCTATTTAGGGGTTGTACCAGAACAGGTTTACATGGCTTAATTTTCAAAAAACACCATATTTTTTTGTCATACTGCACATTTCTGCAGCTCCTCTTTTCACCCTCTTTTCACCCTTTTGAACGCTTCGTTTCATCTATAGAGTGATGTGTCTTGTCTCTAAATGATCTTTGTTGGGAGTTGCACATGCGCATTTCCTAGTTAAGGACTACTTGCCAGTCAGAAGCAGAGAAGGGCGGATCAGTGAGAAGCTGGGAAACAGCTTTGGTTGCAGCTTGGCAACATAGACTGCAGCAAGAGTTTCAGAGTGATGAGTTATTAATCTGTAAGAAATGTATCTTTCATCCATAAAGTTTTAACTGAGCTCTGTCTATACATCACAGTAACAACTTTATGTCCATTGACTGCCTTCAGGGTAGCTGGTGTTTGGAAGGGAGAGGAGGTGTGTGCTGCAGTGCTCCACTGGTGTTTTTGAGGGCATGTCGGACTAGCCGCTTGGCGAGCGTTATATGAGGTGCATTTAGCTTTCATCCCTGTGTTGTCGACAAAACTGTCACTGCTTCTGTTTCAGGACCATATCTCTCAGGTGGATCTCTCAAGTGCTGTCGTTTGTTAAAAACTAGATCAAGAATTTCAAATGTTTTGTGTGTGAGGAATATATCAAGGGGCTGTTTTAGATCTGGTTCATATTTTCATCCTGTAATAGATCCACCCATATCTGATCAGTGAATAAAATAAGTCATGTTTCGTGCTCATTAATAGCGGTTTCCCTAGTTGGAAAAACTACTGAGCAAATCAGAGCTTTGTAGGTAAGATCATGAATGAGGACATCAGCTTACTTTGCCAGAGCCAGACAATTCTCACTAAAATGTGGATGAAATGCTGTACATGTTGTTAGAAGTCGACTTACAGAATTAACAACTCCACACATTTTTTGATGACTAAGAAATATGCTCCAAATGCTCCACTCTAATGAAAATAACTTCAACGGGACAGATACGTCAGTCACCACTGATTGGTTAGAGCTTATTAATCCCCCTACCAAAAAGAACATGAACACAAAGTCAGAAGACAACACACCCCGGCAGCTGCTGTGTCATTCATCATAAACTTAACATAAATTCATCATGGCTTTAAAATTTCATACAATAAGGCCCAAACAAAGAAGCGCTTAACGCAAAATAGGTTAATAACCTGAGGTTAGTAAACATGTTGAACTCAGCATTGGCCATCTAACGTTAGCGTGCTTTTTGCTTTAGCTACGACCTACCGGAGGTCAACTCCGACTGTCGTTCGTTACGAAAAGACGAATGACCGTTTATATACTTGCCAAACTTGTGGTGGTCGATTAACGTAATCATTTACTGGCTGGCTGCCATCACGTTAATTTTAACATTGGCTGCAAACAGGTTACAGTTTATTGTTGATCATGTAACGTTACAGTTTTATTTAGTCATACCGTTGCACTGGTTTGATAGTCTGGGGGATGTGTTGACTTACAGTAGTTTATAAGCGGCCATTAGTTGTAGACACATTAGGCTACATGGCTGTGCTCTGTGAAAAACAGGTTACAGGTTTATTGTTGATCATGTAACGTTACAGTTTTATTTAGTCATACCGTTGCACTGGTTTGATAGTCTGGGGGATGTGTTGACTTACAGTAGTTTATAAGCGGCCATTAGTTGTAGACACATTAGGCTACATGGCTGTGCTCTGTGAAAAACAGGTTACAGGTTTATTGTTGATCATGTAACATTGCAGTTTTAACATTAATTAATGTTACACTGGGTTTGAGAGGGTGTGTTGACTTACAGTAGGCTAGTTATTAAGCTGTTATTAAATGCATTGCACATTATATGGTTGTGCTCTGTATAATGTCACTGTGATGGCATCTTTTCATGCATTTATTTTTGTTACGGTCTAATAAATCAAAGGTTACAGTTACAGAATCCCATTTAGACTTGAGACTTGACTTGGACTCTAGCTCAAAGACTTGTGAGCATCTCTGGTATTAACAGTCAGTACTTAAGTGTTTAGACATCCCTTTGGATTATATCTCACACACTAAGCCCTGATCGATCAAAACATGTCTGTGAGTTGTTGGTGAGTTACTAGTGAGTCAGTAATAAAAGACATAGTCTCCTGTTCCTTTTCACAACGAAGGATTCAATGTTCCGCCTCTCTGCTTTCAGGCCTCTGTGAATTTTCAGCAGTTTCTCTGCCTCTTGTTTCCTGTGACACTGTCAGTATCTGTGACTGGTGGTCTACACATCACACATGGTACCTGGCCTGCCACTTAGTGTCTCCTCTTCTTCCTCTTTTTGTGCAGCAGACGAGCACCAACATGAAGGAACTGCTTTTTTAAATGTTTTTATTAATTTTTTTTTACTAATAATTTAATTATTACAAATTACAATATGTTTCACTGGTTTTATTGTATAATGTTTGTAGGCCGTGCCTCCCGAACCTGAGGTACGTCACTGTGAGTAATTCTGCTCTGAAAGTGACTCCCCTGGATAAAGACAGGTAAAGGTTTTGACATGTTGTGGTACAGGAGGGCAGGGCTTCCTGTGTTCTCACCTGGAGGGAGGCTCTTTGGCAAAGTCAGGCAGAGGATAACTGACGTAGTCCTCGTCCAATAGGAACACGTCGGTGCTGGTCAAGATCAAAGTCCTGGGCTGGAGTACAGGAGATGGAGCAGAGCCAGAAACAGAGGGGGAGTGACCTGAAAGAGCAGAGCCCTGGCTGGGCAGGCTGCTGGATATCTGGACCTGGATGAAAGGAATAATAATAATAATAATAATAGAGTTTTAAAAAACTAACCTAAACAGAAGAAAAGACTGGAAATATAAAATCAAGGCAAACCAGCTAAGAAATCATCACTACATACATGGGTTTATAAACCTGCAATAGCTGATTTTTTTGCCACTTGGGGTGGCGGAAAAAACACTGTGAACACATATTATCACCCCTTAAGTTGATACTGCCCATTCACACATTCAGATCATTTGGAGCAACATTATAATTTATTTTGTTGTGTTTGTGTCCATAATCTCTCTCATTTTAGCTCTGGTTTGGTCTCTAACACCCGAGAAAAGCATCAGGCTTCTTAGCTGCTAAACGTTACACTTTTTTTGCTTGTCGAGAAATCATTGACTTCCAGCACATCAAGTCCTGCTAAAATCACAAAAAAGGAAGTTCTTACCTGGAACACCAGCAGGTACAGCAGTACGTTGAAGGAGCGTGAGGACGAGGACGCTGCGCTGGCCAGAGTCTTCCTCTCTGCTACAATGAAGGTCAGGTCTCCCATTTCCTCCTCACTGGGATAAATAAATTTCACCATGCTGCTGTGGACCAGCTCGTAGTTCTGCATCTTACCTTTAGGGGGGAGACAAAATCCCATCTTAACACCAGTTCTGTAATTAAAATTAGGCTTTTTCACTCCAATTAAAGTCAGAAAACGTGTTAAAATTTTGCACAGATATAATAAGGGCTGATGAGGTCCATATATCAGGCAAAAGCATCAGTCAGGGACGGACTATAAGGCCGAATTTTTATTTTATTTTACTGAACCAATTTCAATGGCAATTTTTAAATAGAAGGTGTGCTTTTCTGGATATTACTTTTAATAGGTGGAGTCATGTTAGTATTTGAGGACTAGATATTGTTCTCTCTCTGGTCCCCGTGTCAGAGCAAGCCTGCTATGTTCAGAGAGTGTAGCATTATGGGTTGCTTGTAGCCTTAATGTTGCTAGGTTAGCAGATTTCTTCACGTCCGATTCTCAAACTTTTTCACATCAAGGACCCCTTAACTGACACAAATTATACTATGGACCCCAATTTAACAAGATTTTGTGCTATGATCTCCTATCTGAAAGCTTTTAGATGTTTTATTACAGAAAGTGTATGAAACCCATGACCCAAAAAGTCATTTGTGTTACTTGATGGAATTATAGTGAAAATAAATGATTCCCCATTGTTCTGGGGATGTTAAAACAGCACTTGAAAGTAAACATGCTTGTTTAGCATTGTTTATTGACCTGACCAACGCATTTGGCCCTGTTTTGTCTGATGCGGTCACACTGAACAAGGGGGTCCCACAAGGCTCTATTTTAAGGCCCTTGTTCCTTTTAATCTATATTAATCAAATCTGTGATCATCTTAAATTCTCCTCGTACCATATGTGTGCAGATGATACAATTCTATATTCGTCAGCGCCCTCTCTAGATGCAGTACAATCACCTTACAAAATGCTCTTCGTGATTCAAAATGAGTTCTGAATGCTAGCAAAACCAAAGTTATGTTGTTTTCTCATAATTCTGCTGTAACCATTCCTCCTATTAAAACTCTGGATGGTGATACCATAGAAGTCGTAGACACATACAAATATCTTGGTATTTGGCTGGATAAAGACCTTAATTTTAAACATCACATTACATATTTGATAAAAAAGCTCAAATTTACTCTAGATTTTTTTTGTTTAGATTGAAAACATGCTTTTCTTTTTCTTCCCGTAAGCGGCTTGTAACAAGTTTTTTTTTTAATCACAGCTGGACTACGGAGACACCATTTATAGATTTGCTTGTCCCACTACCTCAACTAAACTGGACCCCATTTACCATGCTGCTTTGAGGTATATAACAGGTTCACAGGTTCAACAGGTATAGGACTCACCATTGTACTTTATATACCAGAAAAATGAGTCTGTTCTATTTTGGCCTACGGTCTTGGAATGATTGTTGGAGTCTCTTATTCCTGTATCCAGTTTTAAACAAAAACTGTAAGAGGTTTTAAACACATCTTGCACCTGTAACATTTAGTCAAATTATGACATTTAAATTTCATTGTGCTTTTATGTTTTTTTTATCTTATACTTAGTTGTAAATAATTTAATAATACTGTTACTCTTATGAATAATGTTGCTGTACATGCAATGCCTTGTTTGCACCTTGCACTTTGTGCTGTTTCACATCTTGGCCAGGACATCCTTGTAAAAGAGATTAAAAATCTCAATGGATTTCTTTCCTGGTAAAATAAAGGTTAAATTAAAAATAAATTAGGCATTTTTATCCGGTAAACAGACATCTTTTATTTTGTGTGCAAGCCATGTGACCTGCCGAGAATGTTATATATAATTGTAGAGGGAAGTGTGTCGTATGGATGACCACTGACCAATCGAGTTGTTCAGGTAGGAATTGATCCCAAAACAAATACTAAATTCCCTCTGTGTGACCTAGTCCCCGCAGGGTTACCTGTGTTTGTGCTGGTGAACTGGGAGTAGAAGTCCTGATCTGATGGCTCTGGAGGAGGAAGCTGTTGCTGCAGACTGAGAGCCGACATCAGCTCCCGAAGAAAGATGCTCGTCCCATAACTGTCCCTGCTGAGACAGCACACGATGTGATCGGGCGAACGACCTGCAAACACACAGAAAGAGAAAGAATGAGAGAGAGAGAAAGGATCCATGGACAGGTAAGAGGGTGAGAGTTAAGCAGCAGTTTGGTATAGATTTGTATGACCTCTGCAAACACTGGAGATAAGTGTGTACATCCACTGACCTACAACTCTGAAGTACTGGTCAAACAGTCCCACATTGACAGACAGCAGCTCAGACAGTCTGATGGACAGACAGCAGCACAGACGAACGTCCGGATCTCCAGAGTCCATTATGTCCAAAACTGAGAGACAGAAAGTAAATCGACTAAAAAAAATATTTTACAAAACTGAAAGTCTACAGACACACTTGTGCCTCTCTGAGTCTGTAATGTTCACAACACACCAGCAAACAAACTGTTATATGACTTAATGAGAAACTGCTTCTGTTCACTGACCCATGACATTTTATTTTGATCCTCATTAACATGGGGAAAATAACAACAAAGATTTCATGTGATTATGGAAATCAAAGTAAGTGAGAATAATATTACATACACTATATGCATATACTGTACATATATACATACTGTAAATGCATTTGTTACCTAAATCTTAAAAAGACTTATTTTCTTTGCGTTTCTATACATTACTGCTCCTGGGTGCTCTGCTTGGTCACATTAAAACCAGGATCAATCCTGATTCTAACATTTTAGTAAAAGCTATAATAAATAGCAAGGGGAGCCGCAGCGGGTATTAAAACAGCTGTGACTAACATTATATTATGTGATTTTAAATGCAATCTTTTCTCACTCTGACTGAACCAATTTGTGTCAGTTCATCGTACCTGAGTGATGACCGAGTGTGGAGGCGGAGTCTTCCAACAGAAAGTAGATTGTATCAGTGGAGAGCAGCAGACAGCAGGTGAGCTCAGACTCTGGAGACTTGTAGAGAACCACAGACAGCCACAAGACCTGTCTCACCTCCTCCGCCTCAGACTGATGATCAGTGGGACAAAAAAGTAAAAAAAAACCCAATGTTGAGTTGGAATAAGAAAAAAACAAAAAGACAGAACACAAGAATTGCAAAATGTCTTTCTGACCATGAACACTGCCCTAAGAGCTTTGGGATCTTTTTGCTTTGCTTTGTTTCCTGATATTCTAGAGACAAAACAATTAATCAATGAATTGATAAAATGATACGTATGTAAATAGGTAATAGGGCTGGCCATAATTATTATCACAATAAAAAAAGTTGATTGATCAGTCGATTTTGATAATTATCACAACATCAAATCATTATTTCTTTCGAGTAAAAGTTGAAGAAACCAGACGGTTAATTGTGGTTTTAAACTATATTCTTTATGGTCAGAACATGAGACAAATCACTTCACAAATCTGAGGTAAAACACATGATAAAATCTTTTTTCAAAAAATCTTAATTGAAAAATTAAATGCCAATTCATTTGTGACTAATTAATTATTATCATCATCAATTTATCTCCCAGCCCTAATAGATAATGAAAATAATCATTTGTTGCAGCCCTACAATAATTAAAATCTAAAATAGCTATTTTTCCTTTGGCGATTTTGCTCTAAAACAAAGTGCATTTGGTCCATGGCAAACACCTCCTCTGAGACAAAGAGTACAGAGCATAGGAAAGCAAGTGTCTGTTTGTCCTACCACTGCTATGTATCTGCGGAAGAAGGCCAGCAGTTGCTGTTCTCCGAGCCCAGCCAGGAGCTTCAGAGCTGGGGAGAGACCAGGGGTGAGGTGGGGGGACGGCTGGTTCTCCTCCACCTGGAGACGGGAGGAGTCCCAGCTGAAGAGGAGGAGGGAGGAGAAGAGAGAAGTGAGGCATCTCTCATGATCTTTACAGAGAGGCGGTGGGAAAAGATGATGACACACTGTGCTACCTGGTGTTTATTGAATGATGCACAGAAAAATAAAACCATGCAGAGAAAACAAATTAGATCATGATCAGGATTTGTTTTTAATGTACAGACGAGTTGTGTCCTTGTTAGAGAAGTATGTGTAACTCTACACAATTAATTATTCTTGCAACTTCCTGTGATGCGAATCCAGACAGAAGAAGTACAGGTACAGGAGCCAAGATGTGCCGATTCAGGGAGCAAATGTGCTAAAATGGCTGCTTTTCTGGGGAGTTTACACTGGGAGATAGGACGGTGGCACACGTGTACATTTGATGACACATGCCATATGCTGCCAATTAAAGATGCCAGAGTATCGTTTGTGAAAGTCTGGAGTTAATGTGATGTACATTTCTAGTAGTACAGATTAGAAGTCTTCACAGGCCAAAGGTTTTCTGTACAGAATGTTACTGCATCTACAGAATCAATTAAGCTGTGAGAGGAAGTTCTGGCTCTTCATTGCCGATTTTCAAGTTGGACAATCAAGGAAGCACTACAGTCCCAAAATGCAACATCTTTCTAATAAAGGCAGGAATGTGTCTGTGTGTGTGTCTGTGTCTTTCGATTATCTCAAGAAATGTTCATCCAATGGACTTCACACAAGGCGGGTGTGTTGCTGTGAACCTGAGGGAGTGCATGGTAACGTTTGGTGCAATGTGGACACAAGACTCATTCAGAATTAATAAATATTTTAGAGAACTGCGCAGAGAGGAGTGGCTCGTATGGGCGGAGCTGATGTAGCTCCGCTGTGCAGCAGCGAGGGGACAGCAGAGCAAAGCAGCTTGCGCAGGCGGGGCTTATATGCACTAGAATTTATAAACTTTGAATTAACTACTGTACAGCACAAGTCGCTCTGCTCTGCAACAGCGAGAGCAAGATAAGCTCTCAAGGACGAGGCTTACATGCTCCAATGTGGTAGTGGTTTGTTGAAATGGAGTTACGGTCATCACGCAGGTTTGATTTATGTTAGAAAAGAATGTGTTAAAACAGAGTTATAAGAGTGTTATGAAGTTCTAAGGAAATACTAAATATCTAGGAGTATCTCCGCCATTCTCGTGTTGTTTCAGTGATATTAATGCTGTAGGTGACACCAATGTCAGACGCGCATTTTGAACAACCCACCCACCATAGTCTCTCCAAATCCTGTGGGAAACACTGAGTAAAAAGCACATTTTGAGTATTTAATTTATGGAATGCTAAAAAAAAAAAAAATGGAAAAAATGTGAAAAACTGTGTTCGGGAAAGTTTTTCATTATATTCTATTTTGGCTTCAGCCAATAATTTTCATTTTGGTGCATCCCTACTTGTCAGTGACCTTAGTGGACAAACTATGTAATGGAGGCACTGTTTCTATATGACCTCAAACATATCACTGATGTTCCTGATAACTTGTCACCCAACATAAAGCTATTGCAGCTTCAGTGACGTCCATCAGCATTTACATTCACTGATAAAGAAATGAGTGCTCTGTGTTATAAACTGTATGGTCTTAATCAAAGTAAAAGTATGATATTACAATGCAGCTGTAAATGCAGGCACAAGAACAGGAATAATTCTGCAGTTATGTGGAGTAACTAAGTAATCTATGTTGGACTAAAGAGAAGTGCTTCTGAAGTCTACCTGCTGGTGCTGTGTGATTTCCTGGAACTGGTACAACAGCACTGGTCTCTGGATCTGTAACAGCCTGAGAACACAACAACAAGGAGGTGTCAAACAAACCGTGTCAAAAAAAAAGTGTCAAACTAAACAAACCCATCAGCCTGAAAAAATTCCCTTCTTGGTCTGAGTGTATGAGCTGGTCTTCACCTTCTGTGTGTTGCCCTTGGTGTGGACAGGGCGTGCAGGGCCAGGGCAGGGCAACCATCTTCAGCCCCTCTAGAGAGGCTCTCCGCTGACTCAGCTCACCTAGGAAGGAGCTCCTGTCCTGGGCCAGAGGGAAAATCAGCAGCAGCCTCTGACCGCCCAGCAGCAGCTCCACAGTGTGACTCCTCCTGGACACAACATGATGGTTCAAATACAGATGCAAGGACAACATCCTGTTTCACAAAGACATGGGATTCATTTTTGTGTGCCACTGGAATAATAGTCTTTTACAGTTTCATTTTATTAATCAGTAAACCTGATCAAATAAAAAAAAACAAGTAGAAATTGATTAAACAGATGTGTATGTTAATGATACACTAATAAAATCAAAGTTAAGTCAGCACAGTATGGAAAATGTAAGTGTTAAAGCAGGAGACAAATGAATTGTGAAATATGACAGAAGGGCAAGATATGGGCACTGATCTCCTGATTCTCCTTTTTTTTGATTCTATTTCATTCCTAATGATCAGATTAGATAACTATCAATATTATATAAAGCATTTATCAGAACTTATTCTGAAAACTTAAATTTCTCCTTACTCCAAAAGTAAGAAAAAAAGATTGTTTTCCTTAAGGGTAAAACATGAACATTATCTACACTCAAATACTTAAAGTATGTAAAAATCATACTACGTATCACTCATTATACTACTTACTATACACTACTTAGCTAGAAAAAACGACCAAACGGAGATATACATACATCCTGTTTTCAGTTTATTTGGTTCTGTAAAATTTCCTGCAGACACACAAGTACTTTCAAATGTATAAACTTTAAAAAATATATAAGTATGAAACTCCATAAAGTGCATTCATAATTATATGTTTGGCTACAATTACAGCCTCTGTACCTGTGGTGGTGTTTTGGTTCGGGGCAAGAGGTGTTGCTGGTTCTGTCGCCAGCCTCAGAAGCGCTCTCTCTGGGGTGAAGCACCACGGAGCCGAGGGGTACACGGACCAGCCTGCACCAGGAGGACGAGGAGGAGTGATAAAGGTCAGCACAACTCCTCTCTCTTTCTGCCAGCTCTCTGAAGTCCATCTTCAACACCCAGAGGTGTCTGTGGGTGAGAAAGAGGAGAGAAGGGAGGCTGGGCTCCTCGCTCTTGGACAAGATGCCTGACAGGAGGGGGTGAGTGTCCGGGGCAGAGGAGGAAGAGGAGGAGATAAAGAGATGGGCAGGGTAGCCTCCCTGTGCTCCCTGGCACTCCTCCAGCTCCCAGGAGTTGATGAGCGAGTGTGGGAGGAGCTGAGGAGAGTTTGGGGGCTCTAGGTCAGTCTGAAACCCCGCTGCCTGGAAAAACAAATGAGAAGGTTTTTGTTTTTAAGGTGCTGGCACAGTGACAGAAACACTTCAGCCTGATTCAGGATGCGCCACACATTTATGAATCTCAAATTACAGACCAAAGGTAGTTTAAGAGTTTATTTTATTATTCAGAAGCCAAAGATGAAGGAAATACTTGCTAATGTACTCTGAAAAACTGAAAAACTATCGACAGTAAAGGAAAACTGAGCAGAAGCTGTCCTTTAATGGCTCTAAATAGCTCATGTGATGCTCTCTGACCTGGATCAGCAATGTCAGCTCGGTCCTGGTCTGCCAGAGCTCCTTAGCCTCGGAGAAGATGTACCAGCGGGTCGGATCTCCTTGGTGGCCAAAAGCAAGGCAGGAGTCAGGGAGCTCAGCTCGGGAGGAGAGCAGGAGTTGAGAGTACGGCAGCAGGAGGTCCACCTGCAGGCTAGACAGCACCTCCTTCACAGGCGGACTCTGCTCCTGGTCTGAGAAGAAGAGGAGAACAGATCGCTCTTAATATTTTACCATGCAGCAAAATCATTTCTACACAACAAGTGTTCAGCACATCATGTTCTTTACTGTATATTTGGGCTGCAACTAACATTTTATTCATTCATTACCGATTCATCTTCTCATCATTTTATAGATTAATGGATTGATTGTTGATCTATAAAAGTGTTAATTGTTCAGTTATCTCTTGGTTTCTGTCAAAGATGTCAAAAAATATTTTTCAATATTTATTTATACAAATTGTTCTCTTTTCTTTGTGGGGTATAACTTTACATAAACTTGTCAAATGTGATTTGGGCCCGTTAGCTTGTGATAGTATCTATCAAAGCAGCAATGTGGTGTGAGCAGTATGTTTGGATATCAATATGTTGTTGGTATTTCCAAACGGAATGTGTTAAGGTCTAATTTATGGTTTTCTTCCTCCTCCTCCTCAGGCAGGGAGTTGTGGGTGTAGACTAGCAATCACATCATAATCAACATGTTCCCTTACATATTTCACTTCTGACCAAAAAAGTTAACTATGTTGTTTTCAGAACACTGAGATCTCTTTCGTCCGCAAGCCTATCTCATGAAGAATGATTAGTTAACTGGATGACTACCACCTTAAGATATGTTCGTAGTTTTACACAAGAAAGTTTTCCAGCTAACATATTACTCCTGCTACAAGAACTCAGATTAATTAATTCAATACAAAACTCAATTCATATAACAAATATGAAAAACAAGATCTGCAACCACAGTTTCCATATTTCATAAACAAAAACAATGTTTCATAAACAAAGTTTAACTGAGGCTGATTGTGTGCTGACCTGTGTCCAGGCTGGTCCATGTGAAACCCTCTGATAGGTACAGCAGGCCCAACAGCCGGTCCGTCAGCACCAGACACACATCTTTCTGCTCCACCTCCTCCTTCACCTGAAGACAGTAGCACCACAGAACCCTGTTGACCCGTACCTCCTCCTCTGCCTCCTCCTCCTCTTCCTCCTGACATAGCCCCCCCTGGTGGCCACCGGGCTCCTCTGCAGGAGGAGCAGCGAGCAACGTAGAGGAGGAGCAGACCGACTCCTCCACAGAGTCATCCAGACCCATCTCAAAGTATCCATCCCTGGAGCCGGGACTGGAATAATGAGCATACAACAGTGGATGAAGCAAGAATTATCACTTTGTACTTTTTGTTCATTTAAATGTTTTAACACTGTGATTTTACACAAAATAGAAACTTGCATCTCATTGGACACAGCCCTATAGTGCAAAATGCAAATATATCTTCTCAAAAACTATATATCCCAAAAATCTGTGTGAATTTGAAGGAAACCAGTCAGAATCCTAGAAACCAGGGGGACCTTCAGGAAATCAGTTTAAGGAATTTTAAGAATCAATCTGAATTTTAGGGAATCCACAAACCAGTGAGAATTTTTAGGAATCTTAGAAACCACTAGGAATCCCACAAACTCACACGCACTTATAAGTATCACAGAAACCAGTGGGAATCCTTGAGGAACTGCTGAACCCAGCACAAAGTACAAGGAATCCCACAATATTAGGGGATCTCAGACAACACTTCGAAATTTTAGGGCTCTCAGAAACCACTCGAAATCCCAGAAATCAAGGGCAACTTTAGGGGATCCCACAAACACAAAAAACAAGAAACCATTGGGGATCTTAGGGGGTTTCATAAACCATATATAATGTTTATGAACAGGAATATCTATAAGTTCCAGAAAAAAGCAGGAACCCTAGAAGATCCCAAAAACCATAGGAAACTTACAGGAATGTCAGAAACCAGTGCAAACTTCTAGGATTCTCAGAAAACACTTTTCTGAATTTTAAGGGACCTCAGAACATCTTAAAATCTGCTGCAACTTTCTCAGGAACCACTGTGAACCCGTGGAACCAGACAGCCCTTTGGGGAATCTCAGAAATCAGACAGAATTTAAGGAGATCTGAAAAACCAATGTGAATCCCAAAAAACAGTTTAAATTTAAGAAACCAGCAAGAGAAGGTTTCTGGTTAAATTACCTGGGACTTCCCACCTCGGTGCGCTCCACATGGGACTGATCCTCTCTGGATTCAGATCTCTTCTCTTCCTCCCTCTCCTCCTCCATCTCTTCTTCCTCCTTCTTCCTCTTCTGCTCCTTCAGGGTGGAGCTGAGACAATGGCAGAGCTGCGTAATGAAATCTTTGTTGGAGGAGGAGAAGGAGAGCAGGTGAGAAGGAAGAAGAGGACAGCATGCTGCGATGCAGGAGGAGCAAGTGGTTTCAACTGGTCTGGAGTAGGAAGAGGAGCAGACACAACTGCAGGAGAGAGAGACGGGGAAGGAGATTTTATTTCGGTCCGTGATGTCAAGAAACACCTGTTCAAATATGACATAACATCATTCAGTCCCTTCAGTTGACCTATCAGCTCATTTTACTTTCATAAACACCCCTGCTGTTATTTAACCAACTTTACCACAGGTATCTTCAATAAAAACAGAGCATGAGATATTTGGGAGTAACACAGTAACAGTTGTGTTAACGGTGCTGACTTGTCCTGATGCTGTACCTCCAGCTGGACATACTGAACTACACCTGCCTCCATCTTGACTTCCTGCAGATCCTGTTAGCAGAAGAGAGAGGCCTGAAGGACAAGACAGTATTGCCTGATTATTATAAATAAAGTAACTAAAGTAGCTGTAATGCTCTAGTATTTGTATGTGTAGTAACATTTTCAGCTGCAGTAGTAAAACATAAGAGGAGTAGCAGCAGTAATTGCAGAACTGTTTGCTGATTGGACCAGTAAACAGCTGGTGTTTATTGAATTGCTGACAGTATAGAGACAGACAAAATAAATGGAGAGAGAGGGGAAAGACATGCAATACTGAGCCCAGCAGTAATCGAACCGGTGACGTTGAGGTGACATGGTGTATGTCTTAAACACGCAGCAATCAGGATGACCCCAGGTAATACAATTACTAGCATTATATTTGGTCTTAAAGTTAAAGTAATAATAAAATTAAATCAAATAAATAAAAAATAATTGGCTTAACAGCAGCTAAATTCATTTTATACAGTATACATTTTCAAATAGTTTCCGGGGTCTTTATGAACCTCAACAGAGAAAAAGCTTTGTTTGAGACATGCCTTTATTTCTGACTAATTTCATGGTTTAAGAGGTATATTTGATCATAATTCAAAAAGAAGCCTCCATATTTTCTGGTTGGCTCCCGTTTTAAATTCAAACTGAACCCATTGTCCATTTTTACCTGTTGTCTTGATTAACTCGGTAATGTGCATGATGCCAATAGAGTCATGTCATTCTCACCACTCTGCTGTTCTCAGTTTATCATTTTACCCCAAATACGTTCGTTCACTCTCAATTTTCGGTAACCTTTACTAGTTGTTAATGCATATTATGGTTGTATCACTGTTATTTGACACTGACCAGACAGTAATAGTAGGAGTCGTAGAAGTAGTAGTAAGAGTAAGACTTGCAGAAGCTCCACATTGTGCGTGTTCAGACAGACTGACAGCAGGTTGTTGTACCTGCAGACAAACAAATGAAGCAACATTAGAGCTCAGCTAAAACCAAATACCTCTTACTCATCTGTACTTAAGCACAGCCATGCTTTGAGCCAAATGCTAATATTAGCAAGCAAACTTGCACACAATGACTATGTTGACACACTTTATCGGGTTACACTGATCATATTTACCATGTTAGTATAACATATTTGCGTGCCAACGGTTAACACAAAGTACAGTTCCACTAGCCTACAGAGGCTATTTGATCATTCATGAAAATATTTGAGCTGCTGATGGTGCTAGATGAAAAGACAGAGGATCACCAAAGTTACAATTCATCCTGAGAGGACCATGAATGTCTGTACCATATTCCACAATAATTAATCCAATATTTCTCTCTCTTGTTTTACTCTGGACTAGGGCTGAACAAGGAATCGAAACTGTATTGAAATCACAATATGGCACACTGCAATTTTTCATATCGCAGAAAGTGCAATTTTTGTTTGCAAAGGCAAAATGTGTGTCAAAAACCATTTTACTTGTCGTACTGCAGAGACGTCCTGGCCTACACATCATATTCTCAAGACGGATGTTCTCCAAATATCTTTGTTAGGTACAGATCTTTGCAATAATCCCAGCATAATCATTTAAAATATGTTTTTCAATGAAATTGATTCCCTCCAATATTGCAAATCAAATCGCAATTGCAATATCAGTAAAAAAATAATAGCAATTAGATATTTTTTCAAAATCGTTCAGCCCTACTCTGGATTAAAGTGCAAACTAAAATGCAGCTTTGTTGCAAGAAAATCCTCATCTACAAAAAAACCCTAATCTGTAAAGCAAAACATTTTCAGGAACAGATAACAGTTTTTTTTAATAAGAATGTTTTGGAAATTACTATCTTGTCAATATTTTCAGACATCACTATGTTTTTATATTTTTGAATCACGACATTTTGTTTAATGACACACTGTTAGACTCCCAATCTATACAATCAGTTGATGATTTTTTTTTGTCATATAAGTCCTCTTTACATTAAATGGTACAGTCCTTGCCTCTCCACCCCTCCCATCCAATCAAACTGCCGTTCCTCCCAACTGATAGCTGATTGGTTGTCATAATAACAGACCCCACCCCTCCCTGGTGTTTCAGGTGTCTCTCTCACCTGTGCCATCTCAGCAGACAGGAGGTGTGTACTTGGGTTAAAGCTTGTGGGGGGAGGTGCAGCGTCCACAGGGGGGAGAACAGTGGGGGGAACTGCGGCTTCTTCTGTGCTCGTCACTTCTGCAACAGGAAACCAAACAGATCAGTGACGCCGATGGTGAGGAGCACACTGCACATTTTGACTGATGTGACACTGTTAAAGTGCTGATGTCTTTATTTTTTGGATGGATTCTCCCACAACTTGACATCTTTCAAATATGACTTTCTGTGCAGAATAATTAGATTAGATAATTCAGAAAGTTTTGATTAAATTAAACTCAATTGTGCTCAGAACATGCAGCAATGATTTGATGGCTCTAGCTTCTTTAATATGAATATTTTATGCTTTTCCTTGCCTTAACATTAGTTAATTAAATATCTTTGGGTTTTTGACTGTTGGTTGGGCAAAACAAGACAATTTAAAACAACACCTTTGTGGTTTAATTGTGATGGGCATTTTTCACAGTATAATACACAAAACAATTAATGAATTAACTGAAAAAATAATCAGCAGATTAGCCAATTATGAAAATGAGTTAGCAGCAACCTACATGAAGGGCTTGTAAATTATCAACAAAGGCTGCTTTGAGCTTCAGTTGTTGTGTGCAGAGTTTGATTGAATCAAATAAAAATGTCTAATTCATGAAAAAACAAACAAAAAAAACACAGCCACATAACAGTCAAGCCCTGTTTCACTGGATGGGCATAAAAAAAATACCAACATGCATTTGGTTCTTACTGTTTAGATTCATACATGCACACAGTATGCAGCCTGTACTGAGCCAGAACAAATATTAGTCTCACAGTCGGAGGTTAGTGAGCATTAGCAGGGAGTTGCACAACCCCCAGCCAAACATTAACCACGGATATTCACTAGTTATTCTCATGTCATGCTCCACCAGCTGTTTATAAATCCATCACTCAGTCTTTATGTGAAGTTCAAACTGCTCAGAAATAACCAGTCAGTGCTCTTTGGTGGACAAACTATGTAATGGAGAAACTGTTTCTAAATTACATCAAATATATTTTTGATATTTCTGTACTCTTTTCCTATTTAATTATCAAACCACATAGTCAATAACGATACACCTGTGATACGATAATATCTGATTTGCAGGTGTATTGGTGGGGCTTCAGTCAGTTGTAACAGCAGCTTGTATTCTGATAATCAGACTAAATGTTAATTTATTTCTTCATTCTTTAGTCTGACATGGTGATTGTGTTAGTTCTGTTTGAGTGGGGGCTTAACCAATCAACAGAGACTGATGTAATTGTCCTATCAATGTAATTTTCAGTCGCCAAAGAAGGTGTAGTAGCAGTTGCTAGGAACATTCAACTTAATGTTGTTTGAAGTAACATGTTGAATTTAGAATTGTTAGTTGACTTACAACACTTTGTACAGCTGCAAACATCTAATCCATTACATACATTTTTGTGGCATTTTTACAGGTTCAATGTTTCTGAAGCAGGCTATTCTAATAGTTGGTTGGTGTACATATAATTATGGGTTAAGTTTAAATGTAAGAATTGATGAGGCTGGTGCAACATTTGTGTTATAAGGCAGAGTTTGAGCTCATGAACAGCTGAAGCAACAAGTAGGCAACTAATCACACATTTTAAAGTTATAAACAGACAGTGAAATAAGCTATTTTCTGAGCAGGAAGCAGTGTCTACAACAGGAAATATAAAAGCAGAGGAGATTTGGTTTAAAGACTAAAACAAGACACTCAGGAGGGACAGCAGCAGGTTAGCTTCAGCTTCATCCAACCTGATGAAGGATTTATGATTTCTTCACAGCAGCAGACTGACTTTTCACATGTAAATGGTTTCTGATTAAATTACATCTCTGAGGAACATTTTGATGATACAAATCGCAAAAGAGTCCAACATACTGTAAGTAACCAGACACAGAGTATCACATGACTGCGATGGAAAAAGCATTTCAGTGAAGCCTCTATTGTGTTAATCCTCATAATCTAAACAAAGGAGAGTTAAACCAAACGTTATCTTTACTGAAAGCAGCAACCAGACAGATTTGATGTTTTCATGTTTTTACCTTTCCGTTTCTACAACTGTTCAGAAAACAAACACACAATCTGAAATCTCTTTTGTTTTACTTTTGATGGAGCTAGGCCGGCATTTCCCCCTGCTTCCTGTGTTAGTGCTACACTGAGCTAAACACGTTCCACACACAATCTTCTGTAATTTGGTTTCCTGCAGGGTTTCTGCTTTAATAAAAAACATTAACCTTAAAGGGTAAAAAACAGAGGCACTATTTAACACAGAAAATGCCTTATATTTAATTAGTGGTGTTGCTACATGAGATAATGTGTCAGAATGTGGATGGCTTACTGCCTCAGCTTAACCATTCCCAGGAAAAAACCCTGATGTAGAAGTCATGAAGTGATTTATTGCACGTTTGGAATTAATTGTATATAGGTTTATTTGTTGTAGCACTTTTTTGGTAAGTCACGGGAATGTTCAACGCCAGTGGCAGAAAGAGGGTGAGTGAATGGGACACTGTATTTTTTGTTAACCGCGGTATTCTTTTTTGAGTTTTTGATCATTGTGATCAGTTTGAATATACGTTTTTCCACATTATATTAAGTTGCATATTTTTGTCAACAAAAAGCAATAGATTATATTTTTTTAGATCCGTGAATTATTTGTGCAGCGAGTCCGACAAACAGCACCACAAGGCCCTACCCTCAGCCTCTCAGTGACTACTTTGTTTTTGCTTTAAGTATAGTCGCTACACCTGATGAGAGAGATAATTACCATTTCCAAAAATGTTCTAGTATTCCTTTAACTGATCAACAGAAATGTTCAAAACTAGTTTTAAATATCAAAAAAATAGCTGGTTTCAGTTCCTGAATTGAAGAAATTGTCTATTCTCAAGTTTTTTGGGAATTTAAATGTAAATCAGTAAGTTTTTTTTGAGTTTTTCAAAACTTCCTTATTGTAAAATATATGTTAAAAATATACAAAAAAAAACAGTTAAGACAGATTAATAGATACAATATTTGAAAAATGGTCAGCTGCAGCTGTAGTTATAACATATCATATAGATATTAAAGCAGTCTTCAATCTTTCAGGATAGTAGCACAGAAACACAACGCTTGTCTTTTTGTTTTTCCTGTAGCGTTAAATTCACTGTGTAGGAATTTTTTGATAAATCAGTTGAAGTAATGAGATTCATTGGTAGGAACCAGCATGGGTGTGAATATGTAAGGATTTCTCCATGTGGTACCAAGCGCCTCTACATTTTACCATAATGTTTCGTGCCATTGCTTGTAAGTTGTGGCATTTTCTGATGTGCAAGTAATGAATTCATTAATTTGGTTTCAAAACAAACACTTTGATAAAATAGTTACTAGTTGCAGCCTCAGCGAGCGCAGTCAACTTTTGGGAATTGCCTGTTTTATATTCCAAAGAGCAGAGAAACATACCTGTCTGTCTGGCCACTGCCTTACAACAGAAATAAAAACCGCCGCCCCCCCTCCCTCCGCCCTGCACAGCCTGATACATACATGATTACCTTGGCTGGGGCAGGCAGCCTGCTGGGCCGAACAGGAAGAGGAGGAGGAGGAGGAAGAGGAGGAGGAGGTGACAGCAGGAGGAGTAACAGCAGAAGAGCAGCAGGAGGAAGAGGAGGGGGGAGAGGAGGGGGAGAGGTGAGGAGGTGCAGCAACAGACAGTCTGGTCTCCTCACTGATCTGACGAAAGGACAGAGAGGAGGAAGCCTTCAGAGAGCAGCAGTCACCCATATCATCAACCAGATCACATCCTACAACCTGCAACCAGCAGCTCCAGTCAGTTTTAAAGACATTTTCAGATGTCTGTTCAGAGACAGACCTGCTCCATTTATGAAAACAAATCAATGCAGTAGCACTAGTCTGCTACTGCTCTAGCTGTATAATTACAGTCTTTGTATGAGGTTGTGTGAAGTCAAAGAGCTAAATCTGTGTGCAGAGATTTTAAACATAACCTTCCGACACGTTTTGGAGTTTTCGTTTTAAACCTTTGACTGCATTTAACAGTTTCTTTATGCAGAACGACCCTGTAAACATCCGTTCAGGAAATATTATCTCACTGAATGAAAAGGTCTCTTCCTGTGTGGGTGTTGAGTCACTTTTAGTTTAAAACATTCTGCTTGAAAGCTGGACCAACATACAGCCTAATATTTTACCATGTATGACAGTCAAACTGTATGTACAACTATTTAATATTAAAGCTTGACACAATCTTTTATTTTTTACAAAAGCATGAGGACTCAGGCCTCTAAATATGGCTACGTTTATGTAAGAATAAAAACCTCACTGGTATGTAGAGATGCATTTCATCAATAATAAATAAAAGCCTAACTAAAGATAATCTAGCCACATTTTGATCTGTTGCTGTAGCCTTGTTCCACATCTCTGATTTGTTCAGTGATTCAAATCTTTGTCTCTGTAGGCGGTACTAAGAATGGGGGTATCATCTTTCTGTACAGGCTGTTTACAAGAAATATTTAACCGTCCTCCATAACCATAAAAGCACATGAAAGGGCCCTTTTTTCTGAAGGCTGGAAACCCTAACGGGATGCAAAACTATCAGTTTCTTCTGCAGGAGGAAAATGCTGGCCACAAATATTTTGAGATGTTCTCATGGCAGAAAAAATAGATCCACAAAATATGAGAATATACAAAACTATAGATGCTAACACAACATTGCAGCCTATGTTTAAACACACACCAATTTAGCTCAAGAACTTCACAGATGAGTTGACACTGGTGCATTTTTACAAGTTAGTAATTCCAAGTAAGATTACAACTCACCCACTTCAATCACCTGTTTTTATGCCCACACAACCGATTAATTGTTTGTATTTCATCTTAACTCTGCTGCTGATGTGCACAAAAAGGTCAACGTGTCTAGTCATTGGTGTTCAGCTGGAGTTGCTGCTCTGCAGGTTGCGACTCCAAACAACACAACAGCAGCTTGTCCCACTCAGGTAGTTAACAAAAACAGGCTGCTGTAGTGACAGACAGAGTTTGTTTTAACAACAGCTGACCAATCCTCAGGCTTCAGAGATCTGTTAATCTAGTAATTAACATATTTGGGTCACTAGTAGTCACATCTAATAGCTGGATTTTGTTTTGTGATGATTGGTCTATTATAAGGTTAGGATTATAACACCACTACAGCAGGTTTCAGGGTTAATTCATTTGGAAGTTATGAATATAAAGTACAACAAACAAAGATGTTACAGTAAAGAGTGGTTGAGCTCAAGATTGAACTCACATTACAGTTCAAAAGGTCAAAGTTTTAGTCAAATAATTTCCTCTGATGCTGACTGATTTAATATTTAATATTCAGTGTAAAATTCAGGTAAAATCATCTGATGTGATGTACAGAAAAGAACAGTCTAGTTTTAAGCTCTGCTGTCTCACAGTCCTATTTTATTATTTACACTGGATATATAAATGACACAATTATTTAAACTCTTAAGATTTTTGAACAATCTTTAAAGTGCAAACTGTATGTCAATATAAAAGACATAAATACTGACAATTTAACCACATAAACTGGTCTCAGAGGGTCTGATCCTGCCTCCTGTTGTATGATTCAGAGCGTACCTTCCTGTCGCCGCTGCTCATCCTGTCTTTGACTTCTTTGGCTTTCTGAATGGCTTTCAACACTTCCACTGTGTCCAGCTCCTTCTCTGTCGTCACTTTACAGTCCAGACACACCTGACAATGCAGAGACAAAGGACACAAAAACATGTCAACACACACAATTTAAAGAGGTCATATTACACTCATTTTATTGAGGGGTTGTACCAGAACAGGTTAACATGGTTTCATTTTCAAAAAACACCATATTTATGTCATACTGCACATTGCTGCAGCACCTCTTTTCACCCTGTGTGGTGAATTCTCCGTTTTAGCTATGGAGTGATGCATCTCACTTCTAAAAGATCTTTGTTGGGAGTTGCACATGCGCAGTTCCTAGTTAAGGACTACTAGCCAATCAGAAGCAGAGTAAGGCGGGCCCTGACAAGCTGGTAAACACGGCTTTGGTTGTGGGAAGTGGGAAGCTTCCGGTTTGAGACTAAATCCAATGCGGAAGTCCCTTAAACCTGTAATATATCGAACGGCCATCAGGGGGCGACTCTTCTGGTTGCAAAAAGAAGTCCAGCTCCATTAGAAATACTGGTAAAATGACTACTACCTCCTTCTCAGCTGATTTATTACCTCAGTAAACACTTTCCTAATCAGTTTATGGTCTCAATCGCTAGTTTCAAGTCTTCTTCAATACAACATGATGTTCGTTTAGTAAATTATGGTCCCATTTAGAGGAAAATAGACCCTAAAGCAGAGTATGCTTCAGGGCGGGATTATCTATGATTGACAAGTCGTTACCATGGCAACCTGTCAATCTGGCTAGAGTGACTCGTACCCACAGCACTGTTTAAATTTAATTTAAATTTAATTAGGAGCTATTCACTTTCTCTGGTGAGTACTGTTGTTCGCTAGACGAAATTGTCAGCCCTGTTAAAATGACAGTTAACGTGAATTACAGATGCACCTAGCTAAGCAAGCTAACTAGTAGTAGCAGTACAAGAAACAGTGTAAGCAAGAAAACCCTGCTTTAGGTGGTGTATATCTGCTGTAGTAGTACAGCAGTAATATGTAGAGTGTGGTGGTTTTGGTGGTGTACCTCTGCTGCTCGGTCTCCAAACTGGGCCAGGACTTTGGTTCTGTAGTCAGGGATGATGCACATGGGGTTACTGGACAGGTTGAGTTTCTCCAGACAGGGAAGAGAGCCGATGTTCCTGATCTCTTCCAACTGGCATAACACACAAGCCAAATCAACCTCCACTCCTGACTAGAGCTGAACGATTTTGGAAAAGAATCTAATTTAACCAATATTGCGATAACGATTTAATATGTAATTCATTTTTAAGCTCTTTACCTTCTGGTAAATCAGTGTATACTATGACCAACACAATATTAGATAGATTAAACATACACTGTTCTTTCTTGTGGGTCAGGCCTGTCTTTGATGAAATTAGATGATGCATGAATTACATGAATTATTATTATGAGCAATGGTGGAGAAGAAGTATCAAATTTTAATAACATAAGAAAGATAATTTGAGAGTCAAGTCATGTCATTAGCATATATTATACATTTTGTAAGGTATCATTTCTTGCATGTTTCACTTTTTTTTATGTACAAACTGTGCAGGAAGATTTTCAGTATGAATCTGTCACTTTGACCACTAGAGACCATCAGGACATCTGAGGTGTGATTACCTGGGCCAGCTGGTTGTGACTGAGGTCCAGGTTGACCAGAGAGTAAAGCTTGGTGAGTCCAGTCAGTTGGTCCAGCTGGTTACCGGCCAGGCTCAGGGTTTTAATGTTGCCCAGACGGGTGTGAGCAGCTTCCAGGACCCGCAGGCTGTTATAGGCCAGATCCACATGGACCAGATTGTACAGGTGCTGCAACCACAGGACATTTACCGTTAATGACAAACTACACATCTGTAGAGGTTTAGACACCATCTGACAGGACAAGCTGCCTGCTGCAGCAGCTGAACGTAAGTTGGATCCAAAGTTTGAGTGTAAAGTCAAAACTAACTGCTATGTACTATTCACAGAGGCATCTTTTCATTATACTTTACTAAGGTGAGTAAACAGATACCTGAACAGTTTCTGTGAGAAACCCTGAAATGGAGCTAACAGCAAATCCCATCTCAACTGAATGCAGCATAAAATCACACCATACCAGTAACAGTATCACAATACTGTGTGTGTTATTGTCATCATAAATATATAAAAGGGATGTAGAATTACACAGGAAATGTTCTCCTACTGTAAATATCAAATTAACTTCTCCTCCAGCTCTTCAATTATTAAGTCTCCCTCATATTTCTGTTCCTTCTGCCACGACAACAGTTAATAAGGAACAACTTCTACCTGCCTGGGAAGGTGTACATTTCAGGTTCAATCTTAACTCTATTGTAACTAACTTGTATGGTGCAACCGTTTTTTCCTAATTAAAGTGTAAGCCCTTCACTACGTTCAGTCTAAGCCACGTGTGAACTCACACATAGCTTCTGCAGCAGCCTGATGAGGCAGAAAGTGCTTCAGAAAGAAAAAGAACCTCATAGAACAGAAGTACAGAAATACTGAGTGTACCAACTGAAAGTGTATTGGGAACTAATATCAAGCGGAAATGTCAAACATTTTGTTGTGTCAGCATCTCTACTACTGCTGCATCTCTGTTTTTGTTTCACAGTAAACTGAATGGACAGAATGGTCAGACAAAAATAGTTGTGGACATTTTTCGCAATTTTCTGACATTTAACAGACCAATCAATTCATTTCTCTAAAACAAAAACATCATAATAATCAACAGTGAAAATAATTGTTAGTTGCAACCCCAGAAATGATACCGACACCAACATGAAGGACGACTGTCCTGACAGAGCTGATGTACCTGGAGGTTTTCCACTGTGGATAGCTGGTTGTAGCTCAGATCCAGAAACTCCACCTTAGGAATTAGTTTCTACAACAGAGAAAAACTCAGTGTTTAGCACACAGATGCTGATGTATGGAATATAAACATTGCTTTATTCACATACACAGCCCTTTATTTAGCCCGGTGAGACAGAGATGGTGATTTGCCTTAATCTCCTGATACAACAGCATGCTGACCTATCAGAGCCAACAGGTCTGTACTGAGTATTTGTTATTGATTATCTAAAGATATTAAACAAGAACACAAATTTATCTCCTGACACAACTGATTTGTATGTTACAAAAGATAACTTGCAATTTATATGTCTTAAAACTATATCTCTGTTATGGAGTTTTAGCTGACTTGGTTTGTCAAATTTTCCAAGTGACACCGCTAAGTTTTACAAATATGACGAATTTAGCATCATTATTTAATCATTAAATTATTAAAACAGCTTTTCAAGGTATAGAAAAGTTATTTTCACACATTTCCAGGATTTTCATGATGTGAACTTTAAAAATTAGTAATGCAAATCATTCCAAGAAATCATCAAAATCCGATTAACTTTTTCTACAAAGGTGGTGGATAGGAACAGGATTTCTTTTTTTGTTTTGTTAAACAAAAAAAAACAACAACATATAAAAACTGATAAATGACATCTGAAATATTGTGTGAAATGGAAAGACAGACTGACCAAGGTCAGTATACCGTGGGGAAAACAATTTAATAAGCACTGACACTGACTTTTAAACACTGTTATCAACTAAAGTTCACATTGTGTTTACGTTTGGCGGGCAAGTCTCACCACAGAGTTGTCAATGGTGCTGATGCAGTTGTGGCTCATGTCTAGTGTGGTCAGGTTTCTCCACGTGGGGATGACAGCGGTGACGGGACAGCCAGACTCCGCCCCCTCAGCCCCCTCCGCCTCCCACTGGGAGAACTCACTCGCTTCCGGCACCAGGATCGACTGAAGGACGCCAGAACCAACAGAGTACACGCATCAGTACACAACATACAAGACCATGCATGGACATGTATACTACAAAGTACTATTTAATCTAAACTGTCTCATCATATTCAAGAAAGGTTGAAATCAAGGGCAACTGGACTTGGTTGACGATACTTGAAGTCATTAATATCAGAGAAACTAACAAACACCACACCCCTGTGTTTTTTTAAACCCAAGAACAGACGAAGACAGATACCGGTCCACCCAAAATACCGCACACCCAAACAAAGAAAAGCAATCCAGTGTATGCCGTCCAATGCAGTGAGGAATGCACAGACCTGTTATTGGGAAACCAAGCAACTATTACACAAACGCATGGCTCAACACAGAAGAGTCAACCCCTCAACTCAGCAGTTTAAATACATATGAAGGATAAGCAACACTATTTCAATGACAACCATGTACATGTTTTGGACAGGAAGGACAGATGGACTGAAAGAAGCCATTTACACCAGAATAGAGACCATCACTGAACAGGAAAGGAGAGCTGAGACACCACTTAAACAACACTTACAATGCTGTCCTTTCATCTCCTCCCAGGACAATGAACAAATGCTCACATTTGGCCTCATTTGACAATGCCAACATCAGCCGTTCTGACTTGGCCTCACGTGACTCCAACAATGAACCAAGCGGTTCAACACTTCCAAGTGGTTAAAGAACTGAAGAAGCCCCGCGGATGAGAGGCGAAACGTCTTCAAGTATCTTCAACCAAGTCTGGTTGCTCTTGATTTCAACCTTCCTTGGACAACTATGACCTGGATGACTGAGAATCTTATGTACCATCATAGTTTCAGTGGAGTAGTGGATACTCAGAGTTGCCAGACTGGACCTCAGAGACGACAGACCTTGAATCTGCTCAGAGCTGCACTCACTGATCTGGAGACAGAGAGAAACAGACAGCCACAACCATTACAATCCATATTTTATTCCATCAGTGTGGTCCCATAAATACAGTTATAGGGACATACTCAAGAGAACATGACATGATTACATAATTAACTCAGCACCAGTACCTCAGAGACACTGTGGCATTTCATTGCTGCTGATCACCTTAGGTGGTATTTGTGTTTTCACAAAGAAATGAAGTTGTCTCCTCTGATAGCGTTTTTACAACGCATAGAAAGTGGAGTGACATCCAACAAGTAGTACAACTGTTACCAAAGTCTGTTTCCATCAGCCTGTCACATGTTCTCTTTATTTATTCAACAACCTTCAGCCTTTAATTCTGCTCGTCAGAGATACTAAACATGAGCTCACCTTTTCACAAACACATCAAATTATTAATGATAATGGACAACACAACACATTATGCAGTTAAAAATAATGTATTTTAAGAGGCTATTTAAGACAATCGCGTGTGGTATTTTTCTATGACAGCATGAGTTTGCCAGCAATAAAAAGTATTAATTATACATATTTTTGGGTAAATGCTCTTTAAAGAATGATGAGGCTGTGGTGTCAGAGCTATGTGGTAATTTAAAAATAAAAAATACATAAAGTTATATCAGAGTAATACCACTAATAGTCATACCCCTCCAGTGTAAAACACAGCAGAGACTGCATTTAATGACCTGAGGGGCCACAGATGTGCTCAGCAAAGAGATCCAATCACTGGTCTAATTATGTGGTTTAACAATCTAATTTTGAGCCAACACACACACACACACACACACACACACACACACACACACGTCGGTTCAGGTTGTGGCTTCGCTCTGTGTTCAAACTGAAATTTGACTAGTAATATGTAGCCAGTTTGAGAGAGGGAGTGGGACTGACCTCCCAAGTGAAAGGTGAAATAATACAAGCAGTTTGGCTTTAGTGAGTACAAGGCCAGTGATAGAGGATAATGACAGTTTGATCAAACGCTGTATAATTAACAACACTGTTTGTAGACCGCTTGCAATGCAGCTCCTGCAATTTATGTTAACAGCTCTACCCACGCTATGGGTCTATGTGAACACTGATTAATAGCGTGCTCACACCAGTATTTATGTCACTGTAGACACCAATCAATTGATCTCAAAACAGTCGCAGTGAACGGCATAGATATTTGTGGAGGCGAAGTAGATCTACACAGAACCTTCACGACAAGTTCTGTTGGAGAACTTTGAAACGCTAATTTGCACTGCATTTCTTTTTCACTGAAATAAATATAAAAATGATGATAATGTGTGTTTGTTTACTTTTAAACAAACATGTCCCCCTTAAGTCTGGAGCATATGATGTGTAGGCTGGGGCATCTCTGCAGCACCACAATGCTTTATTATTTATTACTTGTGGTAAATATTTATGAAATTTTGATATTTTATGAGCGTGTAACTCACTGATTATTCCCATCCTAAATTGTTATATGGTTTATGTTATATGTTTTATTGTCTGCAATCTTGTTAATTGTACTGCTGCCTGTCTTGGCCAGGACGCTCTTGGAAAAGAGATTTTTAATCTCAATGAGTTTCTTTCTGGTTAAATAAAAGGTAAAATTAAAAAAACAAATTTACAAAATAGTATGTTGTGACACATTTTACCTTTATCAGATAACTTCAGATCCTGTGATTTCAATAATATTTCAATTTAATTGTTCAGCCCTAAAGAGTATTTTTGAGGTTAGACAGACAGATGCAAAGAGAGTTACCTCTATCTGCAGCAGTGATTTGAAAACTGACAGGTCGAAGGGGAGACTGCTCTCCTGGATGTTACTGGTTCCTACTGGACCTCTGGTCCCACACACCTAACCAGAGGAGACAAAACAGGTGAGAACATTCACCACCTCTGTTTCTAAAAGCAAAGTCAGGACACAGCGCTAAACTGTACAATAGTTAAATAAAGAGGCGTGTGACCTTGAGGTATCGCAGTCTGCAGGTGAAGTCAAGGATGTGTCCCAGGTCGGTCTTGGCGTCTCCATTAAAGCAGGTTGGTTTGGCTAGACGTAGCTGCTGTGAGACGGAGTAAAGCTGCAGAGGACAAAGAGAAAACACCTCCCCAGCCTGCAGCAACTGCTCACCTACAACACACAAACATACAGAGGTCTGATACTGTACAAGATTTCATGAGAACAATTAACATTTTTGTAGGCTTGTCAGTTTACGGTTTACAGCTGTTGTTTCACAGGGAAACATCTACAAACCAGATGTTGACAATACCTGCAACATTCAGCGATGTGATATAGCACATTTACATCCTTATGATTATTCCAGTTAATTAAAGCTGAGGTAGGCAACCTGTTTCAGAAGCATTATTTGTTATTGCTGAAATTCTTTCATCCCGACAGAAATCAATAAATCAAAATCTCTGACACAAAAATTGAAAAGAAATCTGGTATCTGTGGTTGTCATACGGCTGTAGTAAGCATGGCCTATCATTTAATTCAGTCATACTCACTGCGCATGAAAATGTGTTTTGAGGGAGTGGCTTTGGAGGGAGGGTGTGTGTGTTGGTTACCCCAGATTTAATGTGTATCATCCCTGATTAATAAAGTGTCGTAGATTAAGAGGCCTGACAGCTATAAGTAATAATTACAGACAGAAAGCCTCTGCAGCTACACAGTTGTAGAAACACTAGATGAGAAAAGGTCAGATAGGAAGCCAACCTTTATGGAACAACTCCTCAGCCAGTGCTGCTGTGATGCCGTTGATCTCCTGAATGACACAAAGAAAAACTGGATTCACTAAGGATGATTTAACTACAAGAGTCTACAAGCTTAACTGTTACTATTATTATTTATTCACTGCTTAGCAGACAGCTCGTCATGGTTTCAACTCTCATCCAATATTAACAAATAAAACCTCTAACTCTGTTTGAAAAACCATGCCAGCTAGTTGATAATTAACAGGACAATTATAGCTGGATAACATCACGTTTTTCATTGTTTTCACCACCGTTACTTTATACAGTAGATATACAGCATTAATGCAGCTGAAAAATAAACAATTACAACAATTTTGTGTGGTCATTTAACCTCGTCTGTCACAGTCACATATTTAGCATCTCACATCACATGAGAAGGTTTTTGGCTGTTTACTCTGCTGTCCTGAGGACTCAGACAACAGTCCGACAACAGAGACAACAGTGGTGTGTTGTTGTACTAATATCATCATCATATGATCACAGTCACTGACATGACAAAGCCTTTAAATACTGCTAACACTGGCCTAGAGCAGCGCTACTCAACCTGGAAAATAATCACCATTTACTGGACAGAAAGACAAAACCTTTTTATTACTATAAACACGTCATTGTTCTCTCATTACATTTTATCCTTTGATGTACCAAACTGTTTTTTGAGAACTAGAACTAAAAAAAAAACAAAGATATAGATGTTGAGATATAAACTGAGGCAATTGAAGTTAGAACGCTTCTGATCTGGTTTTAGTGTAGTAAAGGTTGTGTCACAGCATTTAGCAAAGAGTGCAGCCATTGACACAAAAAAATCACAACTTCCTACTTCTTCTTTTTTTTTTCCTAATCAGCAGTCCAAAAGGTTGGTGATGGTGCAGTGGATAAGACACATGCCTTTGGTGTGAGGGACCCAGGTTCAATTCCCTACTGTGACACATCCACAAATGTGTCCCTGATCAAGACACTTAACCCCTACGTAGTTCCTCCAGAGGCATACGACCACTGAGATATTTATCAATTGTAAGTCGAATTTAGCATCAGCTAAACGTAATGTAAAAACATTCAGTTTACAATAATATAAAACAGATAAAAACAGCAAATCCCCACACTGAAGAAGCAGAAACCAATCAATAGTTGTCATTTATGCTTTATAAAATCCTCTTACTTTATGGAAAATACTGTAATGTCAACAGTTTGATGAAGATCCTTACTGTTTCTACATGACAATGTCCCCATGTACAAAGCCAGCTCCACAAAAGACATAGTTTTCCCAGTTTGGTGTGGAACAACTGGACAGGCCTGCACAGAGCCCAGACCTCATCCAGCACCTTTAGGATGAACTGGAATGCCCCAGGCCTTGTAACCTAACATCAGAGTTTGACATCACTAATGTTCGCGGCTGAATGGGAGAAAATCCCTGCAGGTTCAACAAACTGGTGGAAAGCCTTTCCCGAAGGCTGTTATTGCAGAAGATTATTTCCCATTTTGGAGCCACATGTTCAACTATAACAAACAGCTGCAACGTTCAATGGTCGACATAGTTTTTGCCATGTAGTGTAACTGCTGTTTGCAGTATCTGAGCGCATACTCAAGCAGGTAGGCTTTAAGTACCACAAGGCGATAAGTGTGGTATTAGAAAGCTGAAGCACCTAAACAGGTTACTGTACTTGTGCAGGGGTTGTAGTAGTCACAAGTACTCACGTAGAGGTGAAAGTGCAAGAAGCTGGCAAGAGGAGATGGCGTGGCCTGTGGGAACTGCAGCAGCAGTGTCTGCAGGTAAAGCTCCAGCTCCTTCTGCCGCCGCTCCACCAGACTCTTTGAGTTCTTCCCCAACATCTTCTTTGGAGGAAGCAGCCGTCGGTCCACCTTTTTCTCTGTCGTCAACTGAAGGATAAAACATTCATTAATTAAGTGAAAATGCCAAATACTCTGGTTACAGCTTCTCCAATGTGAGGATTTGCTTTTCTAATAAACGATTTATCAATTAACTGAATCAATTATGGGCAGATAAATTAAAACTAAAACTAATCATTAGCTGCAGACATAATCTGGCAATAATTACGGCAGATAACATGGAGCCTGCAGGGTGTGATTCCTTAGTGACTGTGAGCACCGCAAGCACCATCATTGTTAGTATAATAAGTATGTCACACAGGCAAGTAAATTAATTTAAATCAGTTGCATTGCTGCTTGTTAGAAAATGAAAAAAAATTACAATGCCAGAAAAAATGGCCATTCTTTTAGTAACAACAAAAAATTGTTTGCAAAAGTTGTACTGACAGTAAAACAAAGCAGTTACTCAGAAAAAAGTCCCGTTATTGTCCAATTCATAATTTATAATTGCAAGACAGACAATCATAGTTAATGGCTCTAAAATTGATTGAAATTGAAGTTGATTGAAGAGTTGTTGTCATGCATCACAGATCTAAATTTAATTCATGGGGGTAAACAGCCATCAGCTGACCTGCTCTGATCCCTTACCTTCTCATGGAGATCGTGAAAGTCACTGTAGCGATGCTTCACAGTCCATCTGTGCTCCCCATCCGTCACCTCGATGATGTAAACCTGAAACACATCGCAGCAGGACAGTCGCGCCTGAATTAAAAATCAAAATGGTTCCTGAGCTGCATAGATGTAGACTTAAAGTAGATTTTAAAAACAAACAAAACAAGGAACAGCAGACCATCTTTGAACAGACAGAACTTACCACATATGTACAACCTTCTGTTTTCAGGTAAACTAAGCTCCATACTTAGATGATGTGAACTGTCTCTATGATGCTCCGTATTTGTATAGCGCCTTTCTAGTCTTTTCGACCACTCAAAGCATTCACCATTCACACACATTCATACACTGAGCCTAACTGCTCAAACAGAAACTAACATTTACACACATTCATACACTGAGCCTAACTGCTCAAACAGAAACTAACATTTACACACATTCATACACTGAGCCTAACTGCTCAAACAGAAACTAACATTTACACACATTCATACACTGAGCCTAACTGCTCAAACAGAAAATAACATTCACACACATTCATACACTGAGCCTAACTGCTCAAACAGAAACTAACATTTACACACATTCATACACTGAGCCTAACTGCTCAAACAGAAACTAACATTCACACACATTCATACACTGGTGGAACAGCCACCAGGTTCAGTATCTTGCCCAAGGACACTTCAACATGCAGCCTGGAGGAGCCGGGGATTGACCTTCCGATTAACGGGCAACCCGCTCTACCTCCTGAGCCACAGCCACCCCTATAACAGCTCAGTGTGCTGAACAGTGGCCACAAGATGCAGCTAAAAGCTCCATCATAGTTCAAGAAAGCGGACTTTGTGCTAAGAATTATTCTCAAACTGCTATGTCCAAAGTCAGAGGTTAACTTTTACACTCACCTCATAACTTTGACTTACAGTCAATTATAACATTGACGTTTTGCATAGCAAAGTCATAATTTTGACCAAGGACTTTTTTGACTTTGTGCTGAAAAGTGGTGGGGACATTTAAGGGCTCAGATTAGGGGTGCAGTGATACACTTGCTCCAGAAATGTGAAAAAAACTACTAGAAAAAAGATACTAGAATAAATATTCACTACTGTGATATGTAATTTGGGGAGTCTGGGGGTCCTCCCCCAGAAGATTTTGAGCATGAAACACTTAATTTCCAGACCAATTTATTGTTGAAATGTCATATATTTATATATAAAAAGGGAAACACAAAATTCAGGTGTAAGGTCCCCAGCATCCCCAGTGTAAATGACACCTATGATTTTGACTAATACTGACATTAGTGCTAATTATTCATTGATGTTCCTCATTTGTTTTTTCTTTTCTTACCAAAAAGCCCCTTGATGAATATGTGTGATTTGTGATATTGGGCAATTTAAAAAGTGACATGACTTTAAAGAAAAGAAAATTAGACGAGCTGTGGTGAGCCTAAACAAACCACTACAGACAGTACACTGTGTTAACAGTACATAAAATATAGACATAAAAACCTGCAGTGGGATGTCAGGTCTGAAACCTTTAGAGGAAACGCTATAAACACAGTGACACCTCAGTTAAACATGGCGGTTAGCTGTTAGCTTGTCAGTTCTGTCCAGTTCTTCTAGTCCAGCCTCAGTAAGATAAAGACTGACAAAAATAAATTATAATAGCTTAACACATGATGCATTCACTTATAGAGTAATTTCTTCAATATTAACCCGGTGGCACATTCACAGACCTGAAGCTAGGGTAGCTACGAGCTAAGCTAACTAGCTAGATGAACCCGGACGTAGCTTACAGTATAGTTTTCCACCAGCTCCGACCCGACAACACAAACGTTCCTCTCCGAAACCTCCTCCGGAAATGGGGCGGACTCCATCTTCAGATCAGGACGACCAAATATTATCTGTTATTAAGAAAAAATATATATTAAAACGGCTTCAAATGTTTTCCTAGCGCGTATTCTCAGTTCTCAGTCGGTTAGCCGCCTCCAGACGCCATGTTTGTTGTGATGCCAACTGAAGCAGCTGATTGATTCAAAACGCTCAAACTTTATTTACTGTTGATCTGTGACAGTTTTCCCCCCATACTACGTGCTTATTTCATGAAAAGCAGCCTTATGCTAAACATTTATCAAACATACGAACATTGTGTGAGCAGCCAGACTGGGTAATTACACTACTCGTACAATAAAGGCCATAATAAAACACATGTCCGATAATAGGAACATGTAGGCCCTATGGCAAGCCAATGTTAGATTTATTTATTACCTAAAACTTAGTAGTTTTTATTTAAAACCTAATAGTATTATTTAGTCACTAGTAACCATTGCATTAGTTAAAAGTAAATATTTTTAGATATTACAATATCAACAATTCCAAATATTTAGGGCTCTGCAGTTCCGATATCACGTTTTCAACTATTTTCACTTTACTAGTAACTATTATTTAGCCACTAATACTTATTTTTTAAGTTAATAGTAGTAACATATTAATTCTTACTAGTAAGAATGGCTGTTTATTTAAATAAATAATTTTAATATAAATGAAATGCAAGTATTTGTTTTAAGGAGAAGGACAGCAGAGACTGGCACATTTACTCAATTTAAACAGCAACCTCTAGCCAACATTTCAACTTGTGCCTTCAGCAGGGGCCAAACAGGAATACTGGGTTCAAAACCTCTTTAAATGCATTTTCAAACATCACTAGGCATCCAATCGAATGACATCCTTCAGTCATCAGTGCATCATCTACATCACCTGGAGACATAATATAAGGTAATGGACTTAATACATCCATATATGAGCATGGTGTTTTTTCTGAGGAAACGACCAAACCTTGGATCAACAAATTAATAAATCCATTCCAGTAACTGGGAACTTTAGAGGCGCAGACATGTCTCTTAGCAAAGTATAAATCATTTTTTGTGAAGATTTGAAGAGAAATGTATTTGAGACCCAGCTAAACCAATTGGCAGAAGTTTCATATAGAATTGTTCATAAATGTGACTCCACCAATCTTTTATCTGCACCACGTGCACCTTTTGAAATGACTTTTTTTTTTCTTTTTGATTTTATCATATCTAGGCTTCAGTATGTATAACTTTTTGTTCAGATCTTTATTGTCCCATAAGAGGAAATTCTTTTTGTAGCAAGGCATGTATGTTCCTGTACATTTGACCTATAAAGAACATAAAGAAGGGGTTTTGTGCTTCTGTAATCCACATGAACACAAACTTGGCAAAAAAAGATCTGGATTATGAGGTGTGGTGATGACATCTTGTATCAAAACCGGCTAAATACGCAGTACATAGTTTACAGTATATGTCATCAGCTAGCTTAACAGTCAAGCATTGTTGCATTACATAATGGAAAATGGCAGTCTACACTCTGTATAGCAAGTCGTAAATCACTGACCCCCCTTCTGCTTAGAACTGTTGTGCCATATACATTACAGCCACTTGGGGTCAGGAGTGCAGCTGCAAATATTTTTTATACAGTCTATACTGCAAATTTATAGGTGTTTTATGCATGCTTTGGTCTATGTTTTGTTGAATTTCATTTATTTAAATATACTTAAAATAAACAGAATTGTAATAGAAGGGATAGTTTGTTAGATAGTAAGTAAGCAGTACTAGTTTTAATGGTCTCCCTGAAGAGGAAGTGCTCTGTGGTGACTTTGAAGACAAAGTTCATGTTTTATTGATTATTATGTATTGAGCTGTAAAATGTCCTTAATTTATGATTACATTTTCTGGTTGGATAATTACAAACAAGAGTAAGTGTCTAAAGCCAAGCAGCTCTGTGAGTCTGTACTTAGGAACAGCTATATACTAATTTAAGCATGCTAACATGCTCAAAATAATAATGTGAGCATGCTGATGTTTAGCAGGTACAATGTTTACCATGTTTATCATCATAGTTTAACATTTGTTAATTAACATTAAAGATAAAGTGCAGCTGAGACTGATTGGAATGTCATTAATTTTGCAGGTTTGGCCCAAATAAAACATTTGGCCTGCTGATGGCGCTAGATGCAAACTCAAGGGATTACTAACAAATTACAACTCATGCAGAGGAACGTGAATGCCTGAACCAAACTTAACTCTATCTTATAGTTTATGAGATATTTTACCAAAAAAAGGGTCATGGGGGTGCTAAAGGAGCAAAGACAGTGGGATCACCAAAGTCAGTGAGATGCATTGGGAAATGTCTGTTAGAAATTGTATCTTAACCTCTCTAAGATCTGTTTAGATATTTCAAAAGTGGACTGACATTGCCTTCCCTAAAGCCTCGCTGGTAGCAAGGCTAAAAAAGTAAAGGTTGTGTTTTAGAAAGGGAAACTTTTTTGTGGCACTTTGCTTTTCAGCAAAGTTTGCTTTGAGTTTCAAGCAGAAGACATGCCTACTTGTTTGCAATGTGATATGTATGTAACATTGAAAACTGTTCATTTCAGACAATATGTTTCACCACTGCAACAGTATTCTTGTTGTCTCAGTGTGTCCATGGTCTGTGTACTTGTACGTGCATGACACAATAACTATCCGCTGTCACTGCGGTTACAGTAACTCCTACAGCCCTCTAGCTCCATTGGTGCTGGTTGTTGTTGGTGAACAGTGTGTTGTCGGAGGGGCGGGCAATAACAGCAGCAGCTGTGGATCAGATTTCAGCTGCTAAAACTGAAGCGGAGTGAACCATCCTGCTGCAGGGAGAAGCTTTCTGCTTAATAAAACCACATCACACAATCTGAGGCACCCACTGGCCGACATTATGTTTTAATATATTATTCACATGTGTAGGTGTAATATCTTACATAAGTCTGTGATTATAATGTTAATAATAGGCAGCAGACAAACCTACTGACACTGACAGAAGACACCTTCTGTTAAACCCGTGAATGGATCCTTCCAGCTCTTTATCGAGGCTGTGAGAGGAGGGCAGAGCTTCAGTCTGAGCTGGTCAGAGCTGAATACGCTACAGTTGCTGGCCCAATACTGAGAAATAACTGCGTTAAATCAGCTGGGAAACGCTTAAAACCGTCACCTGCTTACTTCAGTTCACTAATAAGAGCTGTAAAGAGCTGATTTGACTTTAATAGAGGTGAAGAAGAAAGATTAGACACAGACAGAGGAGGGCGTGACAGGGAGACAGCGGAGCAGGCAAGCTGCTACTGCAAGGGGAGGAAGAGCAGGCTATGCATCAGCCAAAGCCAGAGGCCAAGAAGAAAAGCCAGAGAGTAGTGAAAAGGTAGACTCGGAGAGAGAGAGGGGTCATTTGTGATCCGAGCCAGAAAAACAGAAGCCAGCCTCTTTGTTGTTGTGTGGGCCAGGCAGGGAGGAGGATGTGAAGGAGAGCAGCAAAGAGGAAGGGGGGCAACTGCAAGGAAAACAAGAAAATGCTGTCAGAGATGATGTGCAGGAGAAGCTGCCAACAGCAGCAGCAGCAGCAGCAGCAGCAGCAGGATGGGAAAGGGGCTCCGCAGAGGGACCTTTCCAGCCGCAGGAAGCACGGCTGGTCCAAGAGCTGCAGGGGGCGCCTGCAGGGGCGAAGGACAGGAGGGGGAGGGTGGCCGAGAGAGCGCAATCATCCCCACCAGCACCTTCAACGTCATCATCCTCATCACAATCATCCCAGACAACTCCAGAGGCCGGTGCTGTCCCTCCGGCCCGTTAACGTCAAAGGAAACAGAGCGAGGGGGATGCGAGCCCCCAAGAACACCAACCAGTTTCTGATGCATGAGAAGTACCAGATGCTGCATATGCGCTCAGACTCGGTGGGGAGCGACAGCGGAAGCAGCTCTGACAGCGACGTGGAGCTCACAGACATGGACTCATACCTGGGCGTCCTAGAGAATGCCAGAGGAGCCCTCTTGGACAGTCCCAACCCACACGGTTCAACGACACCACCAGGACAGTTCCTGGTATTGCACGGGGACAGTCTGCGTCTGCACGAGGACAGTCTGCGTCTGCACGAGGACAGTCTGCGTCTGCAAGAGGACAGCATGCAGTATTTTCCCTCAGAGGATGACCTAATGCAGAGCCAGAATTTCATGCAGAAGGACTTTGTTGAGTTCTGTGACATTCTGACATCCTGAAGGGAAACGTTCAGTGAGCCATTTTGTTCTGAGCATTGTGAATCTCAAACCTCTGAACGGGGTCAGGTTTGTTCTGCTTCATGTTCACAGAACATTTCAAGAAATCTGCAAATATCAGTCAGTTAGCCTTAAAATGTAAAGAATCAGCTGAGTGAGAGGGTGAGATGATTCCACCAGTTTCCAGCAGAAGTCAACATTTTCAAAATATTTTTTAAAGCAAGTGTCATTTTTTTAATACTCATGCAGCGATTTACCTTTGTCTTTTTTCAAGATACTGGCACTGAACACAACAAGGACAACTGCACTGAGAAAAACTTAAATCATTCACCTTGTGGGTATTTTCCTAGGTTTAACAAAAAACAATGCAAGGTTAAATGACAGTTGTTGTTTTTACTGTTTATGTTTGGTCATGTACAGTGTTTCTGCTGTTGCACACAAAGGGAGATGGGCTGGATGGTGGGAGTGAGCCCAAACAGCCAATCAGCATCGAGCTGGCTGGATTAGGCTGCAGGTGATTGGCTGATGCAGACTGTCATTAACATAAAAAAACATTTATTGTACAAAATGAAAAAAGAGAGAAAACACAAATAAAAAACTGTTTGATGTAACATGGGCTGATTTTCTTTGTGTATATAAGTGAGTTTTTCACAAAGTAATTTATCAGGGCCAGTGTGTCGCTGAGACATCAGAGTAAGGTCAGAGTGAATAATGCACATGTAAAAATAAATACTCACATGACAATATGTGGGAAGAGCAGCAGAAACAGAGACCAGCAGTAAAGAAAAGCATATTCAAGAACTATAACATTTGATACAAGTACCGAAATATGCAATTAATCACTTTTTTGGATTGCATAGATAACTTTTTTAATTTAATTTTAATCTGCCATAAACCAACACACACATCTTATCTAAATATTCACAAA